TTTTCTACGTACAAACGTACTTGGATTATATCGCACTTGCAGGTTTGTACGTGTAACAGTATTTAAAGGCATTTTGTAAATTTTATAGTTTATAGCTGAAATGTTTAACGGGTTACTTCTGAATTAAAATCGTGTAGTTAAGCGCAGTACTTCTGTAACTTTAAAATTCAGTCTATTAAGCCTCATGAACTACTTATAAAGAGCTGAGTTCCCTTTTTATATGATCACATATACTTGGCGTTGTACATAACATTAGCATGTTAATGATGTTATTAAAACCGTGTGGAGGTCGCGTATAAGAATTTGTAAAACCGGGTCTCTTCTCATTGTGTGCTACACCATGGTAGAAACTATCACATTGTCTTACGCATATAAGTGCTGTTGCGTAAGACGTTCTGCATCGTCCTATGGTGCTTCCGGACGCCAAATATATATTCAGGAATTATACGGAATGATTTGAGATTATCTAGTATTTCCAGTGCGACGGTATTGATGAATTCACGAGTAACAGTAATTCAAAAGTTATGACTATCATGCTTTCATGCAAAATTATTAAAATTCAGATACGGTGTTCTATGAAGTCTTTGTAAGAAAGTGAAAAGGACCAACGTAAGCAAAAGCCAGTTCTAAAAAACATAAAATTTGAAAAGTCCGTGTTTTCTTGCAATTTTGACTTCATTTTTAATATCCTTTAAAAAGAAGCTGTCTCACAAGACAAGCGAGAATCCATTGCTTTTAGTACTTATGCAAACGAGATCTAAACGGTTAACATGATCTCGCAATGTAGTACGATGTACGACAATGTATAATCGCCCTACAAGCCCCATGTAGAGAGATCCTGCTGCAGATAGCCTGAATATTGTCAGTTGAATAGCGGTCGAGGCACAAAATTTTTAACGCTGTCCTATTTTCACTCATTCGACCCAATTTTCTTTAATTACGGTTATTACTGGAAATGGAACAAGGGCATTCATTAGAATGAAATGGATCAATAACGCATAGTTACTGTATTTGATCCAACTGTCCGTAGCAGCGCGTCCGGTACATGTAGGCTTGAAGCGCGAGGTTCCACAGACTGTTCGGAATGTTTACTGTATCACATCTTGTAGAGGGTCAACGCATGCTTCTGGGATGACGTCCTGTCAGGATGGATACAGCCGCACTGGGTTACTGTTTTCCATGCAGCATCCGTGGGGTTGGTCGGGGTTCCACCCACTGCGTCGAACCTTGTCCTCGGTTACGTGGCCACCATGACGACCATCCTCCTTGCGGCGGTTCTCGGCGTCTCCCTCTGTTGCCTGGTATTTGTTAACCGCGACTGGATGTTTCCTTTTCCGGAGGACCATCTGCTGCACTGCCGTGGATTAACGGCGTTGGCCTGCTGCAAATATATTCGGATGCCCGTAAAAATTCCCGAGCGGGCTTACACAACCACCGTGATATATGCTGTGATCGTCGCCGTTGGCGCTGTGGTTCACTATGCTGCTTGGCTGTTCTTGGGCACCTTGCCGGTGGTGCTTCTAGCCTGGATGTCAGTTATACTGGCCGTAACTGTATGCGGCCCATCCGCGGTGTTCTCTGGCTGTATCCTCTTCGCTGGCATATTGATCGTTTATTGCTCCGGTCGGGTTTTGGGATTATGGATGAATGGGACTTATTATGCACTTATTAAAAGGAAAATCAGGTAGAAAGTTTATAATTTTCGGTTACCTTAACAGCTACAAACAATAACGAATTATGTCCATGCGGTAGACTATGGCTACTATGACGTTTTTCGCATTCCGGACATTTTTACAGTTCTTGTCGCGTCTGGACACCAGATGCACGATAATCTTACTTGTTTCGACATGATAAAACCTTGTCAAAAATTGCTTATAGTTGATGATTAGTGTTTTTATACAAGTTTGTACGCACTTATAAAAAGTATCAAAAGTTTCTTATGTAGAGCAACGCAGAGAATGCCGTATCTCTGCTATCAAGTAAGCGAATCCATATTGCAAAGTGTCCAGAAAGTGCAAAATGTCGAAGTATAATTAGTTGTGTGAGTTCAAAAAACGAGTATTTTACTTATTTATTGGTAAAATTTTTAAACATCAGCCAGTGCTGCATTGTAATCTGCAAATATACCAAAAATGTCCGTAGTTATAAAAGAATACGTTCATCCGTAATATTCGCAGGAAGTTGACAGATGCGAAATCTACCATAAAGCCGTTATCAATCAACCTGCCACTGGAAATGCCGTCGATCCCAGTCATCAACGAGATCCATAAAGGCGTGAAAAGCGCTATTGTAACCTATCGATCTTGTGTTTCGGATGCGCTGCCGTCTATTACAACGCCTGGCCGTTGTGTCTGCAGTTTCCCTCCGTTTGTCAGTGGAAGAGCAGCACCGGGAGCGCCAATTGGACGTACAGGTACTGGAAGGTCGTCAACACCACCGGAACTTGCAGCAGCATGGAACAGTACGTACTCGCATTTCCGAAACGAATAATTTTCTGCAAAAAAAAACGAAAGAACCTGAAGATCTGTTTGAAAAGCCGCATTCATACATAGTTACATACTTACATGCATGAGAAACATATAAGTGCGCCTATTACTTTAATAGACACCAGGCAGTAGTCATCAAACAGTCAAAAATTTAAACGCGAACACGCTACTCCACAGTCAAAATTTAACACTTAAAAACGTACATACTCGTACGGCTTTTGAAACAATCACTACAGAGTATATAGTATATCTTTGCCTACTTCCTTGCGTGTACGGTACTTCAGCAGTTAATTTTTGCTTTTATGTTCGCTTTTATTTTGATACTTCCTGCCTTTAGAAAATTAAACCTTACAATAGTGATATTTTTGCAACAGAAAAATGTGGGACAAACAGCATCGTGTGATACAGTAGCTAAAAAACAGGGAGAAAAAAGACCCGAGTGCTTCTTCTTCAGAGTTTCGACCAAGGGACCGCGATGCTGTCATACTGGGTGGATCTGCAGTCGGCGGAATAGCGCTCGATACACACTGCCAATTCCGATCTGCTAGCTAGCTTCACCCCGACGTACCCACCCGTCGTCAGCTGGATGTTCCTGGTGTGGAATGGAGCGTTGGCCGGCGCCAGTGGTGTACCATATACAGCCGTAAGGTACGCGGAAGCTATCGTCATTGGCTTGGTCGTCGTTGGACTACTAGTTCATGACGGGGTTCGTGTGTGCTACAATAAATGGCGCCGGCGTGTCCTCATCCAGTGAAGCACGGAGACTCTCAGACTAGTGACAGGTTGGTACCTTAATATCTGTAAACAAGGCTGTTCTTGGTAGACCGGGCGGCTGTTCGAATTGTCACTTCTGTCTAAATGTCACCATGACAAGCGTCCCGGCGTCGTCGAAAGATTCTACTTCGTCTCAAGGTTCGAAAGGCCTCCGGCGACATAATGTGTTGTCGCGATGCGTAACGGCCGTGTGAGTCGTGCCCGTACTAGGCAAGTAATAAGTACCTGTACAGTAATAAGTACAGTAATTTTTGCGGGCAGTTAAAGTGGAACTGCCCCAACGAAAACGAGGAATTTCGGCGCACCCCCAGATCCTTTTTTTTACAAATTTTCGGCTGCACTATATCATAGAAGAAATGAAATTAGAGTGAGCGAAAGCGAACACATATTTCCCCCTTCCGTTCATGAATACCTGTTCGCCATTCGGTACCATGAGCATTCCGTATCGGACTGGTAGATACGAAACGCGATTAATAAGATGTGGGTATCTACACGGAGATGTTGATTATTTCAGGGATGATTCGCCACCCTTGTCTGCGGAGCACACTGAGGAGACTGGCTTACTGGGCAGCGTACCATTAGATCGTGAGCCTGAATCAGTTGACGTGGAGACGGATGAGAACGTCATTGCGCCATCCGATCCTTTGCCAGAGGAGGAGCCTGGCGACCAAGTATCCCGTGAAGCTAAGAATAAACACGAAAAACCGGTGTCTGTCGAGTGCACACCGCCTATGGCTCTTACGACAAAACGCGCAAAGGCTAAAAAACCCTGTTGCCGGTGTGAAGATCTGAGCATTCTTTGGTTATTTGCTGGCCGCTCATTGTCCGCTACTTTGCTGTATGGCGTTCCCATGTTCCCTGGTGGGACTGTTCCTGCCCGAAGAACTGCAGCTACCCGGTATCCTGTTGCTGCTAACGGCGTATACTGTCTGGGTCTACCGCAAGCTGGTGATGTTTGGGTGGCAGATGTGGTGTGGTGTGCAGTTCTGTAACAAGAAACTGAAAGACCGTGGCGTTGGCTGGCGAGACGTTATTGCGGGCAACAAGCGTCTGCATCCTGTAACGGAATCATCTCCCACGAAATGATGTGGTTGATTTCCGGCTGTTGAATCTTCTGCTGATTACGTTTGCGGCATCGGGCACGATCAATATTCTCATAATACGATTCCAATTTTCCGTTTGGTAGTCTAAGCAGGGCGCAATCCGAGGGAAACCGAGAAACGGCTGAAAAAGGCGCCGATGGGGGAATCGAACCCCGGCTACGTCGTTAGATCCGCGTAGGCAGTACCACTGCACCACGGCGCAATACGTTGAAATCCTTTGAAAGATTTTGTCGCTTTACGTGAGCCGCTTCTCGCCTCACAGTAGTAAGAATATAACCCATCGATTTCTAACGATAAGATTAAGCAAATCTATTCATAATGCTATAGTTATAGTTGTGCTTGATGTTTTTGATTTACGGTTCTTTATCCATACGAAAGTTTTTACGGAGATAGGTTTATGAAAGAGTTTGTACAAGGAAATTTAAAGCATTCTACTTAGAACTGTATCCACCGACCACCGTATTTCACAGCATTTTAAATCGCATCCAAGTCTGCTGCATATGTAAAATGATTTACGTTTCAAGGAATTGTAAACAAGCAAGGATACGAGCTGCATTTGTCAGCTATTATAACTTCCCGTACATCTTCAAAATTTTTATCCGAAAATAACATCATTTCCAAGAGCAGAAAGGTTTCATGTCAGAGCAGGATGTTTCCCTTAATTTCAAGAGAAGTGACCCGGTACATATAGTTCCACAGCGGGTGTATATCTGTACACCGATGATACACGATATCTGCCCATCACGAATACATAGATGCATTCGCACGAAAGGGTATCAAGGCCCATGAACACCGTCCATCCGTGTCGCTGCCCGGGAGTGCCAACGTGCCCCGCTCCAAAACACCAGTCGGCTGGCCAGTGAAAATCCGCTTTCCGGTGTGCCCTCCACAACCGGCTGGACGAGGTTGTTATTCGCGACAACCATGCCTAACACAGCCAGGGTTAACTAGTAAGATGCTGCGTTAATATTTATTAATTATTACGATGGGGACGACAGGGCAGGACCGGTGGATTTCATCATTCCAAGGATGGTACTGAATAACCTAAGAAACATGCGTACTAATTCCAGCAGATATTTGTCTGTTATCGCATATCACAGTGGTAAGGCAAGCCGGGGTTGTATCCACGGAAATTTTAAGGATAATTTGGAATTTTAAATACTCGTAATTTGAAAGAGAACGATGATTACTTATCAGTGCTACCCGGACAAGCTGCAACGTAAACAGCTGTTCAAAACACTGGCGAATTCGAATTGTATACGCCAGGGCAACCGCAACCTGATGGCAGTTTGTGAAAACCAGCCAGCCTCCGGAAGTCGCTATTTCTGTCGCTAAGCAGATGCTCGGAAGTCAAAACAGCGATTTTAAACACTGCTCATTCAACTAATGATTTGTTAGCCAAACCGGAAATAACTAAAACGTATCGGAAAAAGTGCTCTACAAGGAAATGTTAGCTGTCAAGTGGGATTTTATTACAGCAGTGACTTATTGCTGCCAGCGCTTCGCACCATGAAATTCGGTACTGTATTGTAGCCGTACAAATGAGATCTGTAGTGAAGATGTACATCTCATTGGTGCTAGTTCAACCGGAAACATCTGAATGTGTACTTGTACGAGATGACCAGTTCTAACGTCGATTTTCTAGACTTCTGAGATTGTCTGAATGTTCTGAAATCATTCTTGCTCTTGCCCTTGCTCTTCCCCAGTGACTTTTCAGCTGATTAAAAATGTTTGTGCACTTTGAGAATCGCGCCGGTATCGGTTAAAATGTTCGCAATTGCATAACTGACTTTTGGGTAATTCGCTAACTCGTAACATCGCCGACGGTCACCGACGAACCATCAAACCTCGTTTTATCGTGGTACGGGTGGATTAACCCACTCCACTAGTGGCAGCTTAGAAGTTGCCGTTGCAGTATTATAAATTCTGTTTACTGCGCGCCTGAAGTATGGTATGCCCTGGTAGCGCTGCGCTGAGTTCTCTGTTCGTCAGACCACTCAGACAGGCAATGAGCATTGAGCAGTGTTTGCACTAGAGATGGCAACGGCTTCGCAGAGGCCGGCTAAATGGCTTTTGGCCAGCCGGCTGACGGTTTTTTCAAGCCGTAGCCGACGACAGGCCGGCTGCTTAAGCCGGCTGAGACTTCAGCCAACAGCGGCCTAGCCGGCGGCTGACTCAGCTGAAGCGGCTTGAGCGGTGGCATTGTTGTGCAACTATGGTGGAGAAAAATTGCACCACTGACTCACTTTATGCCAGATTTTTTCAGCTTGCGCCTAGTTGCAATCGCTTTCCTCTGTAGTATTCTTACATTGAATTCGGCCGTTATGGTGCCATTTGGTCTGCGGCTCTAGCCGGCTGAGGCTTCCAGCCGCGTTGCGTTAGCCGGCTAGGGCTTCTGCCGGCCGTCAGCCGGCCGTCTCTAGTTTGCACCGCCCCTATGCCGCATATTAGGGGTAGAAACACATGCTGAAATTAGAAATAGAAACTCACCAGCAGCATCGAACCGTCACATTTCCCAAAATACGAGACTTCTATCAACTAGTAGGAAATAAAATATGTAGTATTTAACAAATACCCATGAAGCGCAGTTCACTCTACAATCAAAGTTAAAAATTAATAATTTTATTTTAATTCGGCTATCGTACAAGTGCGCCGCGCCACATGCGTACGGACTGTTAAGTTAGTGTTATGGAAATATGCGACCGTTTGTTTATCCCCGCAGCCTCGCCCACCTAAGGTAAGGTGCCGCCAATCGTGCAGAAGAAACCGATCTTTTAAGTGCTGATGGCGGATATGCTGCATCACATGGTTATCATGGCCAGATTATATCCGAATTCAGTGCGACTACGAGCTGAAGTAAAGCTGTGTCTACGGAGCACTGGGTGGCGTGCTTTCTCCGTCACGGCGGTGTACTCTTGCTCTGTTCCTAAGAACCAGACAAACTGCAATTCAAAGATCCTGGTTTTCTTTCCTGATTCCTTGCACCCTGGTTAGGACTTCGTTACCGTTGGCCTTGCAACTACAGCCCTGTTCTCATCGGAAACACTGAGAAGCCAACGTACAATGGCTACCCGGAGAAGCCAACGTATATTGGCTACCCAAGCAGCGTCCAGCAGTTCCCCGAATCAACAAATGAGCAAACGGGAAGAGTGGAAAACACTAACTGTGGAAGAGCGTCTAAACCGCCTGGGTGACAGTTGCCAGAGTGTGAGGGATCGCCAGTATGAAGCAGACACGTACGTCTTGGCCCCGAAATTTGAAGCAGGCGACCCCGTGGTGGTGTGCTATGAGGGTATCTACTACAACGCAATGGTTGGCGTTGTGCTAAAGAAAGCCTGGGATTGTCCGGATCTGAAGAAGAAGGTGCCCCTGTATCGCATCAGATATCCCTCCACGAAGAAGAGCAAGACGGAGGAGGTTGCGGAGTATGATCTGATGGGGGTGACCAAGCACACCGTGCTGCATGAGCTGTTGTATGCGCACTACTGGAATAAGGGAAAACTACAGACAGGGACGACGCAGAAGAAGGATCCCGCGAATGAAATCTTTGAACTGCCAGCTGGCGTGCTGCAAGACATGCAGAAGGTATGGCACGAGCACATCCAGCGGGCTGAGCCGGGTGTCAGGAGCTTCACTGAGTGGATCGGGATGGAATAAGGTTGCACTGGCAGTACTAAGAGTACTGCACATCTGCGACTGCTGCTTTCTCACATTTCACGCCTTTTGCAGTTTATCTGCATGCCCGTTCGGAGTAAAAATTTGATTTATTTTGATGAATCAAACAAGGCAACACAAGGCAACTGGCATAATTTTTAGTCCGGTTACTTATGTAATACTGTTTTTTTGGCCCGCGCTCAAGCTCTGACTCTGACTCAGACTCTGACCGCTAAAACTCTGACTCTGACTAATCAAAGTCTGACTCTGACTGTCCAAACTCTGACTCTGACTCTGACTGAATAACCTAACCTAAGAATAACCTAAGAAACCTAAGAAAACTAAGAAACCTAAGAAACCTAAGAAACTTAAGAAACCCAAGAAACCCAAGAAACCTAAGAATAACCTAAGAATAACCTAAGAAACCTAAGAAGCCTAAGAAACCTAAGAAACCTAAGAAACCTAAGAAACCTTAGAAACCTAAGAAACCTATTAAGAAACCTAAGAAACCTTCAGAGTCAGAGTCAGACTTTGAGCGGTCAGAGTCAGACTTTGAGTAGTCAGAGTCAGAGTTTGAGTGGTCAGAATCAGAGTCAGAGTCAGAGTTGGAGTCTAGGCCTGTTTTTTTCTGTGCTGTGCTTCGCACGGTGTAATGGCATACACAGTGATACACTTAACATATCTGTAGACTTCACTTGACCGTATTTGCTGTTTTTTGGGATAAAACATTTCTGTAAAAGATTTCGGCAACGAATTTCCGGGCGCGTAGCAAACTGACTATGCGCCCGGAAACTTTCCGGGGCATAGAAGTGACCAAACTTAATATAGGAGAATATCACGGACAGGTATAAGCGCGTTTTGAAGATTGTGTTTGATTTGTGTGACAGCACAGAGTTTTAATAGAACTTTTATTCAAAATGCATAATTATGCCAGTGTGTTAGCCTGCTTAACAACGCAGAAACGATCATTTCCTTCAAGTAAACGTTTGGTAATTAAATTTCGGCTGATTATCGGTAGAAATTAAGTGCACGTAAACTTGTACCTAATTTTTCACTTCCGCAAAAGACAGATATTACCGGCAATCAAGTGACCTTAGCTGTTTATTATTTTACTGTTATTTAAGAAAAACATTATTGGTATGGCAATTTTGATGTCACGATATTGCTAATTTAGTTATATCCGCTAAAAAAAGGGGCTTTAATCGAGCATGGCTGCAGAAATACCCGTGGATGGCGTATTCCGAAAAAGATTGCGGAGCATAGGTATTGTCGATTTGATGACATTTTCGCAAAACCATCATATGCGCAGCAGCTGGGAACATTCCTAAAAAAACCGTTACGAAACTGGAAGAAAGTGCACACTGTAGACAAAACTCACTCTCACACCGACTTTCATAATGCAGCTACAACTGCAGCTCAGCAGTTTCTGTTCACCATGCATAATCCAGACAAAAACGTTTGAACCAGCTTGACAAATCTGCAAGCAAACGACGTAAAATTGCGGAAGAATGGGTAAAATCTATTTCACGTACCTTTTTGACGTGTGGAAACAAGGCATTTCTCTGCGGGGTCACGATGACAGCTGCGTAATTTGGCGGTATGTATGTGTATACCAATAATTTACAAAAATAATGCATGTATATCGTATACTTATGGTTCATATTGTTATTTTTTTACATGTTTATGTCTCGGTTCACATGTAGTTCTCCACTTGCCGCCCCCTCATGAACGAAGTTTAGTCCGGAAACTCTTGAGAATGCTGCAAGATTTTCCCTTTTCCGTTGAACGCGATCAGTTGACAGTTCACTAGTTACCATTTTCAATATAATTCGTAACATCAGCAGCGAGTCGGCCAAACGTTGATGCCAGCGTAGTCAATTCCTGGGCGGGTAACCATAACTTAAAACCGACAGGAGCCGTTGACTCAAGGCGATTTGAAGGTGTGGATACCAACCTAACAAATTAGCGATATGTTTATTGACCTTTGAAACGCGAACCGGCGGCCGATGTCTTTAAAACAAGATTTATCATCAGCATTCGCGTTACGGAGTAGCGGTAAATCAAACCGAATTTGGCGTCTGCTCAAGCAGATTATGTCCTTACTCGTATGTGTATGTAATATTCTGGTCGGCTTGCGTCGATTCCCGCAACCGTACGTCAATAGCCAAGGGCAGCGCTTAATGTTGTTTGCAGGAAATCATCTGACAACAACGACTTAGTCTCTGCTCTGTCTGAACCTGCCGTCGCTGTTTAGTAGCTGCGGGCGGGAAATGGTGCTATAGTTTGTACGGGTATTTATATTTACTTACACACCGTTTTGCTGCCGCATAATCCGGAAAATTTTTTTCCCTAAGATGGGGATTAAACAGTTTTTCACAAATTTATTAGACAAGAAACCGTATTCATCCTATCCAGAAATTTTATGGGAATCCGTCTTGGTACTGTGGTTTGCATGCCAGATTTGTTTGAAGATTGGTTTACGCGTTCTTCCAGAATGGGGAACCAGTCGCTTAGACCAGGATACATACAGCCCTTTCGATTACCTACTCCAACGTTCTGGATTGGTAAGTGACCGTAAGTCTCATTTGCACATATTGCCCCAAGAAATTCATATAAAAATTCGGTTTATTACTGAACGATATTATCTTGAGCTAAAACTGTAGCACTCGGTATCCGCATGCTTGTTTTGTAATAATCCACTGCTGAAAACAAATATTTATTCGCAAACCGAATTAAGGTAACAAGCCATGCTTTTTAACTAACTGTTGTTTTCATTTACGCTGGTGCTTTCAGGCTTACCTTAATTTATCGTAAGTTTTTCTCCAAAGTTCATTATTTTTTGTTGTGTTTTATATCTACTCTTGTTAGCACAGCTCAATTCAGGCCGAGGTAATAAGATATATTGCGATAGTAAAAAATAACGGGCAAGAGCACATCCATTAATTAATTTTATGAATTTAACGAGTAATGTTAAATTACTCTGCGCGCATCCTTTGTCTGTTAAGTATTCCCGACCAAACACTCCGAGCGGGTCGTTAAAATTGTAGTGTCCGACGAAACCTCTCGGCAACTTCTGGTGAGTATACACCCGCAGCCGCCTTGGCATGGCAGCCTAATATTGCCTGCAGTAAACCACTAAAACTTCCCAGTGTTAGATTAACTCCTGCCAGTGCCAGTTGGCAGTTGTATCAAAATAACAGCTCTCCAACAAAAAAAGGAATTTCTACAAAAAATAAATTCTGACCTCGCAGCTTGCTAGAGAAGCCACAGAATGTAAACCCGCCTAATTTATTCCTCCATGACATTTTATAGCCGCTTTAATGATGTTTTTGTGTGGCCGATTCGAGCACGGTACGTGTGCAACATTATAACTGCAATAATTACTGGCCACGGAAACCCGTATCTCATGACGATTTGTTTAATGCTATCACGTTTTATAGCTCATACTTCATAGACGTAATATTACGCAAACTGCCCCCACAAAATGTAAATAGAATTCCGCTGGCTACTGTTCACGGCATTTATCGCTTGCATAATATATGCAGCCATACGGGTAACAAGTCCTGTATTCCCGAATCCCGTACAGATACATGAATGCAGTGGCAAACTCGTGTGACTGGCTGCATTACACAGTGCAACTGTCACGCCATAATATAATATACTTCATATTCTTGTGCTCTTTGCAGAAGGTTGACGAATGCTTCTGGGACGACGCCTTGTCGGGATGGATCCAACCGCATCTGTCCACCGCTGCCCGTTTGGTATCGAGTGGCACGTCTGGGGTTCTTCCCCTTGCTTCAACCAGAATCCTGGGCTACGCAGTCACAATAACCACCATCGTTCTTGCGGGCATCTTAAGCGTCTCGTTAGTTTACCTGGCAGTCGTCAACCGCCACTGGACCCAACCGTTAGCGAAGAACCAGCTGCCGTACTGTCGCAGATTTGCAACGCAGATCCAAAAGTACATTAAATACGCCACCAGAATTCAGCTGTCCGACTGCATGGTATTCGGGCTGCATGTGGCGGTTGGCATCGTCAGCTTCGTCGTCTACTACCCCGGCTGGATGATCTTCAACGCCTTGATAGTATTTATGGCGTGGATGTTTGTCACACTGGCCATAAATATTGCTGGCCCATCCGCGGTATTTCCTGGCTGTATCATGTTTTCTAGCATACTGACCGTTTACTGTATCGGCAGAATTTGGGGATTGTGGATGAATAACACCTATGCTGCACTGATTAAAAAAGGAGTCAGGTAGGGAATTTTGCCGGATACGAACGGTATCGTACACGTAAACACCCAGCACTAGAACAACATGTACAGTACAGTATATCTGTGCTTTCAATACTCGTATAAACGAACTACAAACAATATTACAGATAAATAAGCTGATTGCAGTATATTACAAGTGTACCTCGGAAAATAATGCAGTTTGCTGAAAATATGTACGTACCGCTGTTTCAAAAACTTGCAGAAAACTGACTGCTGCAAAATCCACCGAGAAGCCTTTATCAAACGATGCCCCATTGGAAAAGACATTGGCTGGTAATGACAGAAAGCATGGAAGAGGACGCTGGGGAACTGCAGCATGCTACATGATTGCCTTTTGCATTGGATGCATTGTCGTCAGCCACAACGTCGACCCATTGTTTAACAAATTTCCCGCTGTCGTTCAATGGTTAAGCAGCACCGTCACGAGCAACACCGGAAGTAGCAACACCGGAAGTAACAACACCGAAAGTGGCAACACCGGAAGTGGCAACGCCGGAAGTAGCAGCACTGGGAGTTGCAATACTAGAAGGGGTAGCTGGACGTATTGGCAGGTTGTCAGTACAACGGGGAACTGCACTAAACCCGGAACAGTACGCAATCGCGTTTTTGAAGAACATAATAAATTAAGTTTTTGTACTACAGTATTACAGGAGAAGAATTCTAGGATTGATGAACAGTCTAAGAGACGTCAGAAGAAAATTAGAAAGAAAAAATCAGAAAATCAGAAAAAGGCTTAGACGTCAGAAAAACGTTAGAAAGAATGGTTGTATTTTTTTTCCGAGCTGAATAAACTAAACTGCACTTCTAACGTCTGCCGTAAGAAAATTCTGAGCAGTATTTTGAAGAAAGTACTAGTAACAATAAATGTAATTTTACAGCGATTCGGCCAAGAAATCACGATGCTGTCATACTGGGTGGACCTGCAATCTGCAGAACTGCGCTCGATGCCAGCTAGCAGCAATACCGCGCTGCTGCTCAGCTTCACCCCGTCCTTCTCACCAGCCGTCGGATGGACGTTTCTGGTGTGGAGTGGAGTGCTGTCCGGCCTCAGCCGTATACCGATTATGGCCATGCGTTGTGCTGTATGGAGCACGGTTGTCATCTCCGTCATGTACTCCTGTGGACTGCTCTTATGGACGGGTGTTCGTGCCTGCTGTAAAAAAAGCCCACGAGATGTTAAAGCCGAGCGAAGCAGTAGAAGCCCACGAGATGTTAAAGCCGAGCGAAGCAGTAGGACCGAAAACAGGTGGAATAATTATTATTTTTTACAAGATGGCATCGTAGCGTAATAACTAATGACCGCACATAACCCGAGCTGTCTCAATTGATTGGTCGCGCACTGTTCTACGTAAACCCATGCGCTTGACTTTTTCACGCATGCACTTGCCTTTCACTTTCCGGGCGGGATTGTAATAATGATTTTCTCACTTAATTACGCGCGGCTGAAAAATGATGCCGTTATTTTCATGTGTGCGTGTTGGTTCTTATTTGGTTCTTCTAGCACTATGTACCTGATCTGTTGCACGAGGCCCGTGTTCTGTAACAAGGGCTGTTGTTATTTCAGGAAACAATCACCGCTATTAACTGCGGACGTTTCGACGCAGGAGACCGATATTGCGAACCGGGAGCCATCGGCTCATTTGCCGGAGTTGATTAACGTTACGATAGATGATACTCGCTCTTGCACTGTACCTTCCGACCATTTGCTAGGGGATACCATTGGCAACCAAAAACTCCCGGAAGCAAAGGACAGTCACGCTGTAGAAGTGTCTATCGAATGTGCACCTAACCCGAATGATGCTGCGGAGCCATCAGAATGTGGCGGCCTGTGTGACATATGGGGTTATAGGAAGTTAGGCCTGCTGCTCGTCATTTGCCCCTTATTGTGCGGCTGGGTACTCCCGTATCCAGTGGTGGGCCTCTTCCTGCCTGAACGTCTGCAGCTGCCCGGCTTGCTGTTGCTGCTGACGGCGTACTCGATTTGGATGTACTGCAAGCTTGTACAGTTTGTCCGGCTGACGTGGCGCGATTGGTGTTGCTGTACAAAAAAATTGGAAGGGTGTTGCTTTGGTCGAAATCGCGCGCAACAACCCAGCCCACACGCCGAGGAGTGTGTTCGTCTTTCTTAAAATCATTCGGCTGGTGTTCGGCTTTTTAGCTCGTTTTGTGAACCTGGCATGATTAATACCGGAGGAGTTAAATTTCTGCTGTCTTTATTAATAAAACAGAGTATTTGTTGATTTTTAGTGTAAATTTCAATAAGTTTATTGGGCTGGACGAAAAAAATGATCTGAATATGAAAATTGTTTTGTGGCTTCTGTGGCCGCGATTTGCATTCATACATAAACTTTAGATAATTCCACTTGTTGGCGAGTTTGCACTCATCAGTCCATTGACTTTGGAAAGATGTTAGATATGTTGTCTAGGAGATATTGTTGAAATTAGGCTTCTAAAACCTAAAATGTTTTGTGTCAGCATTCACAACCAGTAATTGTGAATTTTCGAAAACGCTTCAAGTTCAAGTTTAAAATCAAGTTCAAGTCAAAAAAGTAGCGGAGGGTATGCCTCGAGCCTTCGAAACATGAATTTGAACTTGCAAAAATGATCTTTTCCAAGCTTCAGTTCAAGTTGGAAGGCCCTCCAACTTGAGCTACTTTCAGATTGTTGCCGTTTGTGAACGGCCGAATTATAAACTTGAACTATAGCAAATGTTTAGAAGAAAAAACATTTTTCTGCAACTTCTTTGCCTATCTGCAAGTTTAGTTTGTGGTGGTTTAGACACTAACGGTGATCAACGGAGAGGACCGATTTCTTGATTTCTGTCGTGGAACTGACACCAACTAACCGCTGGGTGCGGCAGTTACCCACTTGGCTGTAGACAGACGCTGCAAAGCTTTGTGCTGCTTAATTACTTCACCTCTTTGCGAACACTAGGCAATTGTAAGGTAAAAGATAGAGAAAAATCTAGCAATTTTTTTGAATGCACGGAAGGCCGTTTCTGTTCACAATGAATCCCTGAAGGTTTAGTTGAAATTAGCATGGTACCCTATGGACGGCGGAGTACTCGCACACCACCACTTGTAGCTCTAGCTCGTAGGTCCCTATGGTAATTTTAAGAACGGATAAAAACCTTTGTTCTCCATCAAATCTTCCTCCCGTGGTATCAAAAAACACTTCAGAATTTTCTCATGGGTGTAGTCTAAACTTTCATGAGATGTGAAAAGCGAAAGTGATGCCTAAGGATCCTGAAACCAGTCATCAAATTTTCGTAAGGCAGCATCGCTACCGCGTGCAGGGGACGGTTAGGAAAATTCATGAACTTCAGTTTGGTTTGCTGCGTTTCGAAAAGTCATAAGTGTTCAAGTTAAACTTAAAACACATGGTTAACTTCAAGTTGCTAACTTGTATTTGAACTTGTGTCTGAATTTGAAGTGGTTTCGAAAAGTCCCAAATATCTACAGCACTTATACGTACTGTAAAACAGTAAGTGGGCTTATCAAATACTCTTTTTTACGATGTAATATATGTTTGTACATGGGAAAATTTACCAATAATTTTTATTATTGCCCGCCAAAATCGAAGCACGCATTGCATATGTACATAGTTAGATAGAAACACAAGTACAGAGTATGTACGCAGACTACCTATGATGTTGAAAAGCGTTTCATTTTCAAAAGCCACGATATACCGCAGAATATCTTTTACATATCATGCTATCTACAACCTCGCGGGTTTGAAATGATTTCATTACTTAGTATCCTAACTTTTCTTACTGCCTCCGTAGTGTATGCCTTACGTATACACTAAAGTTTCTTAAATTTTCCTAACGGAAATGTGGAATACTGTACTGACCGGATGCATGTATAACTTGCCAGTTTACTTTATATGGCCCTGAGTTATTACTCTTGCTGGTAGGATAAATTAAATCTTATTTCATATACAGAGACAAGTCGCTACTTGTGGTTGCAACAGTTATAACATGAAACGTCTGCGCCGATACATAAAGAATGAAAAGGAAAAACGGCAAGATAAGGCAGTGAAACAAGAGAAGGGCTAGCAAACTGGGAGGATAGAGTCATACGAATTACGAAAGAATTGTACGAGTACGGCAAGAATACTGTAGATAAAACAATGTATTCTTGCCGTTTAATTTTCATACAACAGGAAACGGAAATGAAGTCGATAAGACGTGATAGTTCAATGTTATAATAAGCTAATGTAATTCTCATTAATTTACTGATGTTCCAGTATTCCATAAAATCCGACTACATGCACGCAGACTAATGCATTCAAGGTCTTATCAGCCGGTCTATGAGGAAGTTTTTTCCGTCCTGTTTGCATTGTCAAATTCCAAACTTCAGAATAACGTTTAACGGAGAACAATTATGCTTCTCTTTTACTAATTACTTGTATGATTAAGCACTATAAGATTACCTGTAATGGTGGGTACATTGTTATGACGTGTTGTCGTTTTTGAATAGAACTTATTAGGTGTATTTATAAATATGATAACTCGTACACCATAATGACGTTCATGTACAGTCTGTGTACAGTGCATTGTACATTAGAACGATACCTTGTACAACTGTTGCCAGACCTGTAGCTCGTGGAGTACGTCACCGATTACCTTCTGGTTCGCTTGTAATCTGTTTTCACCTGATATTCCTATCCAACTTAACTTCTGTCTTCATTAATTTTATATTTTACGTAATCCCCCAAGCTGATGTTTCCTGTTGAAATGCAGTTATTTTTGGGACATGAAGCAGTTCCAATACAACCGCCAGACACCGCAGCGTAATGCGGTTTTTTATTTCCAAACTTGCAAGAATCTCCAAAATTTTGCCTTTTTGATTCTATTAAAAAAAGCAGCTTGTCCGAAATATGAACGTTTTACAGAAGAGATAAAAACTGCAACCGATCAAGGGACATGACATTGTGAATTTTCACGACATTTGATTTCACGGACATTTCATCTAGAGACATCCCGTTTTTTTGGCATTTAGTCATATGCAGACTGTTCGGTGCCATATACCAGTCGATAATTTTTCGGCTCCCCAAGAGTCGCACGATCAAAAATCGCACAACAAAACGGCTGCAAAACGCGTTCTCCCAAAACAAATAATTAGCAGCTGCGACGAAAAACGTGTGGCGAAATGTCCCGCCGCTTGGGCTGTCATGTACTGATTGATTGACCGTGACCAGTATATCGCTTATTTTCCATGATTAGATTTATGCGCGGCTACCAGCAATAGATACCGAAACGCATCCCAAACAAAATTAAATTAGAATCAAAACGACTTAAACTAAAATCAGTACCGGCGGCCGATGCAAGGTAATTAACAAGTTTATGTCCGTATCCTTCTTGTTCGACAACAGCCAGCGCCAGGACACACAATAAAACGCCTGCGCATGTACGTAAACACTCATAAAAATACACTTGCATAAACTTATAAAAACGATAACACTTTAAAGTTTATTGAATCCAAAATCGTTAGTGTCATTCGTGATCTTCAGACGCGCATTCAATGCATCCACATACCGCTGCTGCATTTCTTTTGACTACAGGAAGATTTAAACGCTGTCATTAAAGCAGCCGCTAAACGAGGTTCCCGGTTATTTCGCGGATCTTCCGACCGGCAAAACAGATCAATTCGGCAAAAACCACTCCAAGCGCACTGAGTGTCTCAGTAGCCAGGAGGTAAGAAGGTAGTTGTTGACAAAAGCATATTTCCGGCGCTTGCTGTCTCCGGCCAGTTGCATCACACTTTCAGCCTTCTTCAAGGTGGCGCACACGTGGAACACGGCGTTCATAAAAACCCCAAAAAAACATAATTATAACGATAACATTTTCCAGGTCAAGTGGCGAACAAGAATATTATCTACATTATTATTAATACGTCTGTGGGTGGAGTTTCGTCTGGAGATCACGAATCATGCAGACGTACACAGCCTTGATGACATTATCTAGCATCAGCAGTGTTGACCCTTTATTTGCCTATGATTACAAAAACACTTTCAGTAACTCTTCACGTCGTTTAGCAGTCGCCTGAATTTCCGGCAATTCTTGCCAAAATGTGGATCAAAAAGTCGTTTTTCGTTACCTAAACAAGAAAATGTCGTCGCTATATCCCGAAATCTTGATGGAATCCGCTGTGGTGCTGTGGTTCGCATGCCAGATATGCTTGAAATTCGGACTGCGCATCCTTCCGGAATGGCGAGTCAGTCGATTGGACCCCAACCGCTTCAACTACTTCGATTCCCTGCTATCCCTCTCTGGCCTTGTAAGTCTCGTTGTAACTGCATAGGTAATTATTTAACCGCTGTATTTAATTTACTACATAACAATAGCAGTACTCAAATTATTCTGGATTCCGCGGGATGGTTCTCTTAACTAAATATTTTTTATCAATTAAGTGCATCCACTTTTTACTTCAGTGTCAACGGAAACTGTAATTTGTCCCTGAATAACACATTTAGCTTTTGATAACTCATGATCTGGCAAGTTCAAAAAGTTTTACAGCTTTTGTTGAACTTTCTTCTATTATACTACGTTTTGTAATTACAACATTGTCATCCACTTGCGACGGCTCAGCTCCATCAAGAAAGATCACAATATATTTTAATTTTTATTAGACGGTACGTAAAAGGTTACCGGTCATCTCTTTATTGTGTTATTATTCTTTGAGGGCTACTGTAACATGAAATTAGAAGTTTTGTACAGCCGCTTACTGCGCACATTTCTGGTCTGTTCCTCCCAGCTTTCACGACGGGCGACTACGTAGCGCAGCGTATCAAACAAAACACTTCAGGCATTTCCGGAGCGTAAAACTGCCAACCGCCTTGGTATGGACGTTTGCTATTCTGCCTACACTAAACCTGTACGAGTACGAATAGGATAGTTCAGATGTCTCAGTCTCATGTCAGTAAATTGTCTGCAGCAGCAGCCACATAATTGGGTTCTCCATAATTATTCAAAACGAAGAAGTTCTTTCGAGATTTGAAGGAGGTTGCAGTACGCACAGTTATCAGAAAGAAAGATGTTCATTAATGATTTTGCCGCTCTTGGACATACTACATCAAGGTAAAGCTCGATTTTGCAATACAGTATTTGCTGTTGTTTTATAGTTTTCTGTTTGTTTGACTTTTTACATGGGACTTTAGAGCTGCATAGACGTACAAATATTCCCCGGTAAAAAAACTTAAAAAACGCGCAGAGCACTTTCCGGTTTGTGCGATCACGGATAAAAGAGCTGAAAGTACTTTTAAGGCATTAACGTACTTTTAAGGCATTAACGTAGAAAAAACCCAAGCGGAGTGCTCTCGCCAGTAAACATCTGCGACATCATACCGAGTAAACTGGGAAAGTGTACATCTCTCTGCCAGTGACGCATGATAACGGCCATCAACAGTGATTGCAGACTGAGATCCAGAACTGATATGAGGAAGAGAGGAAATTGCTTGGGTGACACCGCTTTTCCTTATCTATCCAGTAATCTCAAAAAACTAGATAAACAGTGTTACGAAGAACTTTTTTTCCATACCGTCTGGCGCTGATAAACTTTAGGCACAGCCGCAATAATAATCTAACAGTCTGCATTCCTCAAGGCAGCAAGCGGTGACAACAGACGCCATTGAGACTTGCCCAACCCAAGTCTCTCTCTGATCGCCACTAACTGGCTTTTGAAAGTACAGATAGATAATGCAAGCAGGTTTTTTTGAGTTTTTTTATGCGCACCAGATTTCCAAGAGATTGTATCATTTGTCCTTCAGGAGCAGAGTGTAGATTAAAACTTTTTTCTTCGCAAAACTATATTTCAATTATCCGGTTTAATGGAGCAGTAAAGTCTTCGTATACTTCTATCCGGTTTAATAATAATTAACGGAGTTTATCGGAAACGAAGCGGAGACCTTTAAGTCCAGCGTTTAGCGGCGCGAACAGGAATTTTTTAAGGTTGCATACTACACTAGTGCGGCCGGTATAGGCATCGTTAATATATTATTCAATTTCAAAATAGGAAATTTAATTTAGAAGCTCACTGTTTTTTGCTGAATCAAAAGGTAAAAGCAATCAAACTAGCCGGTACAAATTCAGAAAACCATGAATCTCCATTAATTTTCCGACGCTGTACATTACTGGTTAGCGCAGCGACTGGGATTCTGCATGAACGAGGAAATAACGTGCCGTGTTACGCTGTAACGATTTTTTTAATTCGTGCAGAAGGTTAACACATGCTTCTGGGAGGATGTCATGTCGGGATGGGTGCAGCCGTATCCAGTCACCGTTGCCCGTTCCAAATCGGCTGGAATGGTGGTTGTCCCGGCTGCGTCGACCGTGGTCCTCGGCTACCTGGCAACCGTTACGACCATTCTCCTTACGGCGCTCTTGGGAATCTCCTTGTGGTATCTGGTATCTGCTAATCGCAACTGGATGTCTCCCGTATTGAAGCGTCATCTGTGGCGCTGCCGTGGAGAGGTAGCATTTGCCCACCACCATAAGAGCAGTCCATTGGCCGGCGGAATTCTGCATGATTACATAACGGTCCTGCCGCAAGTGCTGACCAGCGCCGTCATCTTCGTCGTTTTTTATGCTTCCTGGGTAGTAGTCAGCGTCCTACCGGTAATGTTGGCATGGATGTCGGTCATACTGGCTGTAGCCATATTTGGCCCATCTGCGGTGTTTCCTGGCTGTATCCTCTTTGCAGTCCTGCTAACCGCTTACTGCAATGGCAGGATCTGGGGATTGTGGATGAATGACACCTATTTTGCACTGATGAAAAAGGCAGTCAGGTAAAAAATTTGTTAAGAACTGCAGCTGTAACCAGCTGCATTATAATTAAATGTTTAATATTATTGGTACTGTTTATATCATTGGTACTAAGTGCTTATACGGCATTACGTGGTTTGTAATAAAGTAGGAATAATATACACTGTATAAGCTACATAAATAAACTTATTAAATTATTATGATTGGAGACCGTATTATGCTTGTAAAGGAATCGTATTTTGGTGAAAACAAATGCCTTAATTCAGATTTCTTACAGAATGTTGACTACTGCGAAATCCACCGTCAAACCTTTCTCAGACGATCCCTCCCAGGAAAAGGCGTTCGTAAGCGCAAAGAGCAGCCTTGATGAGCAATGGAACAGCATTATTTACAGCTTGTTATCCTTTAATTTTGGATGTATTGCCGGTTATTATAACATCTGGCCTTTGTATCAGCGATTTTCCTGCGATAGTCAAGCGCAAACCGAAACCGAAAGGACTAACTGGACCTGCTGGCAGCGGGTCAATACGACGGGAATCTGTAGCAACTACGGAACAGTACGTACTCGCGTTTTTAATAGGTTTTCTGCGTTACAAAACCATTACGGTAATTCTCTAAAAATAACATACGTTGGCAAAATGACCAACATGCTTTCAATCCTCTCCATAGTTATTTTTTTAGATCATTCTTACGAACAGATACGTAATAATTTGGTGTACGGTATTTTGACGAGGTGGCAGTAATTGTGTTTCATTATGTATTACAGTATTAGTTACATTGCCGCACTTTGGTGAGCGAAATAACTTATTGGCTATTTTAGTATTTGATTATTATTTCTCGTATCATTTCCACCATACCCAACAGACCAACACTCAGTAGTAACTGCTGCAGTCTGCAGCATTTTCTTTTAAAAATATTTCTAACCATCTTGTAAGTAAAACCTTCTTAAAAAAATGAAAATATTTAAATACTGTTATACGTTTACAGAGATTTGATCAAGTGACCGCGATGCTGTCGTACTGGGTGGACCTTCAATCCCAAGAACTACGCTCGCAGCACACCGCCAACTCCGCGCTACTGACCAGCTTCACTCCGTCTTTCCCCTTAGCCGTCGGCTCGGTTCTCCGGGTGTGGTGTGGGGTGCTGTTCGCCGTCAGCAGTGTACCGTTTACGGTCCTGCAGTACGCGGAGGGAATTACCCTTGGCATCGCCGCGGTAATCGGTGCGGGATTACTGATTTACGCCTGTGTCCGTGCCTGCTATAATAAATGCCGCCGGGGTTTCCCGTCTCAGCGTGATGTGGAGACGGGCGACAGGTAACTGCATATCTGTATAATTAAGAACGCTGTGCTTGGTAGCTAATCTAATTACGACGAGGAGCGTGATATTACGTCGAACTGGACAGCCGTCGGCTCATAGCTTGTAGAATAAGGAAGCCAGTTACGCAATACGGTCGCAGCTTACTGACCGCACGTCCTACGTAGGATTTTGTTCCACTACGCAACCGGCTACATTCACAAATACTAGATGCAAAATACAATTCCGCGTATATTTTATTTCCTTGATAGCGGCAGTAAAAAAAGTGTACGGCAGTAAAGTAAAGTCATGTACGGCAGTAAAGTGTACGGCAGTAAATTTTACGGCAATACGGCAGTAAATTGCATACGTTTCAGGCTGTCCAGTTGACGCAATGTTTCAAGTAGCCAAGATTATGGTCATGAATCGGCCGCCGTGTGTAGTATCGCATTATCGACCTGACGTATTAATGGAAACGATAACTAAATTATGTATGCAAAAGGTATGCCTCGTGCATTTGCGCACGGCACGTTCTGATTTGAAAAAGTACTAATTTTAAAACTCTACTGGACAAATATCACGAGCTTTAAAGTGGAGCATAAGGTACAAGGTACTTATTAATTTCTTTATTTTGAGTACTAGTAACCATTTCTCTTTTTAACTGCGTAGGTTTTTAGGCGATTATAATTGTGAACGCAGTCATAAAAATCAAATGAACGTACAGTAAGTATGTGCATAAATTTAAAATCCATGGCTACAGTTGTCTGTACTTCGCTTTTAAAATATTATTCAAAATAATTAAAAAAGTTCTACGGCCCTGTACAGCTAAAAAAAATTCCCTGCAAGTAAGCATTTGAAAAATTTTCTTAACAAAACGTTTTTCAAAAAATCGAAAATCAGGTTGTTTAGATATGGAAAATATTAATATGTTGGAAAATATGGAATATTTACGATGCAGTCAGTTTCAAGCTTGGTGCAATTCAGTCACATGCTCGGGTAGTAAGCCTAGAGAGCCGGGTATCTTCAGTTACACTAATTAATACTTTTATTCAGAGATGAATCGCAGCTGCTCTCGGTTAGCGTTGCCACGGAAAGGAAGGTTAGCGTGGTAACGGCTGATACGTGTACGGAACCATCCCAACATCCTCAATGCGGCATCGCTTCCAAACACAATGCGCAAGGGTGTGTCCAACACACCTTTAAACACCCCATGCCGCAGACCACCGAGACGACAGAACCCTTTTGCCTGTGTGAGCCACTGGTCATGGCTTGGTCAGGCATCGTGGTTACCCATGGTCCGCTGGTCTGCGGTTGCATCCTCCCGTATTCCCTGGGGGGATTGTTCCTCCCGGAATATCTGCAACTGCCTGGTCTCCTGCTGCTGTTAACGGCGTGCGCTATTTGGATGTACTGTCAGCTGGAAACGTTGGCATGGCTGATGTGGTGGGGTGTGGACAACGTTGTAAAGGGATACCGAGCAGACGCCGGTGGGAACGGCAATGTGCTGAGCGGTCTCCATAGCTCCCAGTGATCGCTACCGTCCCAAAATAATTTGGTTAGTCCCCGGATATTTAGTTCTTTTAGTATATTGCTCATCGGGTACAATTAATATTTTTGTTAAGTATTCTAATAAGAAAGGTGTTTTCAGCTTGGTTTTAAGGAACAAGCTTATCGATTTCCCGCATAAAGATTTAAATCACATTTCATAGCAGTATGCAAAAAGAAAGTATTTTGTTTATTTAGCATGGTAACCACGATTTCTATCTGTGAAAAGATTTCAGGATAGCTTTGTGAACATTTTCAAATGCTTGAAATTTTATACGTGTTTAATGCTTTTAGACCGGTTTTCCCGCTGACACCAGCCCATCAATGCTTTCCCGTAAAGCGACCTCTTCGCCATTTCCTGAAGGGCGGCTTCCCACAAAGCCCTTACTGCTTCCCTGTATAATAACCGGCTCAATTATTCGCCTAGCAAGTACTCGTATATTGTAATTTTAACCTCTTTTACTTCTAACCGAATTACTGCCGCTTCACATCTTCGCTGTGTTTAGGCTACTTATCTGGCGTTTACAGTTTCTTGATACTGTGCGATGATTGTTTTGTTCTGCTAGCTGTTGATAATTTTTAACTGCATTTTGTTTTTTGTTAAATGCGAGTGTTGCTTCCAGTCTTACAGATGTGCATCATCCCGAAAGAAAGGCCATTTGTTTGTACGAAAGGCCATTTGTCCCGTTACGATTTATTTCAGCCAGTTTAGCTTATAAAATTTTTTTATTTGTTTAACAAGTACAAATGCGTTACTGCGTTTTGTGTATTAGCTATTAAATAAGTATATATACAAGTTGACAACGACATCTGCGCAGATGGTTCATTTATCCTAAATACGTACTTCAAGTTTTTAACTCGCTTGGATGTTGGCGGTCTGACTGCACTGAAAACGGCTAGATTTCTGCCCGACCCGCTTTGAAATTTTGCAACTTTAGGATGGCACTGGCGTTCTGTTCACTACAATGAGTAAATGGTTCCTGAAAAAAATTGTTCAGAGGTTCAACTAACCAGTACACAGCTCGCATGCAACATGTACAATGACATCTATGCAGATCTATGCCTTAGCTACGCATTGCAAGTTTTTTGCACTACCTTTGAAAAGTAATTCGGCATCAATACTGTATTAATTCTATCACGGCGAAGGTCTCAAAATTTATAGGCGCATCATCCGGACCTGATCCGGCATATCGACTTTCAAAAATTTCAAGAATATCAAAATCACAGCACCAGCACAGCACGGACAAATCTCTGCCACTTCCGGTTCCGGTACAACTGACACCAATGGCAGCCGCCTTCGTAAGGCGGGTAGGCTGAACGCTGCTCAAGGTGAGTCCCTGGTACACGTATACTTGTATAGAAGGTCTCGTGGTGCACTTCGTAGAACTTCTGCACGGTCCCACTGGATATATTTCCCGAAAATCGCAGTAATAAAAAAAAACTCAAGACAAATAGGCGTGTTACAGATTGGATGTTTGCATTTACTTTTGTCGGCATAGAAAATTCCCTTTTCGTGGTGTCAGACTCCACTCTGAGTCAGCAGTGTTTATCTGCTAAATTATGTTTGGACAATCAACCGTGTCAAGTCACTAGTGCGTCGGGTTTATGACGGTTTTATTCGTGCAGGCATTGCAATCCATCGAAGGAAAATCGATACCGGCGTCCGGTTTTTTTCTACAAGCATTTTCAGTACAGAGGAGCAGTAGACGGGATCTGTTATGACGGCAGCAAATTACAGTGATTGTCTTCCTACAAGTTCATGGTCGCATTGATGGCGAAGGAGAGCCAGACAATATCGATCGTAAAAAGACAATATCGATATTTTATCGGAGTTCCAACTGGAATCCCCGAATCATGCTGACGCAAGTCAGTAGCATGGCGCCATCTTACATGAATAACTGGGTGTACATTCTATCCAGGGTTGTCTTTGCTTTGGATAGTCCGGGAACATCTGTTCTATTGTCGATTAGTCCGAAACCCCTTTTTACTAAAATGGGAGTTGAAAAGCCTTTCACTTTTTCGGTGGACAAAGAACTGTTTTCGTCTTATCCTGAAATTCTGACAGAATCCGTGCTGGCCCTGTGGTTTGCTTGCGAAATTTGTTTGAGGTTCGGGCTGCGCGTTCTTCCAGAATGGCGAACCAGTCGGGTCGACCCCGACCGACGCACTGATTTGGATACCCTACTCGAACTATCCGGACTTGTAAGTCTCGTAAATATACTGCTATAACAAATAAGGAAGCATTTTAAAGTAATTTCCTGGCTTCCGAAGAATCACTGGCAGAAATTAACGAAGAGACTATTGCCGCTTTAAAAGAAAAACACCCACCACGGCCGCCTGGTACGGTTTTTCCTGAACCACCTGCACCCGCTCTTTCTGTCCCCCGCGTAACCCCCGCGGAGCTGCTGGATGCTGTTTTTAATATGCCAGCAGGCTCTGCCGGTGGATTTATGGGAATGAAACCGCAGCATGTCAAAGATATGCTGGAGAGAAGAGATGCCATCGAAGGAGAATTGTGTGTAGCTATGACCAGTTTGTTGGATGTTATTGTCAATGGAAAAGTTCCCGTTGACGTACGTCCCTTTTTGTTTGGTGCAAATTTAGTAGCCCTGAAAAAGCCAACTGGTGGAATTCGTCCAATCGCAGTGGGAGAAGTATTGCGCAGATTAGCATCCAAGATTATCAGTGCACGATGCCAGGAAGAAATGGGCAGAAAACTTCGACCAGTCCAGTTAGGATATGGTACGAAAGGAGGCGCCGAAGCTGCCGTACATGCAGCGCGAAGTTATCTGGAGGCGGAACATATCGAGGCACGCGTCATGGTGAAACTAGATTTCAAGAATGCTTTTAATATGATCAGCAGGACTGCCGTTTTGGACGCCGTCCGCTCTGATATACCACAATATTACCCCTACTTCCACCAATCGTATGCTCCATTTTCTCACCTGGTATGCGGAGAGGACGTGATCGCTTCCGAATGGGGAGTTCAGCAAGGAGATAACGCTGGCCCACTGGGATATTGCCTGGGGACGTTGCCACTGCTGAACGGGCTTCAGAGCGAATTGAAATTAGGTTTTTTGGATGATGTAACATTGGCCGGAAAAAGGGAAGCCGTTATGGCAGACATCCAACAGATTGAAGAAGAAGGGAATAAGATCGGTTTGGTTCTAAACCACGAAAAGTGCGAAGTACACTTTTTTGGGGGAACAGAAGAAGAACGTGCAGCGGACAAACATCGCTTCTTATGGCAATGGCCGGATTGGGAAGTTCGCGAGAATGAGAATTTATATCTCCTGGGCGCACCGGTTACCGTATTTGCAGTTCCGTCTTTCCTGCGTGGGAAGATATCTGAAATCGAAAGGTTGGTGGAAAAGCTAAAATTACTACCATCTCAGCAAGCACTATATTTACTGCGAAACTGCCTAAGTGCACCGAAACTGCTGTACGTTTTAAGAACAAGCCAAACATATACGTGCCCGGATATTTTACGCGAGTTTGACAGTTTGATGAAAAAAGCCACCACTTCAATCGCCAACGCGGATATTAATGAATCGCAGTGGACACAGATGACTATGCCAGTGGGACGAGGAGGACTGGGTATACGGCGTACGGAGGAGCTAGCACTGTCAGCGTTCATCGCTTCGGCTACCTCGGTGCAGCCCATCTGCTCAGAATTGCTCCCTAACTGTCAGTTGTCGGGTCTAAATGAAGCCATAACATTATGGACTGATACCTACCATTGTGAACTGCCAGTGGAACATGCCCGGAAATCTCAGAAAAGCTGGGACTGGCCGGTGGTGGAATTGTCTTACTCGAGATGAAGACTGAAAATCATGGAAAGCGGAAGTGACAAGGAAATGGCGCTCTTGCTGGCTGCTTCAGAAAGGGAATCTGCAGCATGGTTGTATGCGTTGCCGGCGGCTAGTTTGGGCACCCTACTTTCCGATGATCAAGTAAGAATTGCCATAGGACTGAGGTTTGGCTTACCTGTGGTAGCTAATCACGACTGCCAAGCATGCTCGTTTCCGGTAACCCCGGACGGCCACCATGGCTTGTCTTGTTTGTACAACAAAGGCAGATGGAGCTTACATTCTGAGTTAAACAGCATTCTTCATCGTGGATTTTTTGCGGCGGGTATTCCTAGTGAACTAGAGCCCAAGGGAATGTCGGGAGATAATGGCATGCGGCCGGATGGAGTTACTCTGGTACCAGTCCGTGATGGAAAACAGCTGGCATGGGATGCCACATGCGCAGATACAATGGCACAGTCGTACCTTAAAGGAACTGCGAAAGCGGCTGGTACAGCAGCTCGGCAAGCGGAAAGTCGGAAGCGACAAAAGTACCGTTCCCTCGGAGAACAGTATCTGCTCTATCCATTCGCGGTGGAAACGCCTGGCGTGCTTGGAGAAGCCGCGAAAGATATGGTCAGCTTCGTTGGACACCTAATTCGGGGAAAGACAGGAGAAAGCCGATCTACAGCTTTCTTAAAACAACGCATCAGTCTAGCGATAATGAAGGGAAACGCTGCCGCAGTTTTAGGCACTTTGCCGGGCAGAAATAAATTTGTGGAAGGGAATGATTTTGGTTGTTTTTGGAACTTGTAACCGTAGTGTGTAATCATCGTTGCTGAACACGAAGGAAACTAATAAATAAATTAAGGTTTTTAAAGTAACTGTAGTAGGTACTAGGCTGTGTCGGTGGTAGTCATTAGTCAACGCGGTTGTTAATTGCTGCAGGCGCGGGCACGCGACATGACAGATACGACAGTGGAAGTTGCACATTATAAAAAGTAACCGAAATCTCTAACTTCACTTGGACAAACCATTAAAGAGAATGTAGGTATTTAATACAGCCGTCGCAGTTCAATTAAGAGCAATTAAAAAAGAGCAGTAGAGCCTGTACAGAGTACAGTTGTTTTATGTATTTCAAATTCGTATATGTTTTGTTTATTAAACAACAAGCCGATTACGTACCGTACTTTATTTCAAAGGGAGATTACATGTAGTCGCTGCATTCACGTTTCTAACTAATGCTTATTCTATGCCATTCTGGAAAGTCAATACACTTTGCATCTTTGCTTTGCTGTTACACCATTTACACATGCATATTAATTTTTTTAATAGCCACCTTCAAAACCATAGCTCAGTTACAGTAGTTGAAGATAACGCAAAGTACTAATATACAAAGTAATAATGGTGAATTAAACTGAATTTATTGTCTTCGTGCAACGGATTGTCTTCCGCACTTGTTTTAAAGCAGTGGACACTGGACAATGATCAAGGATTACACGTGAAGGCACGGTGAAAAACAAGAGAAATTTTTAACAATTTGCTAACATTCACAGGAAAGCTAACAGAAACAACACCCTGCAATCAGTCATCATCCTGATAGCGTAAAGTATCTATCGCTTAAAAGCTGAAGCCAAGGTTAGAATCGACAGGATCAGGATCTAAAGCGAACACGGATGGATGTCCACACTTCGCTACCACCACATGACGGTGGTTATCAAGAGGGCGCTCATTTTTGATGGCTGGGATACATTCAGGATATGGTCGACATCATGGTTCAGGACAAGGGAAACGATAATGCAGATGGATCAATAAACCCAGTCCCGTATGAAAACATTTGATGGCCAGATTCTGGGATCTAAAATCTTTGCAGGCATCTCCTTAAATGTTCTGATCCGGGCGAAGGTGGAAGTTCTCCTATCCCGTGGGTAGATATGAAAACACTCACAAATCGTGTAGTAATTCCATTGGCTTTCAATTGGGCAGACGTGAAATTATTGTACTCTTGAACACTTTTAAACTTTGAGTTTGAGAGGCGTGGAATTCCGCGCAAACAGAAGTTAGCATGGGGTTTACGATTACATTGCAGCGCACGTACCAGTTCACTGCGAGGTACTTCGTTAGTATTGCTTTCCGCGACCATAGTTTCCCGTATCATCGTTGGCTGACGCTTCGTGACTGATGCATACGGAAAGCGCTGTGCACTATTAAAAATACAGCCGCATCCAAGCACCCTTAAGCATGCGACGTCGAGAGGGCGGGATGTAGTCCATCCCGCTGCGACGGCCATGGTTCTCGGTTCCGTGGCCACATATACAACCATCATCCTTACGGCAATCTGCGCTATCTCATTATTTTACCTGGTCTTCGCCAACCGGCACTGGGTGTATCGAAAACCGGAAAACCATCTGCCGCACTGTCTTTGGTTGGCGACGATTGCCCAATACATTAGCTGGAGTGCCCGCAAAAATACATCTGCGGGCACTGCAGCTAATGTATTTGTAATGGTGGATGTATAATCAGCTTCGGTATTTGTTATGGTGGATGGTTAATTTTCAGCGCTCTACCGCTGGTGCTTCTGGGATGGTTGTCTGTTTTGCTGACTATAACTATCTTCGGCCCATCCGCGGCGTTTCCTTGCTGTATCAGTGTATCCTCTTTGCTACCATACTGGCCGTTTACTGCATCGGCAGAATTGTGGGATTGTGGATGAATGACACCTATCTAGTACTGATTCAAAAGGGATTCAGGTAGCTGCAACAGCTTCTGTCCTTATACTTACGTGCGCATTTAATTTCGTGTCGTATGCAGTATTCAAATGGCCGTAATGTGTCTGTTAACTCCCAACAATATTAGAAGCTACGAAATTAATGTTTAAATTTCGCATCGTTTACCAGGCTTTTTGTAATTTGAACGGAAACTCCTCAGTAAAATTGTTAACCTTCTAGCCGGTATTGCACTCGTCATGAGTACAATACCAACATGGATCTACATGTTTGTAGTACTTTACGGAGCTTTATGCAGTTCATTTGTTGTTTGCATCACTGAGAAAATTTTAATGCAGAAAACTGAAAAAAATGTGATTGCTTGATTCATTTCTAGTTTTTTACTATTTGAACACCGGGTTTGTTATAGGAAACTGATCGCTGCAAAGTCCACCGCGGAAACTCTTTCGAGCGATTCCCGTCTGGAGAATGCGTCCGTAGCGTTTGTGAAGCGCCCAGGGCTTGACCACGTAGAAAAGGCAGTTTGCAGCTTCCTCATCTTTCTTGTTAGATGCATTGTCGTCCACGACCACGTCTGGTCATTATGTCAGTACTTCCCTATCGTCGAGTACTGGCAAAGCAGCATTAACATCCCCTTCGTCACTCATGGGCTAAGCAACACCCGAGACAATGGCGGGGGAAACACTGCTGGCACTGGCAGCACCGGAGGCAGCACCGGAGGCAACACCGGAGGCACTAAATGGATGTACTGGACGACTGTCAATGTGACGGATGCCTGCAGTAAAGACGGAACAGTATGCGCTCATGTTTTCAAACCTATGCTTTTGTGTCGTACGAAAAAAACAGTAACATGATAACTAACCAACGGTCCAACATCAAAATAAACAGCAAACGAAAGTGCTATGATTCCGTAATTGTTATAAACACTCTTGCGCACATACCACCCAGTCTACTTACCTAATTTAAATGTTATTCTATGTTATGGAAATTAAATTTTAGGAAGTCAAGTTTGAGGTAACGGGGTAACCCATTTCAGAAGTCTTGCGGACGTAAAAAATTGTTTAATAGCATCACGCAACAATAGTGCAGTGTAGTAGTGTGAACCCGTAAAATTACTACACTTTCAGAGACTTTTTCAGCGGACGGCGATGTTGTCCGACTGGGATCTACAGTCTCAGGAACTGCTTGCAATGCATACCTCCAAGGCCAAGCTACTGGCCAGTTTCGCCCCTTTCTTCTCGCCCGTCGTTGGCTGGATGTTTTTGATGTGGTGCGCAGTGCTGTCCATTGCCGGTGGCGTGTACTATGTCATATTTGGACTGGTCGTGTTGTTCCTCGGTGGAATGCTCGTTCACGAAGCCGCCCGTCTCTGCTATGACCCATGGCGTGGGTGTGTTATAGCCCAGCGTAGCGGGAAGGCCGGCGACAGGTAATTTTGCCCTTGAAACAGCCTAACAGATAAATCACTGAAACTCACGTTAGCCACCGAAATAAAAATAATTACAAGCGTTAACTTTTTAATTAATAGTTAATGTTTAAACATTATAAACCCATCTGAAGCTTCGGTCTTCTCTATAAGTAAATGGTAAGGTACTCCAAATAGCCATAGCAGTCTCTTTAGAAACAGCTTGACTAATGTGATTTTACGAATATGTAGTAGTAAAAACCTTCCCCAACGAAAATTACAATTTTCTAAAATTCCGACGTATCAATTTACTGAGATCCGGACGAAAAACCCTATCTGTAGTGTTTTATTCATTCAATAAAGAATATAGTTATGTATCCATTTTCAAGAAGCGAGTACTTCCGGCATTTAAAACTTTCAGTCTGTTGGGCCACGCTAATAACACAATGGTCACAACGACAATGGTTATGCGCGGGTAAAAACATTCTTTGCGTTCCCACAACCTGACTACCCGTCATCAAGCTGTTGTCTTATAATCCGGCCCAATATAGCGCACTGCCACAATACATAAGTACCGGTATTCAATGGAAAAAGTGGCAACGGTACCAGTATTAAATGAACGACAATACTGACCAAATTCAATAAAGGCGGGTCTGTTGTAATTTCAGGGATCAATCGCAGCTGTTAACTGGGGAATTTGCGGCGGTGGAAACTGGTATTGTGGACAGCGCACCGGTGAATAGTTTATCCATCTTGAGTGACAAGGCGCTAGATGGTGCCTGCACTGCACCACCTGCTAATTCACAAGAGGACGGTACTCCCAACCAAGTAATCCAGGTGGAGCCCGCCCCGCAAGTTCTGTCGTATGCCCATCCCAGACACCCCAATCAGCAGATGCCGAGAAGCCAGATCGCTTCTGCATATGTGAGATGGTGCTCTGCAACGCTTGGCTGTTCACACTGACCGCCCATTGCACGTCGTTCGGCGCTGTGTGGCTCCCGTATTCCCTGGTAGGACTGTTCATGCCTGAACGTGTACAGCTGCCCGGTCTCCTGTTAGTGCTAACCGTCTACACCATTTGCAGTTTCGTTATTGGCTTTCTGCTCTGATGAACGATGGCTTCAAATATTATTAATGACTGTATGTCTTATTTACTATCAGTACGACAGTACGTGAGTGTTAACTTGTTAAATGAGTAAACAAAAACACACAAGAACGGTCCTACCGGGTTATGGTCAGGTGGCCCGTTGCAAAATGAAGGCAAATGAAAATGATAAGCGTACACAGTACAATATTGGCAAGAGTTTTCCGACGCTTTGCTGTACGTAACTATCCCAAATAAGATTCATGTCAAATGTACACAACGCCTTTTAATTAGCGATTTACGTCACAGACGAACAGCCGTCGCATTGTACAAAGAAATACACTTAACAATTGCAAGTACCAGACTGCATACGCTACCGTACAACGCTTATTACATTTGGACGAACTGCTTGCTGAGTAGTGAGTAGTGGCGGATAAACAGTACTCATACTCAGTGAGTACTGTTTATCCGCCAGGAATCCTGGCGATTTGCAAGGAATCGGAAATAATGTGTTTTAGTGTGCCACCCAAAAGCGACCGTTGTTTAACGGCTGTAATTATCACAAATACGCCATTAAAATTGTTGAGTCTCTTTACTTTTAGGTACAAGTTTTATAATTTATTTGCATCCATAGAAAATGTTGCCCTTTTCTTTTTGAGATCTCCACTGGTCAGTCAGTGAATATTAAAGCAATGATCCAAGGATTCTCTAATTTACAAACAGTAACGGTACAAGGAAAATAGAAGAGATATCTGTGCCGCACTTTAGATACAGTAACACCCACCAAGGTGTTGGAAACAATGAATTACCAGCGTGCAGCCACGGCTGGGAAAATCAACTATATACAGTTGCATATCTATCTACATTCTACGTACATGTAGCTCTGATTTTTACATTACTATAATCACTGAAAGGCAAAGCTGTCTGGAACAAACTTCTGCCACTTCCGGTTCGCTGGCTGAAACATGGGGAAAACCCATATCTATAGCTGAGCGAGGTAAGAACCGTGTGAATGTTACCCGTGCCGCGGGAAATGTCAACATTAAATTCGGCTAATACTCTAGGGTAAGCCTTTGCATAGTTATAAAAATATAAACCATTGCTGTACTTAAGGGACGTGACCCGTGAATGGTAACAAATTCCTGTACATTCACGGGAACATTAGCTTTCGCGCATTCACAAACATTTTTTGAACTGCTTTATGACATTTCATAACCAAATAATTTGTATTTTAGTACTGTGCAGTGTGCATACATTGTCGTAAGTGAGAACCGTCTGCGGGCGCAACACAGAGTTTACAAAAATCATCGATATGTTGAAGTTAGGACCTTACTTGACAGAAGAACAGAAGAACGATGTGCGTAATGCATTTTGGGAATTCTGGGAATTCTTACCAACTTCGAAGAAACCGTACGGAGATGTGAAAGGAATTACTCACGTTAACGACACGGCAGATGCAAAAACGGTGAAATGTAACCCAGTAAGGACCAGCTGGACAGGCCGCGAGTTTATAACGAAACATATGAAAGAGATGCTGGCGCAAGATGTCATCGAACCATCAGATGCTTGCTGACTGGAGTTTTCCGGTTGTGCTGGCAGCGAAGAAGAACGGCCATGGAACGATGGGCACGCGATTTTGCGTCAACTACATTATGCTGAATAAATTTACGAAAAATAATAATTACCCGTTACCGAACCCCGATGAATTGCTTGACGCGTGTGCAGGCAATAAATACTATGGGAAAATGGACTTACAGAGCGGATTCTGGCAAATTCCAATGGACCCGGCATCAATAAACAAAACGCCGGTCGTGAGAAAAAAGCGCTGCAATTTCCGCAAAAAGATTTTCCACGCGCAGTTCTGCATTACAAGTTGCATAAATGCATTATTACCACGTAGTACATATGTATAATGCGTAAATACTTGTCTTATATTTAGTGGCATGCGCTTTGAATACTGGACCGTCGGCCTCTTTGAATTTAAAACGGGCCGACGACTCGTGTGCGCTGCCCGGCCCCTGGAGCGTTCCTTAAGCCTGTGTCATTACAGTACCATCATAATCGTTTACTTCGTTTACTTCATCGACAGTCATTTCCATGGTTTGAGTTTGTGCTTTACATCTGCCTCAGCAATTGTCCATACAGTATATTTAAACAATCTAATCCCAGACACGAAAATAGTTTTTTTCTGGTTTCTTGTATGTTTTTAACATACCTTGTTGTCAGCCTGATTATAGATACATAATTATTATGTGCATTTGTTTGAAAAGGCGTCGCGGCACACGAAACCTTAATTTCGGTCGCACAACGTCTAAGACTCCGGCTATGTTGATATGCCAGCTTATTACTTTTCATTAATTTTGGCAACCAAAGAAAGTGCCACTGACCTGGTACGCTCTAGCGGTTTTATTTGTAAATGGTTAGACACATACCGAACAATTCGACAAACAAATTGCAAATTAAAAACAAATCGTTCACTCGCAACACCATAATTGGTACCGGCGGTCAGTTTTTTTATAAAGGTTAATAAGCATTTTTAAGGTAATTAAACAACAGCATTCTCGGTACAGAGAAGCAATAAACAGGATGGCGATCAGTTTTTCATGCTCCTGCACTTTTCATATCCGATTTATGGTCGATTGTTATGTACCGATAAAGAGGCGTTTGATGTAAAGGGAACAACAACGCTTGAAGGGCGGAGTTCCAACTGGAAGTCTCGAATCACTACCCGCGCAAAGGATGAACGGCGGAGTTCTGCGTTGCATGACATCATCTTCCACCATACATTAGGCCTCTACTCTGAGTCTCTGACCAAGATTGCCTGCGTTCTCAGTAGGCCGTTACAGTTGTTTACATCGCTTTGCAAGTTTTTGATTAGAAGTTAGAACCATTTCTGCTACAATGGGGCTCAAAAAGTCTGCTACATATTCTGCGGATAAAGAACGGATTTCATCGTATGCAGAAATCTTGACGGAAGCCGTTTCGGTTCTATGGTTTGCGTGTCAAATCTGCTTGAAATTCGGGTTGCGAGTCCTTCCAGAATGGCGTGCCAGCCGATTAGACCCGGACAGCTATAACGCCTTCGACTCCCTCATCGAATTGTCTGGGCTTGTAAGTCTCGCTCTGTCTGGGTAACTATATATAAAATAATACTTTTATTCGGCTTCGGCCAGCATACATAATAAATCGCCTGCGCAGGTTTACACTAATTAAAAGCATCAAATTTTTAAACATTAAAAAAACATCCAAAATCGTTAGTGTCACGCATGATCTTGGGACGTGCGTTAAGTGAGTAAATAAATAAAATAATTCTGTTTAATTTTTATAATTATTAATTACGGCAATTCTACAATTGTGTTTCTGAGTGAGATATTAACTATTTTTGCATCCAAGTGTTTACACTTTAACTAACAGTATTGCAGTATTTGAAAATACTTTCAAACTTACCAAAAAACATTTTATAATGTGTACAAGCTTGTCCGGTAATTTCTGCCGGTTCAATACAGCGAAATACATAAATTTGCGTGTTACGCCAAACGTAGTGTAGTGGCAATGGCTATAGCGCAAACTTCGCGCTAAATATGTGCTATCTGTACCTTTACGACAGAAATTACCGGACAAGCTTGTATTGGGCAATAACTAGCTGCTTTATCCGTGTCTCATTATCTCTTACTTGCGCTTACTTATTTTGTGGCACGCAGTAAAGTTGGTATACGTTACTGTTGCATCTCCATCAATCTTTTTCGCTTTATTATGTGTAGAGATAATAAAGTACTGCACCTCGCCACTCTTACCTGTAAACCGGGTTATACCATAATACAAATAATAAACTACCTTGCCATTCTTACCTCAAGTTACCTGTACCTATCGCGTTTCATTAAGCGAACTAGAGTAGGGTATGGGTTGTGCGCGGTGCGTTTCAAACAAAAAATTTCTGACACTTCCGGAGCCCAAAAACTGCCAACCGCCTCGAGGTGGAAGCTTTAGTTGCTGTTTGAAATAAAACTGCAGAAGAGAGTTCTTACTTGCTTGTCAATTGCCCTCTTCATTATATAAGTAGTTCGAGTATTCCATGCATGATCATAATTGATATAAAAAAGCAAGTAATTCTGCAAAAGTTTATGTTGCAACATGATGGAGCTACCAGGAAAGAATTTGCAACCTAAGAGACTTGTCGGTTCTAGTTGCTTCGAAAGAAGGTAAGCTTAAACACACGATTTTCTAAGAAACTTTTTTTGCAAGAGTCATCAAACTATATTACTGATTATTACATAGAAATTACAGCTCTGTAGAAGCATTTTGCAACCTTCTCTATTGAAATCTTACGCGAGTTACCTCGTACTATCAAGTTTGTGTGACAATAAAAACGTAGAAAGGCATATTTAAACTTTGGAGTTCTTAACTGACACATTTAAGCCATTTGCATACTAATTATGCTACTTGCTAATGCTACTACTTATTGGAACTTGCCTGAGCTACTCTAATCTAATTCGGCTCTTCGATGTGTTTTGCCTTTGAACACAATTTTAAGGAACACAGTTTTTTTTATATCGATATATACACGTCCGCTGCCGTGAATTGTGTATAAATCGCCTATTGTCCGTGCAGCCTCATATTGGTGATAAAAACAAGTCTACTTCTCCGTAGGTATTGTATTACATCGTACTAATACGAGTACTAATATTGTAGCTATCGCATTTCTTTACACAACAGAAGACCAGCTCTCTGCATCGTTCAGTTGTGCTTTCCGTAAAGGTTTTATTCTGCGGGCAGTCCGCCCGTTCGCATACTTTTGCAGCTTGTATTTTATTTGAAAGAAAATAAGACGGGGGTTGCAAGGAAAATACGGGCTTATCCCAGCTTCAGATTGGCAAAGTTGATCTCTGCTAACTCAGCCTCAATTCATTCCCTTTCTTTTTCTTACAAAGCAGCTGTCAGGGGGTTTTAATTTCTGTCTGTAGAATATGGCACAACGACTTGTAGTTTCTTGTATGCTGTCGCACTTGGGAAATTTTATTTGTAATGTTTCTAGATTTAATTGCGGGCAACAAACTACATCCATGTACTTTGTATTTGCACTAACCAAACTGATGTTTGGCATTCCTGATCAAGAATTTAACACCCATTCGCAGTTTATGTGACTGGGCAACCGCCCCACGAACGGGGAATGAAGTGATCCTACTGCTTACGATTTTTGAACTTTTCTTCTATATTTCTTATTTACGCCTGTTATCATTATGTAATCAAACCGATTGACAATCAAGAATTATTTATTTGAAAGATAGTTAAATAATAACGGTTGTGGAAGAAGGGCATGCACTGCATAATGGGCGGTGGACCAAGGGCGTATGCTGAAGTTAATGAAATTAAATATACGCATACTAGCTCGGCCGATGCACGCCGCAGTGGTCTTAGAATAATTGTTGAATAAGAGCCGATCAGTACGTACCTTCTGTTTTTGTTGCTAGAGTGCAGTATGGTTTATGCATCGAAATATAGATACTATACCTATAACTTAACAAGCCCAGCACGGATAAATATTGGCCGATGACCAACTATTATATTAAAAAATAAGTAATTCCAAGGATGTGTTGCTTTGTGGTCGCTTACAGACTGTCATAATTGATAATATTAATGAACCCGTACGTATGTTTAGTAATATCTATATTATTATGATACACTTATAAGTTAATCGAAACACGGACTGTCTACTTGTAAATACAGTACATAACTTGCAATGACGACTAACGTGATGATGACTAACGTGTTAAGTTATACATGAATTTTTTACTTTGTATTGTACTCGTACTTATTGTTAAGAAGCAGCTCAGATATTTCTACTGTTCTGGGTCAAGTTGTGCTAGAACAGTGTGCATTTCTTATCGCGTCCATGGTAACAAGCTTAAGATTGACCACTGGACCTACTTCTTACAGAAGGTTAACGCGTGCTTCTGGGATGATGTCATGGCAATCTGGGTGCAACCGCACTCCGTCACAATTTCCCGTGCGGCATCCGCTGGGCTGGTGGTGGTCCCCGCTGCTGCGTCGAACATTGTTCTCGCTTACATGGCCACCGTGACGACCATCCTCCTTACAGCCGTCCTCGGTGTCTCGCTCTTGTATCTGGTAGCCGTTAACCGCGACAAGATGGTCTACGCCCCGGAAGCCCATCTGCTGCTTTGCCGTGGACTAGCGGCATTACGTCGCCGCAAGTGGCACAAGATTCTCGTCAAAATTCCTCTGCCTATCTATATAACTTCCTTGATGATTGCGGTGGCTACGGCAGTTGGCTCCGTTCTTTTCTATGCTGTTTGGCTGGTTTTCGGCGCCTTGCCGGTGGTGCTACTGGCGTGGCTCTCGGTCGTGCTGGCCGTTGCGGTATTTGGCCCGTCCGCGGTGCTCCCTGGCTGTATCCTCTTCGCTAGCATAATGATCATCTATTCCACCGGCCGAATTTGGGGATTGTGGATGAAGGAGGCCTATTACGTACTGTTTAAAAAGGGCATCAGGTAAAATACTTATGCAGCGCTACTGAATTTTTGTGGCAAGCCCCGGCTTTCTTGTGCAAGCATACAATTTCACTTGAAATCAGAAATAATGATAAATCTTAATCCGCATTACTTACAGGAACTTGATTGTTTCGAAATCTACCATGCATTCGTCATCCATCGATCATTCAGTGGAAAAGCCGTTCAGAGGCACAGAAGTCAAGCAATTGTACGAAAGCCGAAAAAGCGCACTTTACAATATGCTGGTCTTCTGTTTCGGCTGCTTTGCCGTGTACCAGAACGTATGGCCATTGTGTCTGCAATTTCCCTCTGTCTGTCGGTGGCAACACAACAAGGAGAGCGCAAACTGGAGCTATTGGACGCTTGTAAATTCCACTTCATGTAGTAAACACGGCACAGTAAGTGCTAAAAAAGTTTAGATCACGCAAAAACTACATGGAAATAATTTTACGATTTAAATCACTTTTACAAATACATCTTCGAAGATAACAAGCTTTCATACGATATATTTGTGTGTGCTGTTATGTTCATCGTCTGATAACTTGTGATTATTTTGTTTCTGAGTAAATTTTTGATAAATGCCCATAGAAGTAACTGATGAAATTAGATTTTTTTAAGCAGAAAATATGTTACAGCCTCTTTTAGCAGTTCAACACAGCGAGAAAAACAACTGTATAAAAGTACTTTTCTCAGGGCTTCAATCAGGGGACAGCGATGCTGTCCTACTGGATAGATCTGCAGTCTGAGGAACTGCGATCGACGCGTGCCGCTAATTCCGAGCTGCTGGCCAGCTTCACCCCGTCCTATCCACCCCTCGTCAGCTGGATGTTTCTGGCGTGGAGTGGAGCGCTGTCCGGCGCCAGTGGTTTACCCTATACAGTGCTGCAGTACGTGGAGGCAATCGTCATCGGCCTGGTTGTCTTGCTCATCGCGGGACTGCTCGTCCATGACGGTGTCCGTGTCTGCTACAACACATGGCGTCGGCGTGTCTTGGGCCCGCAAATCAAGGAGACCGGCAACAGGTTATTTATTATGTATCCTTAAACTAGACTGTAGGATATTTATGTAATGTCCGTTTGACAGTCGACGTTGGCTGGATTAAGGACATTTTTACGGTACTCGTATGGACTCGCGTACCGGCCACCAGAGATATGGGATTCAGATTCTCTGCGTTGTTCCACATTAAAAAACTTGATAAATTTTTATTGATCTTACATACAAGCTTGTACGAAAACTGTAACTGGCACTTCATGAAAATTTTTGAAAAGTTTTTGTCATGTGGAGCAACACAGGGAATGCTGTGTCTTTGGTGTCCGGTAAGCACATCCGTATTGTGAAAATATCCGAGATGCCAAACCTTTGAAATAATTGTCTTGCATTAGTTGCAACGCGTTTCGGCATATACGTACCTGTTCTTACGTACCAGTCCATTTTGGTTTGAAAAGACGCACATGTTTGTTATTTCAGGGATGATTCGCTACTGATACCTACTGACGTTTTGGAGGCGGAGACCGGATTACTGGACAGCGCGCCATCAGATCGTGTGCCTGTATTAGCGAACGTGACGATGGATGGCATTGGTACTGGTCCCTCCGACCCGGTGCAGTGGGACCTCGGTGGCGACCATGTTGTACCGGAAGCGGAGGACGAACACGGGACGCCGGTGTCTGTCGAGTGGGCACCCACGCCTCCGACGGCGAAAGATGCAGACGTGGCAGAACCCCATTGCCTATGTGAAGCACTGGGCCTTACATGGTTGTTAGTGTTGGCCGCCCATTGCCCGTTAGCCTGCGGCGTGGTGCTCCCGTTCTCTGTGGTGGGACTGTTCTTGCCCGAAGAATGCCAGCTGCCCGGTATCCTGCTGCTGCTAACAGCCTATACGGTGTGGATCTACCGCAAGCTGGTGACGTTTGTGTGGCAAACGTGGTTCGCTATGCAGTCCATTCAAGCGAAAATGAAAGAACCTTGCGATGACTGTGGAGATAATCCGGTAAAGCCGCCAGCTGCGGAATCATCTGTAATGGCATAATTCGGTTCGTTCCCGCCTGTTCGGTACTAATGAGACTTCCGACATGGGGCACGATTATTATGGTCATAAGGATGGGTTAGTTTTACGTTTCGTAGTAATGCATTCGTGACTTTATAGATTTTGTTGCATATCGATTAAAAAAAATAAATTTTGTACTCAACGTTTCTAACAATTAATACGAGATTATCCGGCATTTTCGATAGGGAATTCTTTAGAGCTTTTCTCGTATTCGTAATAATTGCGCCCTGTGTCATGTGGCTCCGCCTGCATCGTTCCGCGGTATCCGGCAATTTTTTATCACCGATTACTGTAAACTTGCTTGAACCAGGATAGAAGAACCCTCCAGTTTCCCCTATTTAGTGATTTTTTTAAGAATTCCGAACGTTGACTGATAGTGAGATTCGAATACCGAATAGAACACCTTGTCTCTGGTGTCCGGAACGCGAATTTATATCGTGAAATTGTCCGGAATGCGAAAAACGGCGAAGTTTTTTGCTTTGACGCTATGAAAGTCCCTGATAGAGCAAGTTTACAATAAAGATCCGTAGAGTTTCGAATGAGAGCATCACCTCCTTGGCTATCATATCGATTACAAAGAACCTTCGTGCTGACTCCGGCTTTTCCCCTTCACGGGGTCCTCACCCCCGATGCTTAGCTCCTCGCCCTGCAAGTTCACGCTAGCCGATGACACCCGGCCGACGCGCTATCTAATCATCCATGCTTTCCCCGTATAGCGCTCCTCCTGCCAATCCCGGAAAGAATATTCCCGCGAAGCCGCAGCCGCTTTCATATCCGACAAACCCTATATGCAATTTTGACATGCATCCATTATACGTATTTTGTGGTTCATCTGTCTGGACTTTAATATTTAGCGAGAATGGGTAGTAACAGAGTCTCATTATCGTTTAATTACTGTACGACGACCTTTTCTTCGGTCATGCACTAATGCTGAAAACGATTTGTCGGATGTGTTTGTCGAAGCGTGCGAACATATGGTACAAAAAAATAAACAATTCTTTGTAAGACCGGGATTTTTAAATCGTTGCGATGCTTTTTGAGGGTAAACCATACCGTCATTTAAAACATACCAGTTATTTATACGATGAAATAAAACCAATTGATACGGCGTTTAAAGTAAAATGTCTACCAAGTACACTGGAGTTCAAAAAAGTGTTCCATTCGGTACAATTTAATGGCAAGACCAGTACGAGTAGCCATGACCATACTTCGCCTGCTTTCTTACACTTTCTGTTCCACACTAACTCCCTCTTTTTTGCATACTAAGAACTGCTTTCACTATATCTACATCAGTCTATTTCCTCATCCCATTTTCCGCCATTCCAGGCAAAAAGTGTCCAAACAACTAGCTTACCTATGGTTATTTACAGAGTACCTACAGCACTTCTGCAACTTTAAGCTGTTCTTTTAGTACGATTTTTTCGGCTTATTATGGGTTGAAGTCCCTTGAATATGGAATACATGTAAGTAATGTGGCTTATAAGTAATCGTAAGTACTTTGCATAATATACGAATATACTCATACATATTTCGCATCGGTTATATGCAGGTGTATTCGCTGAACCGGATCCCCCCTATGTTATAGCCTATGGGATGTGCCGGTTCAGGTTCCAGCGTATTTACTTTTCAGGTGTGTTTGTTTACCAGGTGTATGTAAAGGCAGGTTTCACTGTATCTCCCATCTTTTCCGCTTCACGGCGCCATTCCCCCAGATGTTTACTGTGCTCAGTACAAGCCACCATTAGACAGTTACGCCCATGGCCGACGTGTTTTGTTATCCATGCTTTCCCCGTGTACCGTTCTTCCGTCACTTCCGGTTCAAAGATTCCCGCGAAACCGCAGCTGCCTTCATTTATGATAACCGGCCAGTTACATACAGTATATAGATATATACCAAGTATTTACAGGCCTTTTCTAATTAAATTTTGACGTGCTTGCATTGAGTTTTCGTGATACATCTGGACACAAGTAACCAACGGAAATAAATTGTAAGTGAGCCTCGTCCTAAAGCTCCAGAAATGCTTTTGCTCGTACCACTGTCACCGATACGGTGTATACTTGAATGCAGACAACAAACTTTTTCAACTGCTTCTGAATTTGTTATAATGTTTTTGTTTAAGGCTGTGCTAAAGTTTACATTTCGGCCTTCAAGATGCAAAACAATTATAAAATAACGCTTGATCTGTTATGGTAATACTTAAACGATTTGTCTGATGCGTTTCGTAAATAGATGAACATAAAGTAACGAGTTTCGTGAGACCGTGATTTTTATTTCTTTGCGGTGCTTTGGAGAACGGTCATTTTGTCATTTAAAAGGCAATTTCTGCAATGAATAAAATCCATAAACACAGCCAGCAAAATAGAAAAGAAGCTACCTGAATTCTTTAAACGATTTGACGTGTTCTGGTAATACTCAAGCGAAAATGTTCAAAGAATGAATAACCCGGCATAATTACGTTCAGCGGGTTGTGTGTGTAGGATAACTACAAAGTAGCTTTTCCTTTTAGCTTCAAGCTTCGTTGTAGCTGGCACACTCATGATTCTGTAGGCTTTTTTCTACAAATGGTATTTTAGTTTTCGGTGTCAAATTGTGTCAAGGGTTGTGTCAGGTGCCCAGAGGGGACATCTATCCCGCTGCATAAGACAATAAATTAATTAAAACTGAGACACCCATGCTTCAAATTCTGCCACTTCCGGTTCGGTCACTTGAAGAATTGGCAACCGCCTTGATAACCGAGTGAACGAACTATAAAAGCCGCTAAACTTAACTCACGAGAAGTTCCAATGTGTGTAGAACTGAATTTAATTCCACCCATACTTCAAACCTTACACATACAACGCCATAAATTCTTATTAACGTTGCATTGCTTTTCAGAGCGCAAATTCATATATGTGGCAGATTCATTTATCTATTCTGTGGTTCTTTAGTTTATACTTCCAAAATCCACTGACGACTTGCATACTTTTGCGATGCCAACGGACTCGCACTACAGTAGGTTTCCGCCTAAACAGTTATTCAATCCGGAAACTGTGAACAAGCGCAGTGCTATTTCAAAGGTTTCTTGGGGTCACATCCCGACGTTTTTCTTAAAATCGTATTAAAAAATTATATTGTTAAGTAGACCTGGGTATAAACAAGAGATTTGAATTTAATTGTAACTGCGTCACAGTACACACAGAACACCCATGTCCATGCTTCAAGCATCTAGATCTAACGCAGCCGGCAGCGTTAATCTGTCAACCTACTCCAACTGGAAATCATGAGCACAGATAGGTGAAACTGATTTATTTCCATTTTCTTTATGCACGCTTACCGAACAAATTAGCGATGCAGTGTTATTCGCAGAACGGAAGTTGACACCAGAGACCGCTTTTTTAGCATAAGGGAATCATCAGGATTCTGGGTATACAGAATTGGTAAACAGGATTTAGAGAGGCTGTGAGCAGCTTCGTTGCTTGCTCGAGTTGTAATTCTGGCACGGAAGAGCCTGATAAAGTAGATATGGCACGTTTCGTACCACTCCATAAAACCGACCATATCATTTCTTCACAGTAGTCTACCTATTCCAACGTATTCTCCATGTATTCGCGCTGTATTCGTCTCGTATTCCTCCCTGTGCCGACCATATGATTTCTGTATTCGCTAAGTGGGCTGCCGTATTCCCACGTATTCTCCCTGTATTCGCGCTGTATTCGTCTCGTATTCCTCCCTGTGCCGGCTGTATGATTTCTGTATTCGCTAAGTGGGCTGCCGTATTCTCCCGTATTCGCACTGTATTCGCACTGTATTCGCGCTGTATTCGTCTCGTATTCCTCCCTGTGCCGGCTGTATGATTTCTGTATTCGCTAAGTGGGCTGCCGTATTCTCCCGTATTCGCACTGTATTCGCACTGTATTCGCGCTGTATTCGTCTCGTATTCCTCCCTGTGCCGACCGTATGATTTCTGTATTCGTTTAGTGGGCTGCCGTATTCCCGCGTATTCTCCTTGTATTCGTGCAGTATTCGTCTCGTATTCCTCCCTGTGCCGACCGTATGATGTCTGTATTCGCTAAAAGGGCTGCCGTATTCCCGCGTATTCTCCTTGTATTCGTGCAGTATTCGTCTTGTATTCCTCCCTGTGCCGACCGTATGATTTCTGTATTCGCTAAGTGGGCTGCCGTACTCTCCGTATTCGCACTGTATTCGCGCTGTATTCGTCTCGTATTCTTCCCTGTGCTGGCTGTATGATTTCTGTATTCGCTAAGTGGGTTGCCGTATTCTCTCGTATTCGCACTGTATTCGCGCTGTATTCGCCTCGTATTCCTCCCTGTGCCGACCGTATGATTTTTGTGTTCGCTTAGTGGGCTGCCGTATTCCCGCGTATTCTCCTTGTATTCGTGCAGTATTTGTCTCGTATCCTCCCTGTGCCGACCGTATGATTTCTGTATTCGCTAAGTGGGCTGCCGTATTCTCCGGTATTCGCACTGTATTCGCGCTGTATTCGTCTCGTATTCTTCCCTGTGCTGGCTGTATGATTTCTGTATTCGCTAAGTGGGTTGCCGTATTCTCTCGTATTCGCACTGTATTCGCGCTGTATTCGTCTCGTATTCCTCCCTGTGCCGGCTGTATGATTTCTGTATTCGCTAAGTGGGCTGCCGTATTCTCCCGTATTCGCACTGTATTCGCACTGTATTCGCGCTGTATTCGTCTCGTATTCCTCCCTGTGCCGACCGTATGATTTCTGTATTCGTTTAGTGGGCTGCCGTATTCCCGCGTATTCTCCTTGTATTCGTGCAGTATTCGTCTCGTATTCCTCCCTGTGCCGACCGTATGATGTCTGTATTCGCTAAAAGGGCTGCCGTATTCCCGCGTATTCTCCTTGTATTCGTGCAGTATTCGTCTTGTATTCCTCCCTGTGCCGACCGTATGATTTCTGTATTCGCTAAGTGGGCTGCCGTACTCTCCCGTATTCGCACTGTATTCGCGCTGTATTCGTCTCGTATTCTTCCCTGTGCTGGCTGTATGATTTCTGTATTCGCTAAGTGGGTTGCCGTATTCTCTCGTATTCGCACTGTATTCGCGCTGTATTCGTCTCGTATTCCTCCCTGTGCCGGCTGTATGATTTCTGTATTCGCTAAGTGGGCTGCCGTATTCTCCCGTATTCGCACTGTATTCGCACTGTATTCGCGCTGTATTCGTCTCGTATTCCTCCCTGTGCCGACCGTATGATTTCTGTATTCGTTTAGTGGGCTGCCGTATTCCCGCGTATTCTCCTTGTATTCGTGCAGTATTCGTCTCGTATTCCTCCCTGTGCCGACCGTATGATGTCTGTATTCGCTAAAAGGGCTGCCGTATTCCCGCGTATTCTCCTTGTATTCGTGCAGTATTCGTCTTGTATTCCTCCCTGTGCCGACCGTATGATTTCTGTATTCGCTAAGTGGGCTGCCGTACTCTCCCGTATTCGCACTGTATTCGCGCTGTATTCGTCTCGTATTCTTCCCTGTGCTGGCTGTATGATTTCTGTATTCGCTAAGTGGGTTGCCGTATTCTCTCGTATTCGCACTGTATTCGCGCTGTATTCGCCTCGTATTCCTCCCTGTGCCGACCGTATGATTTTTGTGTTCGCTTAGTGGGCTGCCGTATTCCCGCGTATTCTCCTTGTATTCGTGCAGTATTTGTCTCGTATCCTCCCTGTGCCGACCGTATGATTTCTGTATTCGCTAAGTGGGCTGCCGTATTCTCCGGTATTCGCACTGTATTCGCGCTGTATTCGCCTCGTATTCCTCCCTGTGCCGACCGTATGATTTCTGTATTCGCTAAGTGGGCTGCCGTATTCCCACGTATTCTCCCTGTATTCGCGCTGTATTCGTCTCGTATTCCTCCCTGTGCCGGCTGTATGATTTCTGTATTCGCTAAGTGGGCTGCCGTATTCTCCTGTATTCGCACTGTATTCGCACTGTATTCGCGCTGTATTCGTCTCGTATTCCTCCCTGTGCCGACCGTATGATTTCTGTATTCGCTAAGTGGACTGCCGTATTCCCACGTATTCTCCCTGTATTCGCGCTGTATTCGTCTCGTATTCCTCCCTGTGCCGACCGTATGATTTCTGTATTCGCTAAGTGGGCTGCCGTATTCCCACGTATTGTCCCTGTATTCGCGCTGTATTCGTCTCGAATTCCTCCCTGTGCCGACCGTATGATTTCTGTATTCGCTAAGTGGACTGCCGTATTCCCACGTATTCTCCCTGTATTCGCGCTGTATTCGTCTCATATTCCTCCCTGTGCCGACCGTATGATTTCTGTATTCGCTAAGTGGGCTGCCGTATTCCCACGTATTCTCCCTGTATTCGCGCTGTATTCGTCTCGTATTCCTCCCTGTGCCGGCTGTATGATTTCTGTATTCGCTAAGTGGGCTGCCGTATTCCCACGTATTCTCCCTGTATTCGCTCTGTATTCGTCTCGTATTCCTCCCTGTGGCGGCTGTATGATTTCTGTATTCGCTAAGTGGGCTGCCGTATTCCTACGTATTCTCCCTGTATTTGTGGTGTTTACGCTCCGTACTCCTCTTTTTGCTGACCGTGTGATTTCTATTTTCTCTAAATGGTCTGCCCTTTTTCTACGCATTCTCCTTGTGTTCGCGCTATATTCGCTCTGTATTCCAGTTTGTTCTGGTCGCATGATTTCTGTATCCTTTAAAAAACCGCTGCTCGAACTACAAACTGAATCGTTCCCTTTTGAAGCAGCTGGCTCCAAATCGAAGTTATACAACGTCATATTTAAAGCTAGTCCTTGTTGGGATGCTTTCAAAAGTTCAGCAGTGGTCAAGAAACTTCCCTCACACCGGGAACTTTAAAGCTGCACTGGGAGAAACATTAACAGGTGACGCAAATCTGAACAATCCCAAATTCGATAACTTCTGATACATTTTTTTGCAGGTATTTTACGTTATTCTTAAATAACAATGAAATTGATGTGTTTGTTTAAAATACTTCGAGTTCGTTCTTTGAATTAAACCATGTTTGGGGTAACTCAGGGTGTATAGATAAAAGTGCAGATATTAAGAGAGGTACACAAAAACAAGTGCGGAACAATTTATAATTAGTTTTGTGGCACTCATATTTCTTTCTGGTAGGTGAACGCAGAAGCAGCTCCCATCTGGACACATTTAGAACTGGAAGGGTATCTGCTAATTTGTTTGCGCAGAAGAGCGGATTTGAAATTAGTATCGAAAGTCTGGACATAGTAGTAATCCGTATAGAATGTAGCGGATATAAAGACTAGTGTAACAGTGTGGCCATCCCCTGAAGTTTAGAGTATGCTGCAGCTTAGATATGAGCTTGTTGTTCCTCATTTAAAGGTAAGCGATATTGAATCCCACGAGAGAAGCTTACATTTAAAATGCTGTTTGCGTAAGCGTTTTTTGTGCATAAGCGCCACGCATACTCCCTGTATTCGTGCTGCATACGAGTTGTCCGAATTCAGTCCGGTTTATGTATTCTCCGATTTTAATTGCTATGTTCATTAATTGGCTATCAATGTCATCACGCGGTTTTCCATTTATCGGTAGGAAGCCAGTATCAGCACGGACTTGGGCGGCAATAATCAAGACGTTTTTAACTACTCAAATACCTTTTATCCCCTTATTCGTCATACTGCCTAACTGCACGGCGGTTCAGTTAAAGTGGTTGTAAGTTAAGACAAGATACGAGTCCTCGTGAATCAGTGCGATTTCAAATTTATCATTTTGTTGTTGCTCTTCGATACTCTCAAAATAAACAGTTGATCAGTTCAAATGGTTTGGTTTTGACACTTAGAGTTTATTGTGAAGATTTTGTTTGCTGGCAGCTGTGACGCGTTTTTGCATTTTTTGCTCTCACCGAAATCGACTTACAAATGAAATCGAACTACCAAATTAGTTAATGAGATGCTAGTCGTGAAGATGCTACAACAGTAGGGTCTCAGTATGTCACGACATATTAAAAGTTGCAGATTGTTTTATTCGAACAAAATTTCACGAAGAGAACCGTTGGCTACATTGGCCCCGGGTAAAACTCCATTAAATAGTACAAAAGACATTACAAAGAGTTATCAAGTGGCAAACAGTACATATTGGCCATAACAAACTGCAACTCGATCCTTTTTTATACATTCTTACGGCACCCTTCACATTTTCGTTGACGTGCGTTTTGCTTACTGGGCCACAGTTTGCTATCGAACGTTTGGCATGCAATGTGAAATCGCTTCCTGCAGACGGAACAAATGACAGTGTTTCCGGTGTCTTCTTCCCCGGATCGTTTACCGCAGGCATGACAGGCGATGTCTGCGGCTAAGGGTCTCTTTTTGGTATTTTTAGGTGCAGCTTTTGGCGGAATGACAGGTGTTTCTGCAAAACAAATTAATTGCAAAACCGTTTAACATAACATGAAAAATATTTCTTACAGGTAAGGGAAAGTTGATGTGCAACACGTTTTAAAACTTATCGAAAATCAAACTGCTTTAAAGCTGCTGAAGCTTAAAATATTAGTTGGTACGCTGGAGTAAATTTCAGTCGTTTACAAAAGGTTTACGTAGGCTTCCTTAAACGTTTGAGCACGTTGTACTGCGAGTTTCTGATAGATGGTGCAAAGGTGGGCTAAGCGGCATCTTGCGAGCACACTCGCTTTCAAAATTATTTTATTGCACATGATTGCCCCTAATTGAAACAATTCCTTATTTCATTTTAAAAACATTCCCCAGTTTCAACTTTTGCTTCCATATTTGCTTTCATCATCAGCTATTGAAGGGGAGGTAGTAATGACGGTAGAAACTCTATAATAACCAAACGATTTCTTGAAATGGGAAAGTTCGTCTAGTTACTACTTTATTACCTTCTGTCGTGAAGCTGGTGGACGCCACCGGGTCTGCCGCAACACGAATATGCCCAGATTGGCTGTTGGACTCCTGCTGCTCCGGTCGGCCAACATCTTGCGCTTTGTTGGCATCCGGTGGTTCTCTGGAACGGCGAACTGGAACTTCAGGTGATTCGCGAACAGGGCTGACCGAGGCAGATAACGGAATCAGACTAGGGCATGCGTTTTGAGTAGATGTTGCAAGTGGGACAAAGACGCTTGAGGTTGAGCTTTGGGATTTGAAAGGAGAAAGTGGTGCTTTCTTTGAAGTTGAATCATTTAGGCCTGCTAACGGAAACTAAGCTGATGACCGAATATACTATGATTCTAACATCAATATTACTACCAAGTAAAACTACCTTTTTAAAACATACGCGTCCAGACCGACTATGAAATACCTTTAAATGGTATACGCGCATTCCTTTTTCTAAAGTTACCCACAGCGATGGTGTTATTCCAGTAAAGAGGAATCATTAAATTACGTACGCAGCGAACCAGGGGAGGAACTGTGTTAAAAATGTGACACCTCCACAGACTTAAAATGGTGTACGAAGCCGGATACCGGGACAGGGGTCAAAATTTTTGAAAAACTTGAGTACGTAATTTAAGGCAATGAATCTTTGCAAGTATTAAATTCTGTACTGCCACGATATTAAGGTTCAGCAAAATCCCCTTAACCGCCCGCGCAAGTCGTTGGTTCCTTTGACATCAATGAAGCCTGCGCCAATTTCAGGGGATTTTACTGATCCTCAAAACCGTTTCACTAAAGTACTTTTTGTATAGTAACATATTGACATACGCATCCGTATTCAAAAACGCTTAACTCTTTGGCCATATCTTACAAAATAAAGTTAAATTCATACCGCTCAGCTCTGCAGCCCAGCCAGACAATACATCCAACTGATTCTCCTCGAAAACAGTCTTTGGAATCCCATAACATCTGTGCGAAGTCACTGAACCATTACCCGAAGGAAATTTTTGTGGTTGCAAAGGAACAGCATTGCAGGCCCGCAGAAGGCCATCAATAGCGGCCGACGTTGGTGTCACCATCCATGCCAGCGCGTTGAACTCGTTTTGTCTAATGCAAACGTAGTCTCCAACAGGCATAAATCGAAAGCATTTGCTGAGCTGAAAATTACGAAAAAAAGACATTATACAAACTTTATGCCGGCTCCCGATGAAAAAATGATTCGACGGCAGCGGTACGCTACTCAATTAAAGCAACTTGCATAAAAATGTCATCTACGCTATTCACACAAAGAACATCCGTTTGTCATCTTTTTGCTCCGTTTTCTAACATTGCTTGCTAGCTTATGTACATGCTTCAATGTTTTTTATCTTAAAATCGGTTACATCTCTGGCAGCCGACACTCTTTACTATCACTGTGCTTGAATACGAACTTCAAAACAAGGCATCATTTGGCCTGATGCAATTATTCGGAGTTTCTGAAACTTTAAGCGTATTTAAAAAAAGTTTCTGGAGGTGTTACCTCTTCCGGATAGCCATTTCGGATCTTTAGGACGTTTTGGCAGAATTCGTTTAACAGATTTTCTCGCTCTGATCCCAGTCCCCCCGCTCTGACCTGAACTGCTTTTCCGCATTCTCTGTAGACATAGAAAGGAATCGCTTCCGGAAGTATCTCTTGCATCACAAAGGGCAGAAGTTTTGCCTTCCAACCGACCAGACCAACTTTTTCAAGAAACTGTAAAAAGAGTAATAAATTACCAGGTTTCTTAGCAGTGGAGATAATTACCAATTCTGTTGCCGCGATAACAATCGCGTAGTTTTCGGAAATTCGGTGCTTGCTGTCCGTCACCCTTGTTGACAAAACTTCGGAAATTGGCAGCCGCAGCTCATATGCCCTTGCCCGAAGGTTTTCTTTGTCTGCTGTGCTGAAATTTAATAACTTTGGAAAGTGAAAGGAAGCTTCTTTCATCCCTCGTTGAATTTCTTCTTGCTCTTGTTTGGACTTGCACTTAATTTGCGTTAGCATTGGTAGAACTGCAGTCCGTGAAAGGAGTTCATATCTGCGTAACAGAATGAAAATTAAAGTCGCTTTTCACGTTCAACCTGTAAGTGTGTTAAAAAAGATTTCTACTACCTTTGTTGCAGAAAGTACATTTGTTTCTCGTTACAGGTCACAGTAACACTGCAAACTGGCATCCTGTGTGATTCGTGCTTTTGTAAAGTTTTCCCTTCGTAGCAACTATGAAGGCATGCAGCCACAACTTCATCCGGGCAATCGTGCATTATTAGTGGAAATGGATCACCTTAAAACTTTCACATAGTTAGGTCTCCTGAGCAATGGTGGCACTTGTGATAACAATAAGTACAGCAAAACCGGTTTTCGACTTTTCGCCAAACAGATTCAATGCATTATTACCTGTGCACCTATCCTTCACCGCAGCAAGGGTTAATTCTTTCGAAACGCAAATGTCAGTCGCGTTTGTTCCAAGGAACGAAACTGCTGCTTCAGCGAAGAACGATTTTCCTGTTGCTCTTGGGCCGTACATCAGCAAATTAGGGCAGAGATTGAAAATTTTTAGGATTTCGCGATAATGCAAGCTCAAAACGTTCGTATGCCCTATCACCGCGATAAAAGAACGCTACAAGCACTACTAAACGAAAACTTCCCAGAAAATGTGGTGCGTACCGTTAACGAGTAGAAAGCCTGGGAATCGCCCTTCCATGCCATCAGCTTCGAGCTTCTGTCGTATAACCTCCAAGATGTTCGCACCTGTTGTGGTTTCTGCAATTTTCAAAGGAATAACATTTCGCAGTTTGGATGAAATCCAGGTGTAAGAGGAACCATTGGGATTGATCCTTTCAACTGATTCTTTCAATTCAAAAAACAGATCTGGAGCAAACGCGTAAGTTGTTCCGTCTTGTTGCAGGTTTCGATACTCCAAAGGAATTTTATCATATGTAAGCTTGTTTTTGGTGCAAAACCTTCAAAATGGTTGCAGTAATTAGCAAAAGAGTATTTAAGATCGGCGCACTGTGCGAAGTACTTCATGAATTCCTCATTTTTCCAGCGGACAAAAGAATGCAGCAAATTGCTTGAAACGTTGTTTGACATCACAGGTGGTAGACCTTCGGCAACAGCGAGTTCATGAATGAACTGACTTTCTTTATGGAGCGCTGTAGTGGTCAGGAAGCACGAACTAAAAACGCAGTCCTGTATGTAACTTGGTGATAAAATGTAACCTGAGCAACACAAGCACTTTTACCAAAACCATAGTAAAAAGGTATACATACTGCTTTTCAGTGATTCTACTTTTCATAGTAGCCGAATAACTTGAATCCTTGCGTATATAATCACCACGGCCAAATCTAGTTTTATGAGGGTGCCAAAAATCATTACGCACATTCAACCTTTAAGAGATGCGCATACCGCTAGCGCTAGTGAGTGCCCTCAGTTCACTTAACAGTTGATGAGTTGCTTATTAGACATACACATTTTCTCATATTCCTGCGATCAGAAGAGCGCTGTTCTCTTGATTGACAGAGAATTCGGGCTATTATTTGGCACCCGGCTCAAATAGACTGGATGAAGGTCTGCTAATGAGATTTTTGTACCTTGGATTAAGGGACAGAGAGAACGTGTACAGGAGTCGACTGGGTCTGCTAAAACTATAAAAACTAACCTGGAAGGCTGTCGAAACAATCTTATGCCTAACTGCATAATTTCGCATTTCTATTAAAATTTGTGCAGAATTACCACGTATCGGGTTACTTCCTTAACGCAGTCGAATCACAGTATCTGTCTCGAGTTACATGCATATGAAACCATATTTGCTACAATAGTTACAAAAATTGTGCTATAAGCAGTAAAAAACTAAAATTGTTCTCCAGAAAGTCTTACTTGCTGCTCCACGGGCTCCGCTTGCGCCGCAGCTCGGCGTCGCCTGCGGCTTCGCCTGCGGCTTCGCCTTCTAAATAAGTCGACCCTACATTTGTTAGTGCCAGTCGGTACATTGAGACTTCCTTTCCCAGTGAGCTTTGGCGAAAAGACAAATTGGTAGTTTGTGCTATTTAGATTTTTTCTAAATTACCATATTTCACAATAAATGCCAATGTGTGCATGTGCAGTGTTCCTACAGTTCTGGTAGAAATGACAGCGGCACATCGCCACTTAGAAAACAAATCAAATGAATGATTTGCCCCATTTCGCACGGGAAGGGAGTTTTGTCACAAAAGAGAGAAACACGCAGCCAAGTATTCCTATAAGGCTACAACCTACATTGTTACAAGGCAAAACACCCAAGTGCGACTATGTACGTTGCCCAATCGACTAACAATTAGCCTATGGTGAGCCGATTGTTGCAGTTGATCTCCCCTAAACCGCCTGTTAATTGCGGAGTCCCAGATCTTCCATGTTTTCGGTCAGATCTGGCTCATTATCGGACTGCGACCTTACTTTTGGGTCATACTATCGTCGTGCAAATTTTAAAACTCCTTCGAAAGTTATCACACAAACACACAGGCCTCGCTTTGCTCGGCTAACGACGTCAATCAAGCCCTAAAGGGATGCAGCGCATCTGCTTAGATCACATCGCCACATGGTAAATTTGATTTTCTTCCTGCCACCTAATCTTTTGCAAGACATGTCGCCTAACAATAATAAAAATTCCTATTTCAGCCATAAACCGTTTTGCTACCTCTAGACTGAAACATTTTGTAAATATGCGCACCACAATGCCCGCGTGCAAGCGGTTATTGGCCGTACTGACTTTCAAAAAGATCAGCGGAACGTCACATTATAAAACAATTTATGTACAACAAAAAATTTTTATCGGTAAACACCGAGGTAGAACACTCAAACAACAATCATACAGACATTGCAAGTGCAGCAGTTTTAATGTGAAGCTTAATAACCGTAATATTTGCAGTTTGTAATTATAATTTCATGCTTTCTGTTATGTCAAGTGGACAATTGAAACTGCCAGTTTCGGCGGAGTTCCCATAGAAAATAGACACCTAGACATTGGCGTTAGTATGACCTTAACAAACTGCGCCTCCTTACCCGGGCACGTAAGCCGCTTCCAAATTCAAAAATAATTTTTTTCGTAAAACGTAGTATAGTATTCCAGTATGCTTATTATCAACTATTATCAACTGCCATGGTCAAGGGGGCACGGCTAGACAAAATTATTGTTTTATAAATAATCCTACATTTACTTCTATGCAGTATAGTGCGTGCAAGTTATTCGTAATTACGTTTCTTAAATTTGTTTATTGCAGAACCGTACTTTTGAAGGTGCCGAGTAGTGGGGTAACTGAAGCGCATGATCCATGTCGTTGTTTCTTTATTGTATATTGTTGAAAATTCTGTATCCATCAGCTTTGTAAGCAGTACAAAAAATTTGTTTTTTACGTACAAAAAAAAAACACGTACATCGTAAAACTTGTTGAATATTTTCACTTAATACCCGTGGCAGGGGCCACCGCAAGTGTTTCTTCAGTCACCTCTCTACTCGGCAGTTGCAAAGTCTACGGTACCGAAGTAAAATCTTACTAAAAGAATCATTTGTGCGATACTTGCACTGCACATTTAAACTTTAAGCAGCAGTAGCTATGCCACGGCGAGCAATACGTCCCACCCTAAATCTATCGCGATCGCCAGCTGAAAAAATATTAACAAAAATTTACCACAGACGTGGGATAGCTTTCTAATCACGTAGCGCTGAAGAATTACCGTGCAGAAGAACGCAAAAGGTGATATCAGAAAAGTTATTTAAGTATGTTGACTGAAACAGAACTGCCTGTCGGTTAATTTTGTTAAACAGGTCCAAATGAAGGAATTGCTGCGTGAGTTTTACAAACAAAGAAAGTATGTCTCAAATAAGTTTAGGGTATTTTTTAGTGGACTTACAAAGTTTTATTCTTGTGGTTGATATGGCGCAGCTCGCAACTCCATCCACCTTGTGCCGAAGAGCTTGCGCATACCGTCTGCAGTATCTTGATAGTAAAGCCGAAGACATACTCCTTTTCTTCCCCAACAATCCCGAAATAGGTGCAGTTGTTGCTTTCGAACCAAACCTGAATATCAGAAAGCGGATGTTGTTGATCAAAACACTGATTTCGCCTACTGCGAGTTACCTTTTCCTTGGGCTTTCGGCCCAAGCCCAAAACAGACATGACTTAGTTGACTTAAGCCTGCAAAGGCAGTTGAAAGAGTCGGCTTTTCAGTTCTTAATCAAAGATAAATCGAATGAACAGGAAAACAAAATTGCATGCTTCCTCCAACCAAGCTGCAGAAAGAAATGAAGCAGTTTAGGAGACGGGCTGTACAACTCATGTTTTGCTAATCCGCCTGCGCTATACTTAACGACTGCAAAGAATGCAAGATAAACGTAATGGACATTAGTCGGTTTTTCGAACGACCAAAGCTCCTAATCGCAAGATAATATTGTGAATCAATAACTAACCATGAAGAAAGTTTTTCTGTGAATCATCCTGACTCTTTGCTTGCCCTTATATGGGCGGCTTTTTGCTGTTAATGATCAGCAGATGATCGATCGTGCAAACATGACAAGATGGTCGTGATATATTCACATGCATTGTAACTGACCTGGCAACGACACATGTTTCGGGAGGGATAAACTCCCCCTTTTTGGGTGTTGACTTTGTTTAGCCCATTCCCTTGATATGGAGGACATACATACCTTAGAAGAACTGTGCGAAAACTTGGGATTTAATTACCTTGCCAGTTTCCAGAAATTATACCAAAGTTTGCCAGGACACATGCTGGAGAAAGACCGCGTTCTGGTGAGTATCCTGAACTGAAACGTATCCATGCTTGAGTTACTTACCAAAACTATGCTTAACTGCTATCAAAATCATTGAGTCGGCTGAAAAATGAATTTCAAAATTCCGACTGTAGCTAAAGCTATATTCACCTAAGGTCTCAAATTAGATATTCAACTTTGTTAACGTCGTGTAACTTTGGTGTAGCTCTCGGCAGGATGACCTTCAAAAATACTATTATGAATATTTAAGCAATCTTTTGTAGTCTGTTGATATGTGTTGTCCTTAATATTTACTGAATTTTACTGAATTTTGTTTTAATGAATTTTCTATTGAAATTTTATTCGTTTTTTTCTACAGATCATTTCGGAGCGCTTGAACATTCCAGCGGAGAAAGTGATTCCTTTCATTACAACATGCAGAAACGTGTTTCCAAGCTTGTTTGACGAAACAACTGATTATCAGCACTGCGCATTTCTATACCCACCCACGGATCATTGCATTCTAGGATGTATTTACGAGCACAAAGATGGCGGCCGGGTGCGAAAACTAGTATCGCACAAAGGCTCGACCAAAGTAAAAAAAATTGGTTATATTAAAAACTTGATAAAAATCTTAGTTTTTTTCAAAAAATCGTTTATTCAGGTCACAATCTATGGTTTCAATGGGAAGTTCACAGCACGTGAATTTACACTGCGCTGTCGAGGATGCAACTCCCGATACAGTTATGCGAGCTATTACGACGGACGCACGAAAGGCCACTTTTTCTATAATTCGCAGCGAGAGCTCCTATGCGTTTCAGAGAGGATTTTTTGGACGCGTGAGTTGGGAGGTTTGCTAATAAGCAGCATGTAAGACAAAAATTAACTAAACTGTCCAATTTCAGCACTGATGGAGCTTATCTATTTGCAGTCTTCATTCTCACACAACATTCGAAGCATTCTCCGAAATATGTCGATCCTCAATGGGACATTCATCTGGTACGTAGATTAGTAACCCGTAACATCTTCTATCACTTACGTTTTTGGCAGCTTTCAGCAGAAAGGTTGTTGCAAAAGCGTTTTATGTCCATGAAATCGAAGACGAACTAAGGAGCCGAAACGTCGTCTACAACTTTCCAAAAAGGAACTTCAACACGGAAGCAGTTAAATTATACATCGAGACGCAAAGGCAGAAGGAAATCTATCATCATGACTGTGGCCGCCAAGGTCAACTGCAAGGATGCCCGTTTCTAGATGTCATGGATGGTAGGTTTGGCAACTGATTTGTGGCCCAAAGAAAAGGTGTTTGAGCATGGTTTGATTTAGCTATATATATGGATTCCAACTTGACTTCTTTGTTTGAACTGACGCTCCGCCGAGCAGACCGAATAAAATCTTATCTCACATATTCGTAAAGAAGCAACAGGAATTAATGAAACATTTATGAGTAGCAGAAACGTATTATTCATTACGTTATTTTAGGTATATGGAAATTTGGGCATCGCCATTGTGCGATGCCCGTTCAGGTACGGCGAACTTGCGGCTTTGTTGCATGTGAAGAATTAAACAATATATTTAATATCTGCATTTTTAACCTTCTCAAAAATTGTATTGACTCTGGAATGCAAATTAATTTGCACAAAACTAAGTTATTCTGAGCCTTACTCCGTGTTTAGAAAACAATCAATTTTCCACACGTAACGCTTCCCCAAGTATGCCAGAATGAACCCAAGAAAGGTTCACTCTATTGCGATCCACATGAACCCGTAGCTATTTTTGCTGGTCTGCCCACTACCAAGAAAGAGCTTAACGAAAGGGCGAAAACGGATAATAAATTCAATGATGAGGTGTTTTACGAAGAAATGGAGGAAACTGAAGCTCGGGCAACGGATACTGGCTGCAACAATAAAAACACAGTTGCCCCGTGGTGCAAAAAAAATCTTGGCCGGAAAAACAAAGTTAATTGGTCACGCGGGCTTTTCGTTTTTGTTAGCGCATGTGGCTGTGTTTCTCATTTTGCACCATTATACAGGTAACTTTCTAGCTCTGCTTGATAAGCATATCAAGTTTTGGTTCCAACAAAACAATTTTTGGATTCTAGGAGCGAATCTATGAGTCAAGTGTTCCAAATTACAATGGAGTGGCTGTATAAACGGCTCCAACTACTTCCACGGGAGGACTGGCACAAATACTTTTTGTGCTATGACAATATGTAAGTGAAGTTTGTTGATAACAAAGAAAGGGATATTAGCAAAAATTACTTGACCTAGGTGCAACTTTATGCGTTTGAAAGCACTAAGGGAGCCACTGACTGATGTTTTTCCACCCGAGTATGCAACGATGTTTCAAGAGATTAATAAGATCATTGATGGACTGCATCTAAGCAATCATAAGCAAGAATCCTGCCATAAAAACTTTAATCCTGACAGCTTCTATCTTATTCATCCCGAAGTATCTCAACGCAACACGATGTCAGCGGAACAAACGTTTGCTTGGCTCGGACGGTACAAGAAGCAAATAAACAGCATGAGCAAGACGAATCAACTGTTTTTCTTGCATCGCATCATTCTTAGACGCAACGACTACTTATCCAAGTGTTCTAAGAATGGAATTAAGCCGCTCGCTCAGTCGTGTAGGACATGGGCTCAGAGAATGGGTTTTTGATGATGTTTTCATCAATTAGTGCACTGCTGCGTTTACAAAATTTATGCGCTGTAATGTTTTGCAAGTTTTATACCATAGAGCGTTTGTTGGAAGAAATGCGTATCAAATCAGTAAACAAAAACTCAAATCAAGTTATTGCGTTTAACTTGCAGTAATTTTCCTCGAGTTTTATTTCAAAATTTGCTTGCAAATAGGGATGCCGCTTTAGTAGATACAAATCACATTTAGAAAATTCAAAAAAGCAGAAATACTAGAACGGTTTTTTAACAATTTACACCTAGTATTCAATGAAACTGAAACCCTTCCAGTTCGCTGAAAAATGCTATTTTAAATCCATGACCTAATACCGCCTTTCACATACATCGGTACAGGAGTGCCATTTTTTTAAACGCAACATGGTTCAAAATTTTTCCCCTAATAATGACAAAACCTCGTAAAACAGGAAGCCGAAAATCGACTTCTGTTTATGTTTATGTAATCTACGATCAAATATCACGTTATAAATTTAAGCTTTGCATCTGTTATGTTATTGCAAAATTGCTGTAAACCTTAGCAACAAATTCGAAAACACAAATTGAAACTGGATGAACATGGCCAAATTAAAAAAACCAAAGAATTTTGATTGCTTATGCCCCTTTGGTGCGGTGGGAGAAACCAGTTATAAAGGGAGAACACTTTGTGATATTTACAATACTACAACCAAAAAAAATATTCCGAAAATAGCAAAATGCAACAGCAATTCAGGCCATGCTTAGATCTTGCTGGTAACTTTTTTTTGGATTATGCTGACTACAAGATTTCTAGGCAAAAACCTGATTTACGAGGAAGCTATTGTTAAAAGCAAATCCCTACCACAAAAACCAGAGCTGCGCGCTGTATGTTCTCTTTCAAGATTAGATAACCATGTCACCTCTCATTCAGGATTTCTGCTCGCTCCTTCGTGACTAGGAAGTCCTATCAAACCGTGATTTTTGTGCCCTTTAGTTCCCACAAAAGATTATTTCGATCAAATGAGTGCGAGCAGCACATTTAAACGGCAGTAGTGTCCATGCATTTTAAGAAATACTTGAAAAAGTTTTGTCAGCTGCCTAAATTTTGTTTTGGTTTTATTAACAGCATTAAATGTGTTTTGGGAGTAAGCGAAATATGTTTTCTGTTATTCTCACTTTTACAACTAATCTATGATTACTGAAAGCGCGAATTGCTCAACCTGAGAATAACTGATGTATAAATAACTGATCCGGAAATGCTTATAGAATTTATTCACTTACTTTGCCAACAAAATTGCAAGAAAACGACGAAATTTAATATGGAGAGAACCGTGGCCTACAAAGGGCTCCGGGTGAAACTCTCATTGACATAACAGACAAGCGTTACAAGCACCGGCATTACACAAAAGCATAATTTCTTGGAGGATCCAGCCGACCGGTGACTATTTAATTCTTTATGGTTCCTCGGGTTGGGCTGCGGTATCTGTGGATTTGGTACTTAAATCAGGTTGATGTTTCAAAATTAGGCCATGTTAAGTGAAAAATTTAAGCATTTGCGTTGGTTTTTTGAAGTACATTAAATATTAACAACCATTCTTTCATGAAAATCAAATTTATATTTTTTCAAAATTTCCGAAACCCGTGCAATTTATTGCACTCCAAAATGCTACCTTTAAAGTGGCGACGCTTGATGCAGACCACGCCTGTGCATATGATGGTAATTAACCCAGCGACCGTTCCCGCAAGAATGTAGATCGTGACGTTAACTGTGATAGGTGGATCACTGGCTCGGTCTCGCATTGCTTCTAGTTCCACTGGTGGTGTCGTGATTGCTGAAACGATGCCAACGCTAACGGAGGCTTCGGTTGGGTGGTCCGGCAGGACAATGCTGATTTCGGATCCTTGCTCTCCCCCCATGGCTCCTGCTACGCCACCGGCAATAGCCGCACCTGCTGCAAGCGGAACAGCCTTTTTCATAGCGCCTTTTCCAAAATCCAATAAACGTTCGAGTCCGGTCAAAGAATCTCCCTCTTTTTCACCCCGCTTCTTATTATGAAATCCACCAACAATCTTTTTCTGTAAAAAATTAAGTCAGCCATGATATTGGTTGATTTATTTATTTATTCTCGAGTGTTTTATTTTTGATATAAGAAGGATTACGTTTACTAGCTGTTATGATTTCCAAAGACCAAGAATACGCTGTGAGTTATTATTGTACTTGCCAGGTGATTGACTTGTTACGCTTATATTTAACGAAAGTTTTCTAGCCACCCTCGAATATAAAACAGATAAATAATTTGCTGTAGTTTTAAAAACGTTCTTTACAACTTTAGTAAATAAAAGCATTTTGCCTGACAAAAGAATTTGAACACCAGACACTAGTCGACGATTCCCGGTTAATAAACAATGAGCAAGTTCAGCGTTACCTGAGTTCAAAAAGTAATGAAATAACAATTTCAGCTACATTACCTTGTCCATTCCGTTCCGTCCACCCAAGCTTTTGTCATTGGAATTCCAAGAAACCCCGGGCGGCAGCTTTCCGTTCGAGCCTTTCCCAATCGACGGTTTAATCTTCGGAGAACCAATCCTGATACCTCCGGCGGGTGATCGATAACCGAAACGGGCTGAACATACCAGACAGAAACCAAAAGCGACTAGAACAGCAAAGGTCAAGAATCGAGAATCCATAGCTTCGTTGAGTTTGTGAGAACAGCCTTATTGGGTTTGTGAGAACAAAAACGTTGCAAGTGGTGGCAGCGCAAACAAAACTTAGAATTGATGGAAGCAAACAAATCTCCAGCTGATATCTTATTTATATACCGCAAATTTACAAACCAGTCCATCTTATGGGCTGTGCCTATCTAAACGACATCAGATATTGGTCGTCTAACCTTAAATTGCTTCGTGAATTCTTCGTAAAATACATTCAGCACGGTTCTATTGCCCCTAATATTTGCCTACGTTTTGGAATGCACGAACCGATATCAATGCGTTATTGTGCGTCTAAAGTTGTTGAGCAATAAATAGTTCACAGAACAAACTGCCATTAGAGGCCCCAAATGCCCGAAGTGTGAAACAACTGAAGTCAGAAACAGACAGTAATATTATAGAGTTTACGAACTGTATTACCTTTTCTGAAGCCGCAAGACCATACGCAAATGCCCTTTAACATATTAAATTGATGAAATGTGAAATTACTGAAATATTAAGGAATTTTTTTCTGCTTTACTTCTTTTCATAAATTGCGCGCATTCACTTGGCTCGTGTCAAATCGCGAAAAAATGTTATAAAACTCCGACACGTCGAACTATAAACTCGAATTTATAAAGCTCCGTATTGTGATAAACCGACATATGAAGTGCATTCCGAACCAAGATGACGATCTTCACTTATAAAACAAACATGCAGTTAATTAACCCTTTACTCATTTTTAACTCTTTACTCACCCGGGCACGTTTTCCTCATCCAAATTCAAAACAATGCCATGCTTTGTAAAATGGTAGCGTAATATTGTAGTATGCTAAAAATATTTTTTTCTACCGTCGTCAAAAAGGTGTAGCCATACAACAATTAAAATTTTGCGTACTATCACATATTGTGGAATGCAATACAGCACCAGTATTTTTCGTAATTATAATTATATCAACTTTTTACTGCAGCAACGCGGTTTTTTACAGCCGTCAAGTAGGGATGAAAAAGAGGCAGATTGCAGCTTGAGTACACATTTTCGAAAATTATTTATCAATTAGTGTTGTGAACAATAAGCTATGCAAACAATCGTTCTTTACTAATAAGCATATACCTGCCGTTCTTCATAACAAATTTTCGAAAATATGCCCTAGACAACAATGACACAAGCCCCCGCAAGTGAGCCTCTTTTACACCCCCAGTCGACATCTGTGGATGTCCACGGTGCTGCTGTTAAAATTTAACATGGTAATAATTATGAATAACATTTTTGCTCCATTGCATTACACAGTATGTGATAGTATGCAAAAATTTATTTGTTGTCTGGCCGCGCCCCGTTGACGATGGCAGATGAAAATACTTTTCAAAACATACTATACACCAGCATTTTACAAAACATGTGAATTTGTTTGGATTTGGAAGGGGAGAACGTGCCCTGGTCAGTAAACCTACTTAAGACAAGGATTTATTTTGGCTCCGCATGTGCTGAGAGATTTACTCCATACGGTGAAGCAAAATATACATACGGAATTTTTTTAAAAATAGGTTATGGTGTGATGCATCATGTGAAAGTGTTACATCGGATTCGGAAATAAAGGAATTATTTACCGAATTTTCACATTAAAGTCAGAAAGTGCACTGAGCCATCGCTTCCGTTTTTGTAATTGAGAAATCCAGTTTTGTTGTGATAAGCTAGTTAGGTCGCTCAGTTGCCGCTAAGTATGCTTATTCCTCGTGCGAGGTCTACGAATCCTGTTGTGTGCTGGTCTCTTCAGGTCACGTACCGTTTCTGCTGAACAGAAATGACTCTGACACTCAAGTGCCAGTGGTAAAAGGTGATGTGCCAAAAATTCACGACAATGATTTTCATTATTCTTTCACCTGAGCACTCAGGATAGATTCCTAAACAAACATTACCCGTTCGGTCGTTCAAATGGCCAGCTGTTGTAAGTGAATGGGAGTCTTCCACAAACCGATTCTCTTCCAGTTTTTTGCTTTACATAATTCAGCATAGTGTAATCTAGACGTATTAGAATTTAGAGAAGAAATTTCAGCTTTTGGCCGGGGCAAAAGTAAACCTTAAAGCAACAGGAACTGGAGTTATCTTTCATATAACTCGAAAAATTCGAACGTCAGAAAAGCATGGGCACGCAGTTTTTCTTTTTTTCTTTGATCTCTATGCTTAAAAAACTGCATTAAACTGTCAATTCCATGTCGAGTTCAGTTATCCTACAGGTCCTGAAAGGGCGCACAGAAAGTTATTTTCCCACAAGAGATATATATATATATATATTTGCTAGCTCCCGGATGGCACTTTTTGCTGCTGTAATCCAGAATAATTTAAAAATCTGTCCCAAAGAATCGAGGTAAGAAGTAGTTACCAAACTGTAATCGAATTCAGATTAATCGGGGATAAATGCTCCCCGAATTTTTACCTAACCTTGTCACGGGGTTTAACTTTGTAATTTGTATATGAACTTTCTTTTTCCGGTGAGGGTTTCTTTTAAAAAATTAAGTTATTAATTAATTCAGTCCTAATTAGTTGAGTTATTAATCAGAATGCTTTTAATTAACACATTAAATCGTTTGTGTATTCTTTCGAATGGAAGCTGGGCGGAATGAGGTGATAACTAATAAAAAACAACGCAAAAGGCCATTATATAACTCTTAATAATCTCTTTCATTTTTAGTGAAAACCTTAGTGTATAAAATGGTCAGGTTCCGCGACAATGTCATTATAGTTTGTGAATGGTGTCATTTATTATTACGTTTTAAACATCACACAAAGTATCAGTCACAGCGCAGCAGAAAAGCGCAAAGCAGCACAGTATCTCGGATATTGGTGCTACGACAGGATTTAAACTGCTTAGTTGTTACGTGAAGCTTTTGAGTGAAGTAATGAGAGAACCGTGGCCTACATGGGACGCCGGGTAAAACTCTCGAAAGAAAAACTGAAATAAACAAACAATGTTCTCAAGTTGAGAGGAAAAAACGACACAGTAGAAAGCGAAAAAAAAGAACATTTTTTTTGATTTTACATTTCATTATTTATCCCTGAGGTAGTAAAGTAAACGCGAAGTGCATATTGATGGACCGCTAGCTCTCCGCATCATCCGGTAACGTAGCGATGCTTCATGGTTTTTCCTTCTGATTGCTGATATCTGTAAAACAACTGGATTGTATGACACGCGATTGTACAAAAAAATAAACGGAACTACAAATGTCAAAATGTATGTTATTGTAAACTATAAATTACCGACGCGAAGCGTATGCCCAATCATTAAATAAAAAACTGAAAGTTTTTTTTGTCTGTCGCTCACGCCGTAAGAACAACGTTTTCGGTGCCTACAAGAAAGCGCTGAAGTTAAACTGTTAAGTTGTGGTTTAGATAAGTTTTGTTCTAGCAAGCCGTCTGGGTACTCGTATAACAATAGGGGTTAGCAGAGCCTTTAAGCCATTTTGCTACAATCAAATATTTAAGAGAAAGATATGATTCTAGTTTTCTTTCATTGTATGGTGGTAACTTGTAGCTCTAAGTTTCCGTTAAAGAATTCCTGTTCATCAGAAAATGTGAAAAAAAAACCAAAGTTACCTTTTTTTTGACGTCGGCATTTCATGCAGACGACCCCGGTACACATAATGGTAATTAATCCAGCAAACGTTCCCGCAAGAGCGTACGCACTCACGTTCACCGTGATATTGGGACCGCCAACCGGGTCCGGTGGTTTGACAACGCCTTTCATCGCCTCAGAGGTGTTGACAGCCAAATATCTGACGCTAGTAAAGGTCGAGCCATGCGGATCCGTTTTGACAATGTTGATTTCAGGATCCGCCTGTTCTCCGACCACGGCACCTGCTACACCACCAGCGATGGCTGCCCCCGCTGCAACACGCAATGCATTCCTTGCGGCACCTTTCCCGAAGTCCCACAAGCGTTCGACTCCAGTCGCGGATTTCTTGTTTATCTTTTTCAGGTCCTTCGCTTTAAATCGGTCAAAAACAAGCTGCAACGACAAGTAACAGAAGATAAGATTTGTAGTGCGGAATTCATTATCCACTGTCAAAGCTTTTTTGGCACGAAGTACACAAATCATAAACGTGCACGAATACTTCCGCTTTAGTAAATTCCAAAGCACTATTTTGCTTTGTTTTGCAAACTTCAATAGCCAGATAACGACGTTTTATAGCCGGTTAAACGAAGAGATAGTTACCAAACTGTAAAGTGTAAACTGCTTACATTACACGCTCGAAAGCGGTTTGTGCGCGCTATATCTTGCTTGGGGGTTTTAGCTGAAAATTCAAAAGTTTAACTGCATATAGGTGTACCAGAAACCTTATAATGGTGTTATAGTTATTAAATTTTCAGGTAAGCGCCCATATAAGATATTTTTTAAATTCGTAAAAAAAACGGTGCAAATGTGAATAATTGCGCAAACTGTCTTCAAACTGTTGTGCATTTATTTGTTAATCTTAAAAGAGATAGGTCCGTAATGTGAAATTTGGTCTTTCTTAATGCATCTGAGTTTTAGGAATTTGTTGTAAAGAAATAATTTCAAGAACGTAATTTGAGTGCATAAACCGCTTTCAAGCGTACGTGTGCGAATCATATGCATACAGAAGGTCAGGAAACAAATCAAAAAAGTGCTTGGGAATGTCCAAAAGCGAACGTTTTCGTGCTTCATACGAATTTGGCGCAACTTACCAGGTAACTTACCTTAAGTTCACATATGCTGAACGTTATACCTTTGTTTCTTAGTTATATATAGTGTGGTGACATAAGTTTAAGACTTGGCTAGTGCGTACATACGCACTGGAAGCGGCTTCTAGCTACAAAAACAGAAAGCCGCGCACGCTGCGCTGTGCTGGAGCGTTTTTAGCCAGTATTACTACCAAGTACTGTCGCTCTTTTGTGGAAACAAATAGTTTTAATTATTAAGAATAATAATGCGACTAACTGTACCATTTTTTATAGATTTTTCTACAGACTTGGCCTGCTACAAGAAAACATCTATTCTTTATGCAGCGCGAGCAGTTATACTTTCAGCTTTGAGCAACTTTCATAAATAGATGAATTACCTTGTTCATCACCTTGCTCCCGGCTGATCTTTTCCCATCCGGAACCAAAAAACCACCTGGCGCCGCTCTTCCAAGGTTAGGTTTCCCCCCGGGCAGCCTTCTTATACCTCTAGCTGGGAAGCGATAACCGAAACGTGCAGAGCATGCCAAAACGAGACCGAAAGCAACCAAAAACGCCGGGATCAGATATCTTGCCTGCATTTTGCAAAGTAGCGCTTAATTTAGTTTAAATTCGCTTCAGGCACGGACAGAAACTTGCAAAGTTTGACTGAAGCAGAAATTTTAGTTGCAGTTAAATATGTGCAGGCGAATACAGTGGTAAAACTTTATCAAGCGCATCCGTTTATATGACGCTCGCTGAAGTATAATCTCCTCCAAAATGCAATCGTTTTAAAGGTTTTCCATACAGCTAGCATTGCACAGGGAATGATAATAGTGTCCGTAATGGAATGCAACCACTTCAATGTCGAATTCTTCTACGTGCCTTCACTCACTAATTAAGCATGCTGGTAATAAAACAGCCATTACCGGAGAACGGTTCCTTCACCAAAATCTATCTTTGCATATCTTAAAAGCATTTCGTGCAATATCTTTAATGATGCTGCTTAGCCATTCAAAATGATTGGCACTTAAAACGTCAAAAACTGCTTTAACACGATCCATAATAATCACATTACTAACCATATTAAACTACATCGTTTTGTCAAGATTTGCTGCACTTTGGAACTGTCCCATAGTCACCCAAGAAAAGCAACAGGTTTTTAACAAAGTATATAGTAGAACTGCATTTCCTTTGAAGCATTTCATCAGAATATAATGCCTTTGCATAAAAAACATAATTCTTCACTGCGTAACATAAGCCGCAGTTCACGTAATCTCTACTGTAGACACAAACATAAAAACGACCAAGTAAGTTCATGCAGGATTTTAGTTCTACTCAGATAACGGGTAGTTACCGTCGAAATTGTTCATTTGGATGGCAACCTTCTATTGACAATTAAATTTAAGTAGTTTTATTGTGTGGTATTGCTTATCCCACATATAGGTATTTCCGGGTAAGTGGTGCTAGTGATACAGGTTGCAATTTACTTTGATATTCAGCCTTTAATAATAGTAACATAGAGCATAGCATAGACTGCCACAGAGCAATGGCATTTTGCGTGCCGATATTGTTGCAAAATTAAATTTAATGTCTTAAAGTGGACCACCGCAATTACACGATGAACAGAAACAAAAGGTACCTAAGGTGAATAACTGACCTAATAGTATTAGTCCTGACGTAACCTTTCCTTCTACATTTGAGTATTTTATACGAACATTGTGGCCGTGATTCCGACAGTCGACCTGTTGTTTGTGTTTATCGTAGATAAAACAGCTTATGTGTAATTGCAGTGGTTAATACTATTAGGTCGATTATTCATGTTAAACAGCATTGAAGAAATTCATTAAAGAGACATGTATTTAAAGCGATTCGCTTTTTCAAATGTATGACATGCCCAAACATCGTGTCTAACTAGTTTTTCAGGAATTGTAGTTGTTCTGTACTGCTCTCTGAGCGTTTCATTAATTGGCTTAAATACTTTTGCAGACGCAAGAGTTTTCTTTTGTTTTTGCTTAAAATTCAGCCCCTCAATACACCATCAAATTAATTCTTTTTCTTGCACAATCATTATAATGTGAAACTAAACTAGACGAAAATCGCATAAAACTTTCTGATATTCAAAAAAGTTCTCAGTTAAAAAGTCGAGCATTCAGCAACCTTGGCCGCTAAATAGTTTTAGAAAGCTTTCCTCACTTGCCGTTTTCCAATCGTTCGCAAATGAACTTCAGCTCAGCATCTTCTGAACGGGGATCAAGCGTGACCCGCACCAGATAGCTTGTCGTGAAGGGACCTGGCCCATGTTTCGAAAGCCATTTCTCCTCTGATTTGCGTTTCTTTACCGCTGAAAAAAACGACAATATAAAATTCAGAAAACAAAGAAAAATTCCACTGGCTCAAAACTCATACGGCTGCGAAAAACTGTCTAACGTTGCAATTACATATCACTGCCAAACTAAATGGGACAGTTTCTATCAAATACTGCTATTTGTTAAAAAAACTACAATAAACACAAGGATTGCTAGAAATCTATTTGATCGTATTATTATGATTATTATTGCAGTTTTATTAATTTAGGCTGATCGGGTGTCACGAAGCCGAACTATTATATATCCAAGAAATCGCTTATTGTTTCTAACTTATTCGTGGTACATACGCACGTTTTTTCGGCTTTGGTTTCAAGCAGTTTCTCTGGTTTTGAGCTGACTTTTTCCGTTCTTTGGTGACTCTTTTTCCGCTTGAAAACTTTCGTGTTCTCGGCTTCAAGGCAGGTGGACGAGGCTTCTCAGTTTCCGCTATAGAAATAACAACGCAACTAATACTTTGATAACATTTAATTTGAAAGGAACTATAGTAGTTACTTAAAGCACATATTTGGAGACCTGAGCACTCATACATGAATTAATTAATGCAACAGTTAGCTCTAATTAGTTAAGCGCAAGGTTCCTGTCGATTCGGCCATTTTTTCCGCACCTCGTATGAGGCGGTTAGGATATGGTTTCAAGTTGTCTCAGAACAATGACTATATTACACTGTCACGTAGTCCAAAAAAATAATTTATTTTCGCTTAATTAACTATAAGGTTTTTAAGTAAAAAATTTCAAGTTTCAATACACCGAATGTTGAATGCAAAAAATACCATTTGGTACGCTATCCTGTGCAGGCACATTATGGAAGTTTATCACACACAGGAAATCTGGATATCGTTTCATTTGAAAATTTAAAATATTATTGCAACGTTCTTGGGCAGTCCCGCATCCGGAAGCTTAAAGTTATAAATCCTGTAGCTTTCATGGTACCGAAAACTGGTGTGTACAAGACCTGTGCAGCTATTTAGCGAAACGCGAGTTATTTTGGAGCCATCAAGCTATGACCTATATTTATTGGGCAAAGGCCATCAGCGTAACAAAAGTGCATTCGCGTAATACTACTTAAAATGATAGAAATTTAAACCAAAATCGTTATCGCCGTCGAAAATCTTGGGACGCATATTCAAGGTGCCAAAACCGCATCAACTTTAAATAACTTAAATCTTAAGCGTAATTCGCAACGCAAAAAGCGTAACTGTAGCGTAGCTCGCATACAAATTACCGATATTTTGCATTATAGCGTAGCTCAAAAATACCTCGAGAATAGCTCAACTCTCATTATTCTCGCAGAAATAGCGTATCTTATAGCGCAATTCGCGCGGTCGCTCTAGCTTTTAACTCTAGCGGGGGGTTAATTTTCCGTAGCTGCCCAGGTCTGGTGTGTACTAATAAGCTCATGGTACAGAGCTGCAAATAATGACATACTGAATATTCTACTGAATTTTTTGTAACGGGTTCAGATGTTAAAGGGTTATGCAGTTATATTTAATTTCTGACAAAGCGTGTTCGAAGTTTACATTCTCTTGCTGCGCCATGTCTTGTACAAAGAATGTTCAGCTGGAACGCTAGGTGAAAACCAGGAAAGAGCAGTGGAGTGGGAGACGGAGAGCGAATACATGCCGCATGCAAAGACACTGGCCGCTTGTCAAACAAGCCATTACACTGTCCTGTCACTAATTGACAAGGGGCACATGGTCATTAGCTGCGGGGGCGGGATTAACAGTTACCACGCCCATGTCTCGTTGGTGGATTGTTCACGCGCCACCATGTACTGCCATATTCGTTAACCATGCAGTATATTTTACGGGATAAGTTTATTTCTGGATTTCTCCAGTTTGCTAAATCAACTACTGATATAAAAAGCACAATCATGAACTGAATATCGTTAAGTATTCGTCGAATGTGAGAAAGTCAGTCAGAAAATGGCAAGTGGATGGATTTATTTCACCTTGAGTCACATCTGCTCGCAAACTGCGGGATGCTTGAATTGCCCAACAAAGTTTGGCTTAATTTATGGAATTGTTTACTCCCGGACCTTGCGTTATGGGCAAGAACAACAAAAAAGGCTATTGTCACACTGGTACAGGATATAAAATTGTACAATGCGGCACGCTACGTGCCGCTGAAGTACAAAACTGGCGCAATGCTCGTCATTATTTTTTATGCCTCATCCAGCATTCTTGTTAAGTACATTTTGATTAGTGCCAATAAGTTATAATAATTCAACCGTAGTTTTGAATAGCTTTCTAAAGTTTAAGGTACGTTAAACATTTTGTATGAACGCGAAGTAAATTAGTTTTTATTGAAGCTTACGGCTGACCCTACGGAAAATATCCTGAATATATCCCAGGCTTTGTAATAGAATGGTTTTAATGTTGTAGCATACTACGCCGATAAGTATGTAACAATAAATGCACATTGTAGTACATATTAAAATGCACATACTGTTATGATAATAATGACAGTAAACAATTGCAAACAGAATAAACAAAACATCCTACAGGTATGAGAAAAAACTAACGTGATTCTACCAAGGCATTTGCCATGATTCTACTTTTCGCTGTACTGTAATTATTCGGCTTATATTGCACTATCGTACTCTTGTGCAATGGTTAGTAAACGCTTCTATGTGAAAATATCTGTAATGTGCCACAGCCAAAGGCACGTGTCATACAGGCACCTGCAAGTACTGCGTAGTGTGCGTTTGTCGCATATAGGGACGACCCTTACGTTGGGACATTGTAGTACGGCATTCGTGTACAAAGTTTAAATTGCCAAAATTCGGGGGTAGGCAAGTAAATTATGATCAACGCACCATTTTGTAGAAAATTTTACGTTGGTTAGATCTTTTCTCTGAATCCAAACCGAAAAGTTAACCATTCGCTGAAGAAAGTTATAAAACCCGAGGTGTATAAGTATTTTTCGTAGACTGCTATGCTATGCGTCGTGGCCAAAATCCACCAAAGGTGCAAATCTCAGTCCAGACCAAATCACACCTCATTAGCCATGTGCCGGTTGTCAATTGCTTCGGCTCGGCATTTCTTTGAAGAAGCTAACTGCGTTGCTAATCGCTACATCTGAAAATCGTTTTCTTCGCTGCTGACCATTAAAACCGAATTAATAACCTGGATTGTCTTAATGCAGCGGTAGCCGCTTTCTCTTGGTTGAGCCGCGCTTTCTCCTTCCGTATCCTTGACGGAGAGTTGTTTTTCAAACTAAACAAATTATCTTGAATGACAACAACATATATTTTTATAAACGAGACTTAATTCTTCACAATCAGCTAAAAGCACCACAATCAATAAAGGCTGGAAACCTAGCATTAACTCCTTTACTCCTTTACAATAATGTCAATTCAATGCATTGCTACGTACTTAAATGTACTTCTGGTGGAAGTATGTAAACGCCGTACATATCGAAGGTATTACTGATAGAGTACAATTACTGATATAGAAAGTTAGTTGTCATGAAAAAATTTTATGATTTACAAAAACTTAGTAATAAATAGGTGTTGTTCCAAATGAGCTACTATTTGATCCGTAGTAGTGATCCTGTTTCTGAGTAAAGGGTAACAAAATCTAGATTAAAGAATCGGGAACTGGTTGCCGTTATTTAATTTACTCACTAAGACAACAGTGTTTGCAAGTGCCGGTAAACTACTTGACAGCCCATATTTAAACATTATAAACACAAAAAGAAATTTAAATCTTTGTTCGGGTTAAGAAGTAATCACAACTCTTAAAAAAGGTTTTAGATTGTAAATTAACGTTTCTCTAACGTTGTGCACAACTGAGAATATCGCCGAATTCCATCAGTGTTCTGTAAAGTAGCCTTACACGCTGCACGCACACGACATAATATAATAATCACGACTTCATCATAGCTATCATAAATAAGCACTGTAAACAGACGTCTATAAATACACATTGCTACGGAAATATTGTCCGCATCAACTGCATTAACACCTGTTTACGCCCACGAGCAACGCTGTATATCGCCTGCGCGTCACACAGCATTAAGATACAGGTCCACATGCGCCAGCGCACACATGTCCTCTCAAGTTATAGCGGGTGGATGAAAAAAACTTGGCTATATGTATCAGATAGATCTATTTTATTTATTGCTGCTTATCATGCAACGAAAAATTGTGATTAAATTCAAATAAATCAAAATAAAAACCCTGTTATTTTCCGGGCAAAAGCACAGAGTGCGCTGACTGCATGGCTTAACCAGCCTAAACACCGTTACGGGAGAAATAAATTAAAATGGGGAACGATATATTCTTCTGCCACCCGGTACGTCTTTTCTATCAATTGACGACAACATCTTCGAACGTGATTTATGAAAGAGTATCTCGAATACTCGCATGAAACAAAGTTACATGTCTGCCTCATCAAAAGTGACCGGTTTAAGGAGTGTCAGTTTCAGCGTCGCTTTTCCGAATGATGCCAGATAAAATTAATGAAATCGCCCATAAATCAGTCTGTACAATATGCCGTCCAGTTATGTACACCACATTCGGATACGCGCCTAATAAATTTTCAGTCACGCTGACAGAAAAGAAATCCTAAATGTTCGCAACAGCTTTACACAAGTAAGCGTGGGCAAAAATAATTTATTATTGGACGGGTCTTTCTCGAAAGCTTAAGTACTATGACATTCTTAATGCGTATACAATTTATGCACAGTATGGTGATAACATTAGAAAGACAAGGAAACAAAAAGTATGTGCGAAGTGAAAATCTTTTATGGCGGGCATACTTTACCAGGCGCGCTATGAAGTAGGTTTCCGACGGATTTCTTATCAAACAAGTGCGATATCACGGGAGTTTGCAGATAAAAGCAATAAAGGCAAAGATAACTCGTATCTCTAATCAAGCAGTACTCCACCTTCCTACGCTGATTGATGCACAGAAGCGAAACCGGGGCACTTCACATCAAAAACAATAACATTAATCACAAATCGTATATGTCCACGGCACGTAGTTTAGTTAACCATGAATAATAAGAAAACGGTTATTGCGAAGCAGATGATGGGTAAGCAAGCGATCTAACAGTAAGTGCGGGAGCAGTTACTGACAAACATAGTGCGGTGCAGATCATTCTGAGGGCTAATTTCACATTAATTGTTTTTTACATGGTAAATTCGCCGACAGGCTTGAACAAGATCAGAAAACTGATTTTTTTGATAAATATACGCCGAAGATCACACATTCAGGCATTATCCTAAACTGTGCAATGTTATTCTGATTCTGCACAGTTTACGAATTATTCGCACTTTGAGTTGCCCTCTGCAAGTCAGATATTTATTAATGTAAATTACTTTCAGCGCCTGGTGCATAGTGGCTGGACAACAGCGGGATGTTTGCCTTTGCAGAAATAAATATTTACCCAGTAATAACGTGTACTTCTTTAGTGAAATAAAAATTGGGCATGTTAATTACTGTAGTGGCAAGTGAAATCCCTTTTCGTACAGGTTAAACAATGTCCACTTTGTGCGCTCGCTCACTGTCCACCGGCTCAATAATTAAAAAATAAGCGTATAAGAAAAGAATAAGCAAGCCGTAAAGTAAAACTAAAATTTGCCTACGGTGAAGCGTGATATCTAATGGTAAGCGCTTATTCTCAGAGCCCCTGCGGCTCTGAAAAATCAGAAGTTCTACACTATAGGGAGTGGGAGGCACCAATTTTATTTGGTATTGCTAATCTGCCAATACTGCAGCACGCAACACATATAAAATCACTGATTGCCGCAAAAGTTTTTAGAAAACGCTTTTTCTGTAACATTGATGTTTGCATTACAGGTATTGCCAAAAATTTCCTATAACACATAGCGTGCATTATACATGCGCAGAAATTAAAACCGTCGTGAATTCAAAATAATAATATGCTGTGACGATCGTGCGGCCAGTGCGGTATACCTTTTTTTCTTTATCTGGCCTTTTAGGTATATCTCACATACTCCCTAAGCACAACCCCTGCTGCGAAATAAACGCAATGACTACAAAACACAAATCATTCGCGTACTTAAAAAAGCAGCAAAGCAATTTTTCCGTTTTTAAGCTTATGGAAAAATAAGAACCGCTTTATAAAAAACATAAAGATATGGCATACTGTAATTATTAGTTGAACGGGCTTTTTAAAGACTAATTTGTTACTGATGTCTTAGTAAACTAAAAAATACGGCTGCAGCGAAAACGTAAAATCTAAGCAAATTTGATTTATTAGTTAAGCGGATACATTATGACAGTGATAGGCAGGACCAAAACAAACGGAAAAGTAACGCAACGTATAGACAGTATATTAAATACTGGGTACTGGATCAATCCATATATATGATACTGGACATGATCCTGGATAAAGCGCTATTTAACTATTATGTTATGCTAATTTTTTTAGTTTTACGACCACTGCACACCATTTGGTAACCTTTTTTAATGTGTAATTTATAGCCGAATAACTCCAGCCGAACTACCCCCAAGCCGTTATGGCAAACATTTAAGCGACGATATAACTACGTAACAGCTTTAAGTTTGATGGAATTTGAACAACGCTAGCATAATAATAATTTCGATCTAAAAACTTAGCTCTCCCACCCCTTGCGTGAAAAGAAAAAACTTGAGTTTGCCACTGCCCACAACATATTTTTCAAACGAGGCTGTGGCAAAGCAGGTGCAACTGTGCTTGCCAAAAGAATATTTTGCTAGTTACAATACGGTATATTACACAGCCCTTCTGACGTACACATAAATGCATTACAAACAACAAACGTGGCGACCCACAAACGAAAGCTGGACGCCATTTTTTTTATTGTACTACTTGGTAATCATTATATCTACCCCTTACCTCGGATTCGCCTACGAGGAGAGATGCAATCAAGGCGAATGCCGCAAGCGTCAATCCGCCGCTCTAAATCGTCCTCTTCGACTTCGGAATCTGGCTGATTCCGTTCTTCGGCTTCAGTCAAAATAAAATCCATTTTAAGTTTACGTTCCGTCAGTGATAGTTATAAACTAAAAGTAAAAGAATAAATGGAGACAATTTTCATTTCAAGAACGGGTAAAATCAGCGGCTTTCATAACTCCGCCTTCAAGCCAATCTAACTGGTTTACTGTCGGCGGCATCTCTGTGGAATATCCACGCTCTTACTCTGCCGTGCTTACAGTATTGCAGCCCTACAAAATGATGTCTTGCCAATGTCCACAGAGCAGTCTTACTGAATACCCGGCCGCTTTAATTCGAATTAGAGTATTAGACGTATTTCAACAAAGGTCACCATGGGCAACGAGGAAGGTAAAACAATGGCTTTTCACAAATGTTTCGACTTTTGCGATATTGAAGTGCCACCGTTTTCTTGTGAAAGGTAAACCAGCAGTACCTGAAGAGAGTGATGGAACATCGCCTGAGGACAGTGATAGAGATTCCATATTTACGGATGATTCTACTCCAACTCCCAGTCCGCAGCCTTTACGGGCTGAGGAGGTATGTTGCTGTGTAAAGGTCCTACAAAACTGCTCAAAATAAATTGACTGCTTTTAAATTTTTGTAAAGTTTAATTAATAATCGATATTGCTAACATGATTGATAGGTTGAGTAACATTAGTATAATTACTTATAAAAATTCTGTTCAATAGTCATGGCATACGCTGCAGGTTTAGATAATAATGACAAATATGTGAAGACTCGACTTGTTACACGAACAGAAAAATGCTTTTTGAAATTTTGAAATTATTCAAGTTCCACTAGAGGTATCGGCCGAGCATTTACTAATCCTTCTAATTGTTTGCCCATCAAAGTGATTGATTGATTGATTGATTTATTTTGAGTAGCCAAGCCCGTAAACGGGCACTCTCACATTGCGCCTCACAGGTCAGTCTTAAGACGCAACGAATGTATGGCATTACGGTTTTCGTTCTCATGTCATCGTCTCGCTGCAGAAAATTCCTGTTTTAAATAATTTTGATGAAAGCGCTACCGTGTTTTTTTAATGGTCACGACTCCGTATCTATCCATACATTGTACTCGGTACAATATTTTCGGTTCTTTCTTTACCTGCTAGCACGAAAATTTACTTTTTCAATTTGTTTTCATCACGAAAAAAACTTTTTCGTTAACCTTGTTCTCGTTAACTGTCATCGCTGTCAACTGTCATCGCTGCATAAATTAAAGTATTAAATTTTTTTCCGTGAATAAGTAAATCATGGGCGCCCGTATGCCAGTTTTTCTGCCATGGTTTGGCTAGTATCTTTTCTGATTCAGAAGTGGTTGAGCCAACCTATGCGAGAAAAACTGGAATTTGGACTCAGTTTCGCAGATCGTGTCTTGTGTAAGTGTTGCCTGTTACGGACGTTTGTAGAAAGTTTTTCATAAAATTATTAATATGCAGACTAGACTTTTTTGTAAAATATGGCATTGCGCCGAGTAAAACAGCGTAGATTTGTGTCAAACCGAATGAATGTCAGTATTAAAAGTAATCTGCCGAACGAAAGAAAGGGTCAGAGCAGGTAGTGCACGGAATACTAGTAGTGCCAAAGGTTAGTGTACAGAAAAAATTTAGCAAGGAATATTGAGCAGCCTTTTAACCGTTTGTAATTAATATAATTACCAAGTGTTCGACAGACTTTGGGTTTGGTTGCAGTCTCGCAGTTAGCCTTTAACTTATTTACTAGAGCACGGCATTCAGGTTCAAAACCAGATAATCATACAGTAGTTAAACTAAAATTAGATGGGTAATTGTATTTTATGCTATTAGAGTACAGAATCAGCACCATCCGTAATAAATTTTTTGTTTTACGACGCTTTCATTGCGCAGTGCTTCTTCTTTGTTGTTATGTACAGGCTTTGTTTGCGTAATGTTACTATGCTACTATATACAATAAACATTGCAGGTAGTTTACTTCAAATCTACGCTCCGGTTTTGTGACATCGGACTTTTTTCAAATCGTAAAGATTTCTCCGGCTGTGTTAGCGACCAGTGAACTATTATGATTTAACGAAACAGTCCGGTACCGCAATGTAATAGACTAAGACAGCTGTTATTCGTCTGAATTTGTGTTCGGCCGCTTTTATTCGTTGTGGGTGTAAGATTGCTTACCAAATTACATAACGGAAGCGTATTAACTGGGTATATACAAAATGCAGCATATTGCTTACGTTGTGTGATTTGTCGCAAAATAACCAAAAGAGTTTTATTGTTGCTTATCTCAGATCATCGAGAAATAACAACCGCTTGTTTTGCTGCATTAATCACGTTACGTTTTTCCGTCTGTTTGCTTTATCTTAATGGTGCACAGCCTGAATGCATAGCTTTAAAGTAATGGACTTGTTAACTCACAATACATTACTCTGTGGCGAAACCAAAGTGTGTGAGAATGTCTTTGTGATTTATGGCTGGCGCTGGATCGTTAGCGGTTACCAATAGCCTTCACAGCATGCACGTGCCGCCTTGTATATCAGATTATAGAATGCCATCGCTATCCGACAAGTGGTGCCATATGCCGCACTTAACGTGTCTGGGCTTGCGCCTGTCATCGGATGTGTCCTAATTAACACTTCGTCGACTGGCAGTTTTGAACAACGAGGTCTACTTTCATGGTGTAAGCCACCAGAACCACACGATTGGTCATTAGCTTTTTCTGCCCAATGGTGCCTTTTGTTTTCATTATGTTTGACCAATTCCATGAAGGGAGAAAACAAAAGAAACAGAGTAAGACACGTGCGCCAGATTTACTTGTGATGAAAGAGAAAGGAGACAACTGATCAGTGCTATCTCTTTCTGTCTTTCATCAGCCCAGCTGACCCGGATCAGCCATACTTCTATACCTAGACCGGCTTGCGGTATGCTCACCTGCGCTGCGTCTTCTCGGCTGCTTCAGTTGTCTTCCATGTATGCCGTTTTGTCGAGCACGGGAATCATTGGGCAGTCTTCTCAAACTTCCCAATGCTTCCCATTTTTTTGTTGGGCAACGGCACAACATATATCGCTGAAAATTTACCAGTTACATATGAATGTTGTTTAGTAAGAGGCCTGATTTTCTCGAAACCTTTCATTCACGCAGCAGGACGGTGTGGCCCTTTGAATGCTCATATCCCAGAAGGATGGTGACTTACACCATCTGAATACTGGACTTCCGGTAGCATCGAGTAGGTCGAAACCAACACGATCAGAAACTAGACCCGTTTTCACTCACATAGCCAGAAAGTTTTGTTAAAAAATTATTTTTTTGAAATTTGTTACTGAATTAATAAGGTCACTTCTGGTGTGAGTAACCGTGATAGTAGACGAAGTGTTAACAAACCATTAAACGAAAGCCCATTTGCAGTGAAGTCAGTGCAATAATATTTGACGTAACTTGAAAGTCGCTTAGTACTTGCAAATTGTCTGTCGCATTCACGTGGTGTTCAAGTGACCCGATCACAATACTGATGATAATTTGCATCATTCACCGGCATAATTGCAGCACGATACTGCACCACGTGATATTTTTAGGGAATTATACCCGCCACCTCCCTATGGGGTTGCGGTGTACAGTTGACTGGCCAAAAGGTATAACTCTTTTGTTAAAAAAACTTTTGTAAATACAGTAATGTTTTTCCTAGGCGTTAGCACAGGATTTGGGTTCATTTTTTCATTGCAGTTTTCATAAAAATCGCATAAAACGTAGGAAATGTCTACGAAAAACTCAAACTAGAATGGCTACATTTTCTCTAAGATTTCACAGCATGAAAAAACTCAATTAAGAAAGGAAATTTTTTGTGAGCTTGTGCCGGCCATAGGTTAGCGGAGCTGACTATGTCGCCTGCTAAATGCCACTGCCCATTGACGGTCTACACCATAAAACGTTTAATTTTGTGAAATCTGGGCGAATAGGAATTACGTGAAGGTAACTTCATTAAATTGCAAACCAAATTCTCTAAAACAGAAGCGGTCAATAAACTGACCACTGGCCAGCAAAAAACTGTAAATGTCTAAAACCAGTTTTCGTATGTTTTGAACGGTACTACAGGTAAAGTACAAATATACGTTGCTTACGATGTTTCTTCCCAAAGCTTTCATTATACTCTTATATGGGATTGCCCGAAGCCGCATTGTCCGCGATTACACTTTTTCAGATTGTGACCGCAGGTGGCAGTGTCAATAGAGCGGCGCGGAAGGTCAGGATGCAGTGGTCATTGGCGCCAACCTCAGATATTATTTAGCACTAACAATTTTTGGAACGCGTTAGCGGTCCTAAGTAACTAGTACTGCTGACGCTAAAATCAACATTATTGATGTGCTGTCTTCATTGTGCATTTTCGAACTGTAGTTTGCAACCGCCCGAAACTTATCAAAACTCGGAACACAGGTTTCTTTAAAGCCGCGCAGTGCTCTCCTAGGTTTCCCAAGCGATGCATCGATGTGCACATACGCGGCTATGCGCACGGTGTTGTGCCGCCATTTGACAATGTTATTGCAATGGCGATAGGATTACAGTCAGGACGGTTTCCCTAATGTTGTTACCCGGAAGCCGACCGCCCGAGGTGTTGATTAGCAACAGCGTTTTTTTGCCAGCTTGCGATAACCGGAACCGTGTGGCACATGTTTTGCGTCCGAATCGACAGTAACTTGTTCCATTTAAGTAATAAAATGAAGCTGTCGAAAGAGGATCCACCCGTGTATTCGAAACACTTCATGCGTTTAGCAAACAAGACGTATTTTTGACGAACATTGGCCTCGTAATCTTTGATTTCCAAATAATCTGGTGGGCATTTCTGAATAAAGTATTATCAATTGTACCTTGCCGATTTATTTCAAATTTATCGAATCATATCGACTAGAAAGTTATTGCTTATTAATATTATTATTACTATAGCTTATTACGTTATGGTAAAAACACATTGTCGCCTCCTCAACGGTAATGCCCGTCAACGGGCTAATATCCGTAAAAATATTCGATTTTTGCAGACTGTAGCACCCGCATCACCGGCGCGCATTCCGGACTTGGATTTCGATCCGACCTTGAACTCTCGTTTGGCGGTACGTTTTTAAACGTAAAACGTATTTGATTTTCTGGTTTCTGTGGTTCAGCGCGTAGTGCAGGTTGTGCTACTCGGCTTCTTTCGATTCTTTTATCATAGGAACGTATTTTAATTCTGGTATTTTCAGGTTGAAGAAAACGAACTTCTCTTGGAGTTTTTTGCGAATGATCACACATGCAACAGCGACACCTTGGCTTTTTCGGACGAGATGTTGCAAGAATACTACTGTTCTTGCCTCGGCATCTTCGAGTGCTGTGTATGCCGCTACGAGACAACAATGCGTCACCAGATTTGTGACCACGTTGCAACGCATATTATGGAAAGCATCGCCGATGGAAAAGTGCTGGGGACCGAAAAGGATCACATTTGCATGGAGAACTAACTCGATAAACCTGCTTCTTACAACACAGTGTTCCTTTGTTGATATTTTGTCGTTTCATAACATTCATGTCGCAGGAGGTAACCCTGCTATCAGTATCTGTTCTGTGCATTTTACCATGAGGGCAGCAGTACTTCGTAGTGCGCTTAATTACTGTAAGCTTCCTGTTTCAAAATTTGATAGCGTTCGTATTTGACGTTTTACTGAATAACCCTGCGACCTTACCGCACACTTTTCTGGAGTTTCGCGCTTCTGGTAACTGTAGACGTAGTCACAAACTATTCGTGATCGCGAATCCCTTTTTCAGCCTGAACAACCTGCTTGCTAGAAACATTAAAGAAGTAATCCCAAGTGCAGCCCTGGGCAAATTGCCGAATATATCCGGCTTCTTTTAAACTAGAAGTCTCCATGAGTGGATCGTGCTTGAAGTCACAGTGAGGTGAAAACTGAAGTAGATCAGCTTAAAAATAGCGTTAAGCCGGTACCGAGCGACACTTAAGCTTGCACTGATTATTTTTTTAAAAATTCGGTTGAGGCCCTATTCTTCAGGTGATATGCTACAGTTGTTTATCATCCAGTTTTGCCACGGGTGGTTACTGACAACAGTCGATTTCAGTTAAGTGTTGATGACCTTTACCTTGCGTCAGCGAGCACCGTCAGACTGAAGTGTGACCTTAAATGTGAGCTCGCCGAGCACCCGCATGTTCTCGGAGAAGGCGGTTTCTGCTAAAATCTCGATTCCAAAGCGTTTAGCGTCAACTACAGGTTATTAATCCATGTAGCAAGTTAAAGACACTCGGCTCCTACAATCTTTACTAGCCACCGTAACTTTTTATTGCTACCGCTTTGCTGGTTTTTTCTTCCACTTTTCTGACACTTCCACACCATACAAGTCTGTGGGAAATGCCCTTGTTGCAACGCTACGTCAACCACTGATTGCACAAAATTTTTGTTTTGGCCCGTAACGTATGCCTTTTGGGTCACTCAACAGCTTGCAGAAAAGTTCATGAAAATTATCATTGGATAAATCAGTTCTCGGCTTCCTACTAACCGATCAAAAGACTTAATAGTTAATATTTCTAGATTTGCGATAGAAAGCTACACGGAGGAAGTTCAAATAGAAAAACAGAATAGCTTGCAGAAAAAATTGACAGTTGTTTTATAAAAACGCCCGAACTTCGCTGCCCAGGGCTTTAAGAATCTTTAATAACACCGGTTAGGACGTACACTCGTGTATGGGCACTACGGCCAAGTTCGTGTGATCCAGACATCTTCCTCCGTGTTAATTTGCGAACACAACTAGGTATGCAGTTTATGCCTGGCCCAACCAGCTGTGGTCAGAAGAATCCAGAAGATGGACCACAGTTGGCCTTGAACAGAACGCATCACTGAGAGTTAAATCCTGCAGAGGAACTACCAACAGTAACATTTCACCTTTTGTATATCCTGGCTTAAAGGTCTTTTTGTCATCTATATAGATGCAACTATTATTACAAAAAAAACTGAATTGCTATAACAAGTATCTCAGTAGGATGCAATGGAGAAAAACTGTTATAAATGCCATTGAAAACTTCTTAGCATTTCCATGGATTTTACCGGGATAATTTCAGTAATTTATCACACACATCCTTCTAATAATTTTCACGTGCTAGGCGTCTTCTAGTTCAGGTATCATCTTCTTATTTTACTTAATAAACAAAGGCACTTGTTCATACTGCTTCTCAGTACCGGTAGACAAATAACCTGCAGGTGGGTTTAGAAAACTTACAAAGGTGTGAATCCAAACATGATGCGCCAAAACTCATTTCGAAGAATACGAGGAATACCGGTAAGAAGGCCATACACGCTAGGCGAAGTTGGCGAACACTGACCGGACAAGGCGGAATACAGGCAGCACATGCAAGAATACTTAGAGAATGCGCGGAATACAAGTGCCTCATACGAAGGCACACCTGGCGAACACTGGCCGGATAAGGCGGAATACAGGCAGCACATGCGGGAATACAAAGAGAATACGTGGAATACATGTGCCTTATACGAAAGCACACCTGGCGAACTCTGCCCCGACAAGGCGGAATACAGGACGAACGTACCGGAATACGTAGAGAATACGCGGAATACAGGTGCCTCATACGACACCTGGCGAACAGTGGCCGGATAAGGCGGAATAAAGGCAGCACATGCGGGAATACATAGAGAATACGTGGAATACAGGTGCCTTATACGAAGGCACACTAGACAAACTCTGCCCGGACAAGGCGGAATACAGGACGAACGTACCGCCGGAACACGTAGAGAATACGCGGAATACAGGTGCCTCATACGAAGGTACACCTGGCGAACACTGGCAGGATAAGGCGAAATACAGGCAGAGCGTACCGGAATACGGAGGGAATACGCGGAATACTTGGAATACGTATTGAAAATAATGGTGCGCATTTTTGGAGTGGTACGAAATGGGCCATAGGTGTGATAAAGGGGAGAATATTGATTAACGGGCGGAGTTCCTACGGTGGATAAACAATGCGACCGCTAGTGAGTAACGGCGGAGTTATATGCTGCATGACAGTAACTTACATCATGTGCTGGGTCTGTACTCGGTCTGCATAATATCGCCTAATATAGTCAGTGAACGATTGTTTTCATTGTTTTGAAAGCGCTTGACTCGAAGCCAGTCTCAGTAAAACGGGGTTTGAAAAGTCTTTTACTTTTTCCCTAGACAAGGAAAAAAAATTCTCGTCCTATCCGGAAATCTTGACCGAATCCGTGGTGGTCTTGTGGTTTGCCTGCCAAATCTGCTTGAAATTCGGACTGCGTGTTCTTCCTGAATGGCGTGCTAGTCGATTAGACTCCGACAACTACAACTATTTCGATTCTCTGCTCGAGTTGTCTGGCCTTGTAAGTCTTGTTATGTATAGTTAGTGAATAATTTCACTTTGATATAAGAAAAATATCTATACAAGCTACGCTCGGCCTCCCCATAGTTTTATACGAGTATTTTGCAGTAGTAAAACTGAAGGCGCAAAATATAGCAGACTTCAATGGCGCTATGATTTTGCTAATAATAATAATGTAAATATGTGAGACGCGATTCACATCAACTGTGAAGTGAACGCGGTTCCTAATGTCAGTGCAACCACAGATAATTAGATAGGAAAACTTAAGTACTCTGATGATATGACCAAGAAACTGTACAAAAACGATTACAAAAAAGATACCACATTTCTACAAGCATGGTTATAATGTATTTGCAAATAAGCTTACTTTATTGAATTTTTTTTAGTTCCCGAATACAGCGACGAAAGAAGGCACAAGCTTTTCCCATTCCTGGTTAAAGTAATTCTGCACTAACAAAAAACACTTAAGCATTCCAGAATAAAAATCAAAATGCTTCACATCATCCATAGCAAACCGAGATCTATTTACACAAATGCCTAACCGCTAAAAAATTCGTAGCTCAGACTAAATGACGTGCAGATACGCTTCCTGCATGATCCACTCGTCGAGACGATCGTCGATGCGGAACCAGCACTCGTACAGACCGGCGTCCTTCCATGTGACACTGTGGATCGTCATCGTCGAGTTGCACTGACCTTCATAGGCGCCGTACCCAAAGCTTCCATAAAATCCCCACCAATAACTGGTCTTCTCGGCGACTTCCGGAATTGATCTGGCGACAAGTAAGTAATTTCCAGCGCGCCACAGGAAGCGGGTTTTGAGGTATCCGGGAAGGAAATTGAAGCGTACCGCGCAGACCATCTCCGCTGGGTCGCCGTAGCGGACGGTAATGTTCTTCATGGGCGGATTGAAGACGTTGTGGCGGAAAAGGGTCGCGCTGACCCAGTAGCGCTGCGTCGCCACATACTCGCTCCCGTTGAAGTACTGGCACTCGTACAGTCCTGTGGCCGCGTACGTAAAATTCGGCAGCGTGATGGAAAACGCACCCGTGGTCAGATTGATCATTTCGGCCTGCACCTTAAAGTCCGCCGGATCGTAGTCTGTCGTCCAGTTGCAACAATAATTCACCTCCTGCCCCCGTCCCATGTTTACCGCAATGCCCTGAAAAACGGGAACCTGCCATTCGTTGCGTGCGAACGCCGGCGGATTCCGAATGTCGTAAGCCTGTTAGTAATGCAGACAGTTAAACCATGCTGTATTTTTTGCCTCGCAATCGTTATTAGGATAATTAGGGCTAAGAAAATCTGATTCGGAAAACCAAATTAACACGAACACCTAAAGGGCATTCAAGAATTGCTAGATGTGCCATAACTAAACCGACGATGCGAATCTGACTGTGGAAAGCAAACCAACCTATTCGCCAGGCAAGCGACATAACATAATAAAATTGCTCTTTCACTACCAAGCACAACGGACGGTAAACAAAGAGCGCAGAAGAGGGGACAACAAGGTAATTAAGTATTCACTGTCAGCAACCATAATTTTCTGCGTGAAACTGGACTATGCCCGGTTTAAACCGGTATATCAGATTATTGCGGAAGTATTCTGCTTATTTCCAGCCGACTCATTTGCCTGCGACTCTGCACGCGCGCGCGTCGTCTTACGGTACGAGTTACCACAAATCGGGCAATATTACAGCCTTCAAATGCCACACTCACCTTTGGTGTGTTGTTAAGGTTGTTGTTGCAGGGAATCACCAGTGTGCCACCCTCTGGGGCTCTGATAACCTCCGTCCCCGGCGGCCATTCCGCGATTGGGTATCCCTTGTTCGACGGACCACGGCCGTAACCCTGCAGATGCATGGTTCCGCTCCCGTTACGTTGTTTTGCTTCGTTCAAGACCCGATTCACTACGACGAAGAAATAACTCAAATAAGGCAAAAGGGGCGTAAAATAAGCGCCGCAGCGCGCCACTGCAAGATCCTTTGGTTACACGAAGCTGCGGTCATACTTTGTACGGCACGTACAGACACAAACTACCTAAAATAGCTAAATACAGCGGATGCATAAAAAAATACCCAGTTTGGCGTAATAAAATAATTTCTGGAAATAAAAGGGATAAATCAGTTCGGAGGTGAGCAAAGAACTGGCAAAAAAGGCAGTAAAAATCATAATGATACTAGTAATCTTAAGCTGAGAACGAAGCGAAAGTACGTATTGTATATCGGCCTGAAGACGGGCCGGCCGGCTAATAGCGTAACACAGCGATTCGTGAATACGGTGTACATGTACTGTATTTACACAGGGTTAGGAAACCGGATGGGACGGGCCAGCACACACGGACCGTCGGTTACTTTGATCTCGAAGGAGAAAGGAGCCGACACTCATGTGCGCGGCTCGGCCCCTGAAGCGTTCCTTAAAACCTGTGAAAATACAGTACTGACATGCTATACGGAAGTCGCACCGACTACCGTACTCGATGACCAACCATACACAGTCGATAGTGACTCGGTACAGTGGGAATACACTCTGGACTCCGATGAGTGGTCGTACACAAACAAACTACTTCCGCTAGGTACTACGGATGTGCCTAACGAAAGCTACCGAAACCCAAACACTCAGGAACTTCCCAAATGTTTAATCAACAAAACAGAACGCACTTCTACCAGAAGGTCACACCAACATTCTAGTAAAACCTAACTTCTCAGTCTTCAGACTCTCCTCACTCGTCAAGCCAAAGACTCGAACACCTCCTCAACACACTGAACATGCAACGAGAATCGCTAATGGAATTAGTGATCAAATGCGTTAGATAAGAACAGCAATCGTACGTAACAGAACAGATAACGTACGTCACAGCACGTACGTACGTAATACACGCTTTCTACGCACAGCGTGTTACCCCCACTGCGCGGAATTAACGTCCGCGTTAATTAACAGCAAAACAAATAAAACCAAAACCAAGTCAAAGAAACACTCAAAATCCAGGAAAAGTACCGTAATCCTGGAGGATCCATCGCATCATCCGTGCATCATCATCCGTGTGTGGAATCCGGGGTATAACGGGGGTTCGAAGAGCGGTCCAAATCAGCGATCCGTTCACGTCCTCCGGAGTTCCTGGTTCCACACGGGTTCATCATCATCCATCCAAACGTTGAACTTTCCATCCGTTCCATCCATGAGTTTTTCATCCATCCTCTCCCTCCATAGAGCTCAAGGATGCACAGTCAAACAGGCCAAACACATCAGAAATGGCACGATTTCTGATACAACTGGCCACCGCAATCAATCAACAGCACACATCAAAAAGGATAAATAAAATCCATTTTACAGCATCTTCAAAGTGCACCATAAAGTGAAAATCAATTTTCGCTTATTACTGGCACTCACCCCCACTGCAAGCTTGCACTTGCAGTCAAACGATCAAACGAAATCTGAACCAAGCAAATCACAAGAACCAACACAATTGTACGGTTCTTGTAACGATCAAGCAACCTCGGCCATTACAGCCATCCTCATCCAGAATAAACTCAGGGATGATCAATCAGAACTGGATTAAACGCATCTAGTTCTCAACCAACAAACAGTAAACTGTACTGTTTACAACTGCAGAAATTGAAAATGATATCAGAGAATCATTCTCGAAAACTGCCAAAACTGCACCGCAGCAAAGCACGTAACTGCAACACCGGCGGTTACGGCACAACACACCAAGTACTTACACGATAAGTACTCGTACTAAATTTCAATTTTATAAACAGTCATAATCATCAACTGTTTACTATCAATCACCATTACAATCACCATCCCCTTTTTGCTGATTAATTCTGCGGCTGCGAGTAAAGCAAGTTACTGTCAACACACCCGTGACAGAAACAGCGGACTCACAACGTTGCATTCATAACTTAAACGTGAGCATGACAATGCACACATTCTACTCCCATTTCCCACAACTGTGCATTCATTCCCGGCCAGTAATAATTCCGTAGAATATGCTTACGTACTGACCAACAATCATGCAATTTACCAGCATGATACCTATCATGGCATTCTTGTAACAGGTCCTGACGGCTTACTTCCGGTACGACAACACGGTGTCTACCGTATCTAAAGCCCTTGCTACGGTACACGATGCCACGATAAATGTGAAACTGTTTTACATTTATTTGTTCATCCCGACTCATTTCTGCTTCGGGATTTTCAATCAGAAACTTTAGACGCTTATCATAAGCACATCTTGTCTGCTTCTGACGCCAGCTTCCGCGAGCCTGAGCACCCCCACTGCGAAGCGAGTGTCTCATTGGACGGCGTACCGAGCTCAACTGATCTTGGGCAGCTACGCTCTCACGGCAAGTTTCCTCCCGTGCAGCAACTTTCTGTGCACGTTTAACCTGCACACCGAAAGAATTAACTTCCGGTTTACGCATCAAACACAACCCCAAATTATTACTTTCGGGATTTGTCCCTGTCGACTTTCTCATCATGTAAGCCTTGACAACATGATCAGGCGGTTCAGCCGTCACAGGCTTCCGTGGTTCAGTGCTGGTACACTTCTTACCAACATGTGCACCATGACACTTGAAACAAATCGGCTGTCCGTCTGGGAAATACCACTTCGCGTAATTAATGGTAACCTGCTTACCATTATCACTTGCAGTCCCACCGGACTTCTTCAACTCACTAACAATGGCCTTATCTGTACTGTTGTTAGCATCACTTGGCTTCCTGCCACTGAACTGCTTCTCATCCGAGTAAATCGAACCCGGATTACTATTCCGCAGTTTAAACTGCAACTTCAGTTCTGACAGAAATTCTTCTACATCTGTCACTCTTTTTTCTTCCATGTACTTAAACCAACTGAAACGATTCTTCTTTAAACCTGCTTCAAATAGTACACACGTTCGGATTCGCTCAAGTCTAACTTTTTGAACGAAGTCGTGAACCCGTCAAGATACGAATTCGGAGTATCGTCATTATTGAAATGACGATCGGCTACCTTATCGCGAACAGCCATCAAATCTTTCTCATCCGAGAAATGTTCTCGGATCATCTTCCACTCGGACCACTTCAACTTCTTACTTGAATCGTACTTATCTAAGTACCAGGTAAGCGCCGTACCAGTAAGGCAGCGCGACAGGCACTTACTGATGACGTCACTGTCAGCCCAACTGTTGTGGTTCTTACAGTTATCCACACTTTGGATAAACTGTTCAACCTTATTAGTATCCGTTTTTCCATCAAACTTTTCAGGATACATCGTATCCGTCCTGAACGCGCCCTTCATCGCGCTAGTAAACTTCTCCATATCGAATGGAGCGGAAACAGTACTACCGCCCTTGATCTTCTGTTCCTTCAATCGACGATCAAGTTCAGCTACCTTTGCTTCCATTTTGGCCAAAGCAATTGTGCTGACTTCAGATATCGTAGGTGAGGGACTGCGCGACTCACCCAAACATATCTGAATATTATGAGCACGTTCACGCAAATCCAGAAATTCATCCAGTTTGTGGTTATCCTTAACCACAAAGACGGGCTTCTGAATTGCACTGTACAGCTTTCATACAGGATCAGCCGCATCCTGTACTACAAAGCTGCGTCGATCTGCCTCAACATGCGGAACAAAGATGACGTCATCATTAACTGAATGTCGTCTATTATTCCGATCAGCTTTAAACATGTCGACTTTAGCTTTAAAAAGCTTTCTGCTCAGTTAGAAACTTTTCATTCTTCTTATTCAAAGCAGCTGTGCCTTCTTGAAAACTTTTCTGCGCCTGCTGCTTTTCCAACTGGAATTTCTGTTTTTCCAGTTGCAACTTCTTGCTTTCTTTATTGACATGCTCGAACGCGTCCTGCATTAACTTTGCATCTCGCGTACGCATAATGCCAAGCAATTTCACCTGATCAGCAAACTTGTTATTGCGATCAACAACATCGTCATATCTTTCGATTAAATCGTTATACTTTCCAGTTAATTCATCATGTTTCAAAATGAGCGCATGATATCGAACCTTTTCTGCATCCAACTCTTTACGTAACTGATCAACCATGATAGTGGTTGATGACTCATCGCCTTCTTTGGCAACAGACTGACTGTAGTGCAAATCAGCGGCATTATCGCGCTGATAATCAACACCATGCAGTTCTAACTCAGTATTGTTATCATCTTGATTAACTTCAACAGAACAATCTGGAGCATTATTTATCTGCTCCAACATCTTATTCATCGCAGTCAGGTCCAGATGCTGATTTACCGCGGTATCCTTCGCAGTACCATCCACGTCACTGGCTGACAGTGCATTGCCCTCACTGACTGTAGATTGCACAGCAACGCTTTGCTGCACATCCGACCCTGGATGAGCTGCTTTGCTGCTACCTGCTGCAGACGTATCCGGCTTCTTACGAGCAAGATGCTGCATCCACTTACCATGCAGTTCAGTGCCGTACTGCTGATCGTAATCATGCAAGGTCAAATGGATCGTTCTACGGGCGGGAATCTTCCTTCCTGCCTGGATCCACTGATCATAACCTCCAGGTTTTTTACCACCTTTTAAATCATATTCAACCCACTCCTGGCTTAACTCACCAGTACGAGGAAGAACAATTTCCCACTTCTTACAAAATTCACCAACCTGTTCGTCTTCAGGGAGAAACCATTGCACTATAGGCGGAGACAGATAATCCGCCTTTTCCAGCATGGCTTCGACTCTTCAACTCTAATCATCCCTTTTCGTCTGGATGATTTACTTTGCCCAGTTGATGGCTCTTCTCTACCCTACTCCTGTCCAGCAGTTAATGCTGATGGTTCAGACAGTACACCATCCATTTCACCTGCTTGACAAACACAGACACGAAATCCAGGTCAACGTACCCGGATGCAAGTCTGTCCGAATAACAAGGCTTACGCCACAACTTCTCAGTACACACCGTACCAATCAACAGTACAAGAACAGATTATGGACTCCCGTCCTGCACCTGGCTCGCACTTAGGAACCGTGCCTCGCGTGACCTTCTGAAGTCACTGCGGTAACAAACTGCGGTCTAGCACGTGGCTCTCACTTAGGAACCGTGCCTCACGGGACTCTCTGAGGATCCGCGTGGCCAACCAACACAACCAAAACCAAAACAAAGAAACCAGACACTTACCAGACGATCCAGAACTCCCAAGGGTTGTTAAAATCCGGAAGGCGCCATGACATGCTATACGGAAGTCGCACCGACTACCGTACTCGATGACCAACCATACACAGTCGGTAGTGACTCGGTACAGTGGGAATACACTCTGGACTCCGATGAGTGGTCGTACACAAACAAACTACTTCCGCTAGGTACTACGGATGTGCCTAACGAAAGCTACCGAAACCCAAACACTCAGGAACTTCCCAAATGTTTAATCAACAAAACAGAACGCACTTCTACCAGAAGGTCACACCAACATTCTAGTAAAAGCTAACTTCTCAGTCTTCAGACTCTCCTCACTCGTCAAGCCAAAGACTCGAACACCTCCTCAACACACTGAGCATGCAACGAGAATCGCTAATGGAATTAGTGATCAAATGCGTTAGATAAGAACAGCAATCGTACGTAACAGAACAGATAACGTACGTCACAGCACGTACGTACGTAATACACGCTTTCTACGCACAGCGTGTTAGTACTAATATACGCAATCTTTGTCGCCTTTATTTTAGCATCATAAGAATCTATGAATAATTCTACTGAATGTCGTTTCGTTTTATGGTCGAAACAAATCTGTGAGTGCGAAGAGAGGACGATAAAAAGTCAGACAGCAATACACTAGCGGAATCTCCATTACACACTACACAAAATGCCTGGTGTAGCGGTCTCATTAGCAGCGCCGTCAGATTAGCAGCAAGGAAAGTTTCATTGGTGCTGTTGAAAGCAATGGGAACGCCTACGCTACGCCCCTTTCTGGATCCAAACAGCACTGCAGATACTTACTGCTGCTGCTATCATTCTGGGTAGTGACGCAATATTTGCGTAGCAGTTGCTATTGCTGTTTATTTTCTTGGCTGAAACAAATAATTTATAAAATAATGTGATTTGAACTTTTGCATGACAATGGAAGAGAGGATTATATTTTGCAAAACTGCTTTGAGTTCTTTGTGTGAAACAGCTCGAACGTGTTCGTCCGGTTTGTATGTTCAAGCTGCAGCAATATGGGAGGAACTGGGTTCTCGGGGTTTCACGCTTGATTCCTTGAACTATCTGGATGAACTGAATCCAGGACAGACCGCAACTGAAGAAACAAAGCAACTCAGAGCTCTTGTTCCTATAATCTTTGACACGTCTCGCGCACTCCAGACCACGGGTGATGGAAACTGCTTTTCAACGCTTTGGCGATACTTGGGAACGGTACAGAAGCACTAGCAGTTGAGTACCGGCTTAGAACAGCTCTCTGCTTGATTTTGGAAAGAGAAGCTTTAATTATTCACCCAAATGATCAAAAGATTCTTGTTGTCGCTTCGAGAAACACCAGAAGACATTAGTAGCATCTCTTGCACAGTTTTGTGCAGAGCGGCATATGTCAAATTTGCACCTGAAGTATGTGGATAAAGAATCTCTAGAACCAGTAACGCGCAGAAACAATATTTCTGAAGATTGTATTTGGATCCTGCCATCGGAAATGTACGTACCGTGGCTTGATGAGCATGCTGTGAAAATTACCCAGGATTGTAGCTGGACCTGCTATATGTGGATAATTGCTGCTGCGGTTGCGCACGACAATAATATTATCATCATACGCCCGCAGGTCAGTTTGATCTCAAGATCAAATACGGAACTCAATAACAAGATTTCGTTGCTGTTATTCACATTGCATCTTTTACAGGGCTATCATTCGGTGTGGGTCCGCTGTAGAACCGATAAAGCAAAAAAGCCGTGGTGTTTGTTTTGGGAAAACAACCATTTTTCTGCCGTGCGACTCGACCTTTTCGCTAACGGCATTCTTTTGGAATACCTTGATTCTTTGGAAGCAAAAGATAAATCCCAACTGACTGAAGTTGAAGTGTGGTGCATCTGCGATTTTCCAAATATGGTACGCTTTCAAGAGCACTCACTCTTCCTTTCAACAAATAGCACTGCCGAACATGATCAGGATGTGGTCGATGTACCGGAAACCATAAACCAAGCAGAGGAAGTTTTTGCTTGTGAAAAGCGACGCAAACCTTTATCTACTACGATTTTATTCAAGAAAGGATTGATGAATTCTTATACCGCCGACATAATGGAGCCAAAAGGTCAACTATAGTCTATAAAAATGCATTTTTTAATATCATTGTTTTTTTCTTAATTGTTGCTTTTTAGGCTCTGGTTTTGCTGGTGACGTCGCAGCAGAAGGTAAAAAAATTAAAGTTAAAGTTTCAGTATGATTTTCACGTTAAATTGCTATAGAAGAACGAGTCTTTGGAATTGTGACGCATCTGTTCCAAGGTCAGTTGGACTCTTCAAAATTTTCCGTCCGAGGTTTTATCAGCGACGCAACAATATCAAAAATTGAGCGCCTTACAAAAAGATTGAAAGATAAAGATGTAAGCAGTAATTTCTTGTTGTGATCTCAAGATCAAAACTAACACCTACTTTGGAAATTTAGGCACTCTCACTAGAGGAACGAAATCTTCTGCGGTCGCGATCACGTTTTTTTTACTTTGGAAAGTTATCTGAAGAAAATTATAGGTTTCGGTATGACGATCTGGGAAATTTGCTGTACAAGACCAAGCCATGTCAGGAGAGAGTGTTCTGCCGCTTCCGCAAGGCTTTCGAAATCGTATGGAGGAACCATCTCTCTCCATCGCTGACATGTGCGCCAAAAAGCGCAAATCTATTGGCAAAGCAGTCGCTTCGACAGATATACTGCCCCTACGCCAAGACCGTTGCGGCTTCTATAAAAGATATTTGCAAGGGCTGTCAAATTACTCGCCAGGCTAAGCCAGTCCTGCCGTATGTCCCAAAAATAATTCGAGTTCATGAAATAATGGAAAGGCTGCAAATCGATTTGATCGACATGGCGCCGGACTCTGATGCCGGGATGCGATTGAACTATGCTGAGTATCGTTATGTGTTATCTGTTACGGAATGTCTAACGCGGTACTGTTTTTTGTATCCTTTGCGATCTAAATCCGGCCAAGAAATGCGAAAAACCTTGCAGCTTTTTTTTATAAATGAGGGCGGCCCACAGCTGCTTCATAGCGACAATGGAAAGGAATTTGTCAATAAGCGCGTTAAGGAGTTGTTAGAACCTGCTGGAACCGTTTTTGTTCACGGTGCACCATACCATCCACAATCTCAGGTTTGCCGTGTAGTAGCGTTCTATGTTCCTCAACCATTTCATTTTGTTTACTAGGGACAAGTTGAACGGCTAAATCAAAAAGTGAAACGTGTTTTGGCTCATCTTATGGCTAACACGGATGCCGCTTTACAAGCGATCGCGTGGCCTTACTTGCTTCCAACAGTTCAGCGGATCCTCAATTGTACTGACCACCATTCCATTGGTATGACACCGTTCGAAGCATTTAAAGGATATCCCTCATTACCGGATGGAAACGAATTTGGCATCGGTAAACGTAGTGAATATAAGAATTAATAATATGCAATACCCTTGATTAACGCTTTGATGTAACTCGCAATCATGTGATCTCAAGATCAAATAAAGTTTTATTTCTCTTAGAACTGGACCCTATCGAGCCGAACGAGTACCAACTGGACATGCTACGGAACCTCACTCCGGAAAAAATTTTGACGAAGAAGAAGAATTTCAAACCATTGAAGAAGTTGAGCAGTACGAAGAGGATTGCGATGAAAATATTGCTAGCCATTTAGACCGATTAGAAAAACTACCGGAGCCGGTGCGTTCCCATGCTTTAACTGGGCTGGAAACGCTTGCATTTCGTCGGGCCTGTGTCAGAGATACGATACTGGAATGTGTGGAGCGGCGTTTTTATCGCAACGTTTACAAGCCCGCAGTAGCATCTCGCAAAGTCTCCATTGAAAAAGGTGACATATTTCTTTGGAAGCCGACGTTTCGAAAGAAGCCTAAGAGCAGCGCACGGATTCGTTCAAAAGTCGTAAGAATAACTGAAACTTCACGCACACTCCCGGGTCGGTTTAGGATTGAGTATTACGGGAACGGCGACAGAGATCCGCCATGCAGAACTGCTGAAAACGCAAAAATGTTCACAGAAATGTATGTCAACGGGAAAGAGCTTCTTTTTAGCAGAAAATCGCAAAGCAATGTAGATATTTCGGATTCAACGACTTTGGCTTATTCTGTGCGTGATGACGTATGCCAGACTGCTCCAACCAAAGAGGAAATCGAAAAACTGATACCAGACTTTGCCGACAAGATGCGACAGTATTTCAAAGAAAACGGATTTCTGTCGAAAGTAATTCCTAAAGATTTGCCATCAACTTTAGAAATTGAAACGTATTTTGGTTTCCTAGAAAAGATTGCTGGTGAGCATTACAAAGAGACACACTGTCCGGGGTCAAGCATTCTGGATGCGGCGCTGCAGGAGCTGTATCAGATGCGTCAGGAGAAGGACATTGGGTGTTGGATGAGTGGCCTTGAGAAATGGGAATGCTTGACTAAACGAGACTGCTACAAGATTCAGAACTACTTAGCTGGAAGTGACATGTATCACAAAGGATCGTGTCTAGACTGCCTTGGTGGTATTTCAGGCTGCACTCATTCTTGCTGCGATGACCTTTTACTTAAAATCTGCGCTAGACGCGGTGGTACTTTTGTGCCAATTTGATAAGAATTTAAACTCGACTTTGATCTCGAGATCAGACAATGATTGCAAATCTCAGTTTTCTATTAAAAGCCACTGCACTACCGTTTAGCACTGTTATATCTGCAAATCATTACGGCTTGTAATCTATACAGCGTCTAACTAACGTGCCTCTAACTAAGGTGCCTCTAGACATACTAGATTTAGGTACCGGATAAAGTAAATAAAACAATCCGGACATAAAACACAAGAAAAAAGTTCTACAAACGCCTTGATATGAGCGAGGGTATCAGAACATTACATGATTTGGAGTACAGCTTAGATGATAGTACTCTGTATTTGTCAAAACTGCAAATAGTACGAGAATTTTCGAACTCTTAGGGATTGTTCAAACGACGAAGCTCTGAGCGGTTTTGCCAGCACCAGTGATGGGTTACTGAGTAGACAATAAGTAAGAAAAAGTTACTCAGTAAACAGTAGCGTAATATTAAGCGTTCAGTAACCAATAACGTTTTGAATCTGAAGTAAGAGTAACAGTAAGTAAGGTTTTTAAAATAATATTAAAAGTAAGTATAAAGTAATTTGCTCATCTTCGCGCTTCGCGCGAAATTTGCTTCCTAAAACATAAGTTTTAGTTATTAGTACTTGGCTTACTAAGTAATGTTTTGTAATTAGTAAAGAGTAAGTAAAAGTAGCGTTTGCGGCAGCGAAAAAGTAACAGTAAAGTAAATCAAAAGTTTTGCAAATTATCTTTCCAAAAAGGGCAGTGGCACTCTGCGTACCCGGCGAAAGGTCATGACTTATAAGCTGCCTGTCACTGACGCTTACGAATAAGAATTGTGGCAGGGTGCGATAAATCATATGCAGCCGAAAAGACTCGGTCATCTTTTGCATTCCGTTCATAATTCAGCACTTCAAGGATTTCGGACCACGTTCAAAAGGTAGTTGTGCAGGTCGTCGACATCGGTCATGACGATTTCAATGCTCCTACAGGAGTACAGGAGCTAGCGTCCTCGTCGTTAATATCCAGAACCTGGAAAGCGAATTTATATAATTGCGCACTTGCTTCGAAGAGGCAGAAACATCGTATGACTGTATAGTATAAAAAGATCATAGAAGCGCTATAAGTTTACATGACAGAGCACGGAACTTTGTACAGGTGGTTGGTGTACAGGTTGTCGTACGGACCGTACGGTGATTCGACTGTAACGGCAAAAACGAAAAATGCTTTGCAGAGGCTTACATCAGTTTCCACAATCATTGTCGAAATGAGAGCCGGTACGCCGCTGTCCACTTCCATAACTTTCACAACAATTTTGCTGTCCATCTCTCGATCTATCGTCGTTTCCAGCGTCAACCATCCGGATTTTGGATCTAACGCAACTGGCAATTGTGACGCGTTGACAAGGTCGTAGCGTATCATCGCATTCTGCCCATAATCCATATCATACGCCGAAACTGGAATTAATCGGACCGGAGCGGTGTAGTTCTCCGGCGTCTGGACGGTGACCTTATCGGCGAAAAACACGAGCGCATTGTCATTCTCATCGTTAATACGGGCCTGAAACTCCACATGGCTGACCAACAGCGGATTGTCTTTGAACGTCGCCTGTACGAATACTTGTTCTGCGCTTCAAAACCCAGTTCCTTAAACACAACGAGACGGCCGTCTTGGCGAATGGAAAACGGCAGTTCAGTTTGGTTTAACGCCGACGGGGGTATCACGGTAAAAATGACTGGCTAAGGTTATTTCAGTTTCACGGTCAGCAGAGTTGCGTTCAGTGGAGCGCTCTCGTGGATACTAAAAAGATACAGCAACTGGTCGATCTCGGGCAGAATGTTTGTGTTATCCACCACGAAAATTTCGACAGCCACTGAGGACCACTGCAAAGGGCTTCCTTCATCCGATGCATCGACGAAAGAGGACAACGTCTCGTTTGTGAATTCTGCAATAAATAAATTAGGTGCAACACATGCAACGTTAATTTTTGTTTTCGCGAGTTTAATTTCATAACTATACTAGTATCTTCGACTAAACTTTAAATCATGCAGCACGTGCATATACATGTACCGTGTCACCGTGAACACTGTCAATTCAGTTAATACGGATCCGAGTCATCCGACACTTCGTTCGGCATGTCTTGAATTGTCTTCGTTAAAAATATATGATATGATAATTTCTGTTGTCTGCCTTACCAGTGCCAAAAGGTTTCTTCAGTTTAATTATGCCAGTTCGGAAGTCGATGTAAAATAAATTAAAATGTCTGGAATTCTCTGAACTGATGCTATACACAACGGAACCATTCTGTCCAAGATCTCGATCGGTCGCCTCAACCTTCATGAAAAAAACAATTCTTAGCGCTGTCATATTTGAGCAATCGTTCTCACCAATCCCCTTCAGTATGGCTGCATCAGCAGCAAGGTTATCGAAGACAGTGACAGTGTAAGTCTTCTTACAAAGATTGGCGCTTCATCGTTCATATCTGCAACACAAATTTATCAATCAGTTATTTGTTGGGGCACGTAGAAAGAGGTGGGTGTGTTGAAGCTTAGCAGAGATAAATTTAAATATTGCGGTTAAGTACCGGTGAGAGTTATGTTGACTTGACAAAAGTCACGTAATCCGCCCAAATCTACCGCCTGAATCCAGAATAGGTAATCAGCTTGACGCTCACGATCCAGATTACCAGCCACGGAAATGATAGGGCTCTCGGCGTCAACAACAAAACGATCGTCACAATGGAGTATCGCAGCTGACCATTGCGTCCAGCGTCTAAATCACTGGCCCGAACCGCACCGATGACACTGCCCAGTGGGGCATTTTAAGCAGTAGTTAATGCATAGAATGGCCAGTCAAACTTTGGTGAATGGCGATTGGAAATGACCGGAAGAATCTTCACTTGAGTACACGCGACATGTACACCGTCCGACGCGGAAATATTCAGCTGGGCAGAACTCCGCAGGAAACCCGTTGCTCCAGAGAAAAACGCAACTATTCCTAAAGTACCACTCTGTTACCATTATGCTGTTTTTTATTCTAAAGATTATGGGCTTTTTTTGCATGTATCTACGAGTATATATGTATTTTCGAAGCAAACCATAAAAATTTAAGTATAATGATGTTATCTTCAGGCAAATTTAAATACAATAGTTTTAGATTTTCACAAATGCCTTCGGCCAATGGTGTTAATTGCCAGAGTTTAGTACCTTGTCTGTCGATGGTAAAGAGGCCGGTTGGACTTTCCTTACCGATAAACAAGTTTATTTAGTCATTTGTATCTCACCTTTCACTACGACGCGCAGGGTCATGGCTGAGCTGCGGCGAGGATGGCCGGCATCTGATACGATTATCGTCAGGTCAAGTTGGTCAATCATCTCGCGATCCAATTCGTTAATCAGATACACTGTGCCGCTAGTGAAACCAATCTGGAAATAAATCGCCGGCTTTGAACTCGTCCGCACCGCTAAGGCTCTTCTTGATGCCGCATCGGAAAACACATCTTCATCCGATTTCCGGTTGCGAATACGGCTTACGGTTACACGTGCAGCGTCTTCCGAACATTGCAGACTGAAGGGAAGTTCCGCGTTCTCGCCGCTATCGGCATCGGATGCCACAGGCTGACAGATTTCTTTTTTCCATGGTGTAGTCTCGGCTAGTTTGATTGTTTGAAGGTCACTCCATCTAAGAACCAATTATTTCATTAGCACTGTAATATTTATTCAATGTCTGAGAAATATTTCTTATTGAAAAAATTCGGTAAATTGTACTAATCAGATATATTAAGAAACTGAAAGTTTGTTTGGTTCATGTTTAATGTACACGTTAATTATAGCTCATTTTTGCATTGTGTCAGTCGAGAATGTCAACAAATACGACAATATCCGAGTATAAAATTTCCCATTTGGCCGGATCCATGGCACGTACACACAGCGTAAAATGTTTCTGTAGTTCGAAGAATCGAAGTCAACCGGCTCCAGCAGACGAATCACTCCTGTAATTACTGGCGCTATCATATTTCCGTTAGTTCACTACTCATATCGGCAATATCGATACATGATGTGAAATCAATGTCAAAATTGTTGAAGCGGTCGCCCTCCATGATAGTGTAGACGATCTCCCGGGAAATGTTGACCAAGCCGGCATAAGTCGCACTGACAGTAAGAAGCAGTGTCCCGACTTCGGCGGCTTCCGATACACTGGTGCGGTACGTATTTTGCGGGAAAAGTGGCACCGTATCCGCCACGATGCGAAGGAGAACGGCGGCGTCGGAATGCAGGCTGATGTTACCACTGTCGCTCGCACGAATAGTATACGAAAGTTCCTGTGTTAACTCCTTTTCGGTCAAATCCTTCGCCAAACTCGCATCGCCGGTGGAAGAGTTTATTGATATTAACGGCTGGTTTAAAATCACTGAGACTTATTACACCCTTCTTCCTCTCGTCCGCATCGGTTGCGGTCACCTAAAAAGCATAATAAAATTAATATAAATCAGCTAACAATTTATCGCGTATTTGTTATACTAATTTTATAATCATTAATCAGCGCTTAAATCATGATAGGTTCAGGCATTAATTACTTTCCCACAAGTAAACCTTTTTTGCCGTAAACCGGTGTAGCCATTACATAAACAGAATCGTTAAATTTGGGCGGATTATCGTTTTCATCTAGCACAGCACAATTTGATTTCCGTGCCCGCTTTTTGTTTGTGGCCTCGGCAAAGCTGACAGCTTCCATAATAAGCGTTATCGTTTTCGCCTGCTCCCGATCGAGCGAAACATTTGTGGTCGTCATAGTCCCTGTCAACGAAACGACGACTATCCAGAGATTTTCAATCATCATTTCATACCGGATATTTTCCCCCAAAAGAGAATCAGGCAATGAAAGACCACATTTCGTAAAACTGATTTCAGTATGTAATTACCCATCGTTGATTTATTCCGCACAGTGTGAGCGGGATGTGCTACTACAAAATTTACCTGACAACAGTATACATTCAAGTTTCACATAAAAAAGCTCAACAAAATATTGAAAGTCTAGCATATACATATAAAATTCAAACTAAAGAACAAAGTGCTAACAGGGCATCAAATCAACAATTTGCTCGCATTATTCGAGAATCTCACTGAATTTTTCGATATCAATGCTGACAATTCCCAACTTGTACTTGTACCAGGTTTTATCAATAAAATAAACCTCATTTTTGTGAAGAGAAACCCGTTCCTGTTTAGAGTAGTCTCGTTTTCCTTTCTCCAAAATGCCGAACGAATCGGTGGTGATCATCTGTGTAATGCGATCGATTTGACCATCATGATACAGGGTACGTTTTCCATCCAGGAAGCACATGTGCCGTACGGAACTCACGATTGAATGAGCCTAAATGGCAATTACAGTTACTACGCTTAATTACTTATTAAGTTTGAAGACTAAATACTTACGAACTGTTTTTCGAGCCGCATGAATGGGAGTCGACTGCCCTCGGACGGCGTTGGAGAACTTTGTCCAGCGCTGCTTGCCTTCAAATAACATTTCTTGTGATCTCAAGATCAAACTTAAGCAGTCTGAATTTTAACTACTTTATAAAATCTAGAGTTGAATGTGAAACAATGGTTTAATGCGTACCTCTATCGCCCGAAGTTTTGCAAGCATTTCCTCTTTCTCTTTTCGTAGGTTCACCAATTCTTCCGATATGGTGACAAGAGCGGTCTACAAAAACAGTTTGTAGCTCGAGTAACGCTTGACATCTGGCGTTTTGCATTAAAGCTGCCTGTGATCTCAAGATTAGATGTCGCATTTAAAATTACCTTCTCCTTCTGTAGGTTTGAAAGCGCTTCATCTCTTGCCTCACGCATTTTCTTCAGTTCTTTAGTGAGGTTGTTAGCGGACATCTACAAACACACGCATATACACCAGCTCCAGAACAAAAAGGTGCTTTAGCTTATTGCGTACATGTTCTTTCTCAAAACTGGACAGCGCTTCCTCCTTCTCTTTACGGACAGTTTCCAGTTCTTTAGCTAAGTCGCTCTGCAGATAGACATGTTGACGTTACGTTGCAAAGTAAATATTATTATTTTATGGATCAAATGTGATCTCAAGATCAATTGTGCCAAGCTTGAAACTTCAGAGGACTTACTGGTCGAGAATCCACAGTGTCAGTCTTGGGTGGAGAAATCTTTGCGACGACGTCAACCGGCGCAGCTGATCCATCGGCACTAGCAGTTTTGACTTTCTTGGCTCGGGACGAGGGAGACGAGACCGGCCGTTTGGTTCCAGCGGTAGTTGATGTCGTCGCCTTTGTAGCGGTAGCTTTTGCTTTGGCTGAACACGCAATATAGTACTTAAGCATGTACAGCGCAACAAAATTCAGAAATTCATACCTGCTTGTTTTAACGCCGTTACTGGGGCATAACTCCTTTGAGCGATTGCTTCTTTCAAAACTTTTTTAATGACTTCGTCGGTTTTCAAAACGGTCTTGATATCTTTAAAAACAATTCCACGGTGCTTAGCTTCACGTACTTTTCCCTCGACCTTAACTTTTTCGCTCTTGTCTGTTTCAAAAGGAACGTCAGCAAAACCGTCTCCGCTTTCCACGGCAGTCATGAATTCTTCCACAACGGCCCACGTATCAGCTGGAAGTCTGGCACATTCCAAGAAATACCGATGCGATGCACTCACATTCTGCAAAAGGATGAAACCCGGGCGATTATACAGTTTGATCCCAGGATCAGATATGCAACTATGGTAAATTTTGATAAATAAATACTCGTTAACGGCGTTTTGATCCCAAGATCAAACGGAAAATCTCTTTCTCACCTGAATCGACGTAACGGCAGCAATTTTTCGATTGCAGTTAATGACGACCGATTTATCATTATTCACTTCTACAGATTCATCGCCAATATCTTCCTGGTGCATAAAACAAATATCCCGAAACAAGCGGCAGAGGTCCCATATAGTCTCTTGGCGCTGGTTATTGACAGATTCTGCCTTTTGCCGCGCTAGACGCATGCCGGCATATTTTGACAAAGGCTTGTACACTTTCACAAGTACTTCGCTTTGTTCTGACCACGTCGAATCCTTTTCTTCAGCAAGTTCTTTCAAGGCGCGCAAACGGTGGTTACCTATAACAATTGTTGAATTCTGATTTTATTATTGCCAGGGCTGACACAAACATTACCGTCAATAATATACACGGGAATGCGATTCTCTTTGACTGCTTGTATAATGTCCTTGTCCAAAGTTCCATCGGGCTGCGCGTCAATGATTCCCGTTAAAAAGATGGACTGCGAAGACGGAGCTTTATCGCGAAAAGTTTCCTTGAAAGATTCCAAGTGCAGTGGATTTATAATCCGAATTCGGTGCTTTCCCTTAACAGCGTTGAAGAGATTATGCAGCGGCAACGAAGCTTCTCTTACTACAAAACAGGTGGAATCAGACTAGCAATGTGATCTTGAGATCAAACAACCAGTATTTCACATAATCATTAGCTTGATGCGCAACATACTCAGAACTTCTTCGCTTTCCAGGGCAAGCTTCTCGTGGATTCCGCCTGATGACTCATCTCCTGAAGTTCCAACCGCTCCACTAGACTGCAAAGAACAACTTGCGCTTCGAAAGCTGGATAACGAAGAATTTGCAACTGTTTCTTACCTGATCAGATGATAGCGCCATTATGATACAGGGTTAGCGGTTCTCCAGGCTCTTTTAGCAGATAAAATTCTTCACGTCTTTAAAGGGCCAACGCTAGGCGTGCTGTCGACCACGCTTCAGAACACCTTGCCCGTGATATGTCAACACCTTCTCAAAAAAATTGTCTTAGATAGCCAGTTTGCACGAGTTTTCAGCTGTGTGTGTGCGCATAGAATCCAGAAACGTAATGCACAAACCTGTTCGTTAATCCGTCTGGACAGAGCTGGGGACAGCCTGACGAGTTGGTGGAACCGCTGCTCGTCACCGCAGATCTCCGCAGTCTTGACGATCCTAGCTTTCAGACACTGCAATCATGGGGCATTATTTAGTATGAGGGAAGGAATGAGCTCGCCCGTAGCGAAGCATGGAAGCATGGTAGTGGAAAGAACTTTGAATGCTCAGGCTCGTGAATCGGCAGAGAAATAATGCACTGTCACGAAAAGATCAAAGGAGACCTACCAAGGCTCACGATAATATACGGACAACACCTGCGGCACGACGCATCCAGCTCAGAAAAGAACGTTTGAAAGATGAATTTCAAATTTCACAAGAGTATTTGAATAATTCGCTAAAAATTCTTTGAAATTAAAAACTATAATTAATGCAGAAAGCATGAAAGTGAGCGAATACGATTAGAGTTGAAACACAATGCAGGGTACGGCGGCGCTGCTGTTGCTAATTTGCAACTTGGACGCTGCTTGGTGACTGACAGCAATTCCAACCCCATTAACTTAGCAGCACCAATGGAAACAAGCCTGCTGCTAATTTCGCTGTGCTGCTAATGAGACCGCTACACCTGGTTTCACCTAACAGCGACTGAATAATCGGGGAAATGAAGCATGAATCCTTAACCATGCTGTTCTAAGCTAGATTCGAGATTCATCTTGTGCGCGAAGGCTCTTTCACGTGTTAGGTCCAAGCAGACTTACTGCACATTCCGACACGCACGAAAGGCGGACTCGCAACTTCGTGCCGGGAGAGAGGAAACAACGAAGCTGCCTTAACAAAAATGTTAAATTTCTACTCACATTTTTCCACAGTGAGACCTTTCTGAGCTGGGCAGGTGTGGATGCCAAGTACGCAGAAGGCCAGCACAACCACGACAGCAACCACGAGAAGAAATACAATTGCGCCCATTATCGAAGATTAGTCAGGATGAAATGACACAAGAGTAACAAAATAAACACGAGTACCTGATAGTAGAAAATGCTAACAAGTTTTATCAGGCACAAAACGAATCAGGCACAAGAAAACAGGCGCAAAATTTATCAGGCACAACGAAAATTACCAGGCACCAGGCACGACAATGCACAAGTTCAATCAGGCACAAGCCGCATAAGTTCAATTCGTGATGCGCAGGCGGAGTGGCAGCCGCCACAGATGTTGCTTCGCGCGTCACTAACTACAGGAATTTTGCATTGCGCCAAAAGGGGAACTGCGCCTACGCAACGTAACACGCGAAGATGGTTGCACTTTAGGCGTCCTGTTATTTTAATATATGCTGCAGCCATCGGCATCGCCACAGAATTTCTTGCTAGATTTACAAGGCAGCCAGCTAAGAGATGCCCAGAAGTCAGCGTAAGTCTGTAGTCCCGTAACTGATTAAAAAGTGTAATATGTTCTGTAAATACCGGGTGGCCGAACAAAATGTCACCTAGGTTTACTAAGGTGCCCTGGGCCTATCCAGTGCTTGATTGACATGATGTTAGTTTTATTGGAAAGAGAAATTTTTATGACACAAAAACGTTAAGCCAAACCAACAGGATAAAAGGGTTTCCTTTTTCCCGGCAGTACTGTATTTTAAAAAAATGGGTAGAGCTGAATAATGTCCTGGAAATACAAATTCAAATTTTCCTATTTTCAAATTAAAATTGCAGATACTCAACCACGTGCAATAATGTCTGTGACGTTACTGTTTCGCAAAGAGGGATTGTTACTGATTTGTTTATTGTAAAGAACAACGACATTTTAGTGACCCTGCCTGGCCAAGGAGCGAAAGATTTGAAACTCCCCACATTTGATCCTCATGAAACGGGTATCAGATTTTTCGAAAAGAATTTCATACCATCGCTTCAATAGAAGTCCTGGTTCAAACATGTTTTTGAAAGAGTAACCACCCACCTACAATTGCCAGTTAAAGCGGCTTTTTTCGGTGCACCCTGTCATGAACAAAAAAATTGTAACCAATATATTCAGAAAAACAGATGAAAAAACTCTTGATTTTTTCGAAAAGTTGAAAAGGTTGCATAGCGCATAGTCCATCCAGCGCTTGCACCATGCCAACAATTTTTTCCCAATTGAAACACAAAGACCTTCCTTAGATAAAACGATTTAAAAAATTTAAATATTGCGGAGAGACAAAAAGTGAGACGAAAATTTTAACTTTGCGAGCTGGGACACTAACATTTTCGACACCAATGTACTTGGCGCCATTGTTGACGAGAAGCCTCAACTACACTGTATTCCAAAAATTATTTTATTGCTTCTTGTAGCTCATGAAATTGTCTATCGAGCAAGTCCATGCAGCCTGGATTACGTCAAGGAGTTCGCGCGGGCCAAAATAAAAGCGCTTGGTGACATTTTGTTCGGCCACCCGGTAGTGTACCCTACAACAGGAGTATCTCTTATATTTTGCGCACGTAGCTTTAGCTGCTCAGGTTTTGAGTGATTTGGGCTGCCGTGACGAAATTAGTTGCATTTTGCATTCGCAATAACCTTTTCGTTCATTTCCTGCCGGTAATTTTTTGCGCATCTCATTTTTTCGTAGCAGCTTTAAGCGTACGGCAACAGTAAATGGCATCGTACGGCAACAGTAAATGTTAACAAGGAAATTCACGCTCCTTCGGTCACGTAGCGGCCTCGCGAAGTAATTAACAGCCATAACAGTGCTATGCAAACAGAGCAAACAATCACCTAATCAATTTCTTATATTCGCCATCCCAGTTTTTGGATTTTTACAGCGGATTAAAACCTTGCTGCCCATAGGTTTGAAAATTAAGGTCTGGTCTGGTCTGGTTACACGAGTAGCGTCCTGGATTGCACAGATAACTGGTGGTTGCTGCACCGTAGGCTCTGCATTCTTCCATTCTTCCCACGTTAAGGTATCCGTGCGAAACGGGTAGACTAGTACTAGTGCGGACGGTGCTGGGGTTCGCCGGCGAAGCAGTACTGGCTTCTAGCGGTTTGACGTCGCAATCGGTTTCCGGTTCGTCACGGGCTATTTTGAAAAAAAAGGTTTGCTTGCAATGAAGCCTGGACGTTCTACCGTATAGTGCAAACTACAAACTACGTGCACTTAATTTCTACCGATAATCAGCCGAAATTTAATTAAAAACGTTTATTTGAAAGGAAACAATCGTTTCCGAGTTGTTAAGCAGGCTGACACGCAGGCATAATTATGCATTTTCAATAAAAGTTCTATTGCAACCATGTGGTGTCACATAATTAAATCAAACACAATCTTCAAAACCCGCTAAAACCGCAAAAGCTGGGCGGGCAAAATTGAAGGTCAATATGATCTCAGTTGTTGATTATTTTGCGTTTAAGGAATAAGTAAAGACCATCTGATCACCCGCCCGGAATTTTTTCCCGCCCGCATAGTACTTTCGATTAATTTTTATCTATCGCTTACAATAATTTTTTATATACATCGTGTTTGTATAATACTGAAAATGCGCCACTTTCAGACGCACAAAGTTTGTTTACAAGATTATTTAGAATAAAACTGAATCATGAAATTCGTTAATTATGACAACTGAGGAAAATAAAAAATAACTGGGAGCGTTCCCGACCATAATAGAGCCAGATCAACGTGGTTTTGCTATCCTTAGAATCCTTGAAAAATCAGTAATCGTATTCAAAAATAAAAATACCCCATACGCTATTTTAATCAAGATGAATTCAAAGACTGCTGCGCATCACTCATCGTGAACGCTGTGTAGCGCTTCACGGTCTGAGTGGTGCATATGGACGTCTATACGGTGTATCAACATCATGTTCGCATTAATTCCTCTGAGATCTGTATAGATTCCTATTCTTTGATATGGGGTATTTGGATTTTCGAAAATAATTACCGATATGCTAAGGATTCTATCATCTGCTTTTCCATGTAGCGGGTAACAATTATCTTTAGACGACAACAGCACGAACACGGGAGCGAGTACGGGTACTGGAAAGTGACGACCCTGTTTATTATTTCAGCGATAAATCTTCGAAGCCGTTAACGTTACCTGTGGACCTTGCGGCAGAGGAGACCGGTACACCGGGCAGTTCGCCCTTAGATCATTTCCCTGCACCAACTCAAGCGGAGGTCTGCACAGAGCCATGCTATCATTCGCACGGGAACGATATGGCCAAACAGGAGATCCCGGGAGAGAAGTTAATGGACTTAGGCGCGCACGTATCTATTGTGTGCGTACCCAAGGCTCTGACGCCACAACCCACATCCTCCTGCTTGTGCAAGAGACTGCGCTACTGCGTGTTTGAGGGAGTGAACAGTGTGTGGTTATTCTTGCTGGCCATCCACTGCCCGCTGATCGGCTTACTGCTGCCGTATTCCCTGGTGGGATTTTAAAAACTCCTTCGGAATTCGGATTATCCGCTTGCGGCCTTAAGTACATACACCACGTGCGTGACTACGGAATCCGACCGTACACCACTTTCATGCTGTGCGATGATCTGTTTGTCACTTGCGGAAGGGCAGGTATACCCGGCTTTTTTCGCTGCACCTTTCACGTCCGACAACCGGTTCTTTTATAGTGATAGCCTGTGCACCTGTGCTACATTGTGTGCAAGATTGGGACATGTGTAAATAACGATAATTCATCTATCAACACAGAATCTCATCCCGCCTTTGTGTCTTCGTTTCTTCTTCATTTGTATAAGAAGTAACTGCTGGTACGCGCATCTTAAATTACCTATTAATTTCATGATTAGTTTTATAACTCATTCGTGTCAAATGCAGTGTTTAATGCAAGTTCAACTGGCTGTTAAGAATTTTTGAAGACCAGATAATTGTCTTGTACTACAGCTATCTGGTCTGGTAAACGATATTGTTTGCTGACGATTATTCGGCTCGATAAACTAGTCAAAACAATGAGAAATCAAAATGTCACACAATGCAAAGGTACACCAGCTTAGGTGCTAATATGCACTTGAATACCGGCAGCCGTTGCTGCTGTCGAAAGTTGTAATTATCCTATATTTTTCCTACGTGCAGATACACCACATTTATACGATGCACATGCTTTTTCGTATTTCTACTCCAGTTAATAGCATTAACCCATTAAATACATCGTTCAGCGAACTCACCGTCGTCCAATACCGTTCAGTAATCCACTACCTATATCGTCCAAATCCATTCAACGTACACTTAGTTTCCCGAAATCCAGTGGTGTAATACAGATATCTATACAACGAAGCACACGATAACTATGTTGTGTATTTGTATTTCGTACGTAGAATACCTCGTAGCGGTCGGTTTATGCTTGTTTCCGTATAACGTAGCTGGGCATTTGCTGGAAACGTTCACTTATCATGCAGTATACGGCGTAACGAGATTTCGACATTACGCAAAGAGACATGCCTCGAAATACTCTAAAATAATGTGGTTGTTATTATTTTTGTTGGTAATTATTGTTACAAGAGTTTATTTCACGATTAATAGAACACAAATACGATTCAACTAGGAAGCATGACAAATTACCATGCACTCCAAATCTGTCAATTACCCTGCAGTTTTGGTAATTTTGAAATTATTAGAATTACGCGCACGGAAAGTTTGGAATTATTGGAATCATCGTGCAAAAACACCTTCCAGCTGCTGATTGTCACTGATGAGGAAAACCTCTGTTATGCCATTTTCAATTACAAGGAAATTTCCTGGATAAATTACACAGCAGTTTCTGATCATGCGAGATCTGATCATCAAGCGCGGGTAAATATTTCATGTGTTCAGCAAAAACTTCCAGATGCACCGCATACTGGAATACTGTTGTTCACCAAAACGTTTGGCTGCCAAAACAACGAAATCATCCATCTCCATCATTTACCGACCTGCAGTTTTGCGTTTTGATTCCACACGTCCTAAGGTCACTTTGGTGGAGACTCGAGATTATGAACTCGTAGTTCTATTATCGTTCTCAAGACGATTTTGGTATCTGCAATTGAAATTTGCCGCCAAACTGGTTGAGCAAAAGTCAAAGCTATTAATCGGCAAAAATTTTTGTGCTGGGAAAACATGAATCGCTCAAAAAGCCCACTTAATGTCTCGGTCGTTCAAACGTTTTGGCGACCTGCAGTATGCCTCATCTTTTAAATTAGTATTTCATTCCCTTTTCGAAGGTTTGATTTAGGTTTTATGTAGGTCGGGTTTAGCGGCGGTTATGGCGCTGGATTTTGGGAGTTCGCTCCATTCTCACACAACCGTACGATTGATGCACTGTCTAACGTCGATTACACCGGTCGGTATATCTTCCGCATTGACAAAGAAATTCAGCCCGCTGGATGCGCTGGAATAGCTCCTAGTAAGTTGCCCTTATTTTTTCTCGGGCGGTTAGCTGGTCTGCAATATTCTACTCACTTTTTTACAGACGGTAGAGCATACCATGCACCCGGTAGCGGGGACATGCTGGGCGGGGAGATATCAACGTCACCGGTCCGTGTTTTTAACCGATCAGTCAGATTCGGTGTAAATTCGGGCAGGCCGAATCACCCGGCTTCTGCGTAAATCGCGTAAAAGCCAGGTGCAGAATTCTAGTGATGTTCAGACCGGTTGGCTCTAATTCGCATAGTACGTCCAAGTTAAGGCATTAGTGAAGCTGTAGACCACCACTCGAGTGGTTCCCTTGGTTCTGAACCAATTGGGCCAATAGAGAAACGCTGACGTTAAATAGATCCACGTGACCCAAAGAACCACACTGAACCGCCGTAGAACCACAACTGTACCCCACAACTGAACCACGTATGTTGTAACTCGCCAACGCACTGCCGCATTACCGCTCTCCTGCTGCGAACCAGTGAACCACTAATGCCTTACTTGGACACTTTCTCAAAGGTTTATACACTAAGAACCACTTCACCATATGCTATTAAAACCAGGGCGCTACCCACTGGAAACCGAGATACGGCTGAAAAAGGCGCCGATGGGGAATCGAACCCCGGCTACGTCGTTAGATCCGCGTAGGCAGTACCACTGCACCACGGCGCAATACGTTGAAATCCTTTGAAAGACTTTATCGCTGTACGTGAGCCGCTTCTCCGCTCACACTATGCTTTTTCTGCAGGTCAAATACCAAATACTTCAAACACCGAACCGAATATCCGTCAGTAGTGCAAAAATGTAACGGAAGGCTATGTTGTGAAGACTCAACAGCCGGTGGAAAACCGGCTTCCAAATTTTGACAAGCCAGCACATCCGCCATGGAACAGCACGTTACGAATGTAATACTTAACTATCCCTGATATATATTATTTGTTCGTCGTTTTCAGCCCCAATTAAAACCATTACGACACCTTACACTAACCCGCACATTAATATTGAGTGGATATAAATTCAGTTTTGCTAATGCGGACTCATTTTTTCGCTGCACAAGCTCGCCGGGCTAAAGAAAAAGAGACTCGCGTTGAATAAAATATACTCTGGTCTTCGATTAAAGAATGCGAGTATTTAAAATCATTTCTAAAAAAAAATTAAGAGCAGCTCGTCATCGTAAATGCCCGCATTTCGTTTGGCTACATCAGTATTTAACTGTGTATGAGCAGACGAACTCTGTCCGAGCAAGTAGTGTCCAATTGTCCATCGTGCTAAGCACTAACATCGCGCTCAGTATGCATTACCTCTACCATTACTTTACGTGATGAAACTCCGGACCGGCTTTCATAGTGTACAGATACATCGGTTGAGCTGTATGACAACAGTAAAAAAGGTAATTTTTTAATGTATTAAGTACCACCACAGTGGGTGATTGCATTTGGTGACGCATGAATACATGTCATCGCGCAAGTTGCAAGACTGTACCAAGACCTACAATCCAGTGCTGGCGTCTGCTTTAATAATTATCAGGTGCTGACAAATCACGGGCTTTACTGTAAACTCATTTTGGATGGAAGCACCGGCACTTATACAACGCGAGCACCTTGTAAACAACGTTGCCATGAAATCGGTGTCTTCCTCCTCTTAACTGTAATCACAGAACTTTGGAAATTGATCGCTCCGATTCGCTCGTCCAAGGACAATACGACTGTACATACATGAGTCATCTGTATCGCAGTGATATTATTATACAGTATTGGCGGAAACACAGCCGGCAACTTCGCGTCTGCAGCAGCAGTATACTGCATAAAAATATGATCGGCCAGTCGATTGCTTCTTGGATCGATGATATCGTCAGCCTAACCTCTTACTCAGAGTGCCGGAACAGCCAATCGAGAGCGCAGGAACCCGCCACTACTCTAGATTAGACCCTGCAGTTTTTCACCTTAGTCCGTGAATTTTTTTGCTTGGACTGCACTAACAATTCCTGTTTTAATTTCCTCACGAATTGTTGCGATCATGGTGAAGTTCTACAAGACCATCCAACGTTTCCTCCGCCGAGATCTGGACTGGGCATATCAGGAAACCCTGATGGAATCATGTTTTGTCATCTTCTTTGCTTACTACATGGCATGTCTCAGCTCTGGTTTCCGGATCTTCCCGGAACGGCAGTCCAGCTGCATGGAAGTGAGCGAGTCCACCACACTGAACACAACGTCTCTGCCAGGCGGCGCAGTAAGTAAATTAGGACCATGACTTGTACTCGTATATTATAATAATAGCATCTGATTTGGCCACTTTGACATACGTTATGTCCAGCCGTGTTTTCGTTGTACGTAATAGGGATTGTTATAAGACTAAGTAGTAATTAGTATTCCTTATAAATGTTCTTTTGTTGCACACCTAAGAATAGCGAAGGCGTCGAAAGGAAATTATTGCTTGTATCGTTGTTGTTTGATATTTACCGCACCAGTTCTTTTTAAATTTCGAAATACAGTATATCGTACGGTATGTAGGTACATAGCGAGCTTCGCTCATCGAACATGATCAAATGAATAACTTGTCCCAATTATCACGAGACGAGACTGCATGCACAACACAGATTTTGTTGAGATATGATTTGCTTTGAAAATTTGGAATACCGTAATAAAACATTCTAATCCAGGAAGTGAAATTCTTTCAGAATTCAAAAGCCCATAATTTAAAAAAAATCAAGTGACGGTCCCATAAATTTGACAAGCCAGCAAAAATTATATATGCTACAATACATACGGGACACATGGCAACCATGCAAATGTCTAATTTTAATTACGTTCAAGATCGTATTTTTTTAATTAACATTAATAACGTGCATATTAATGTTATGAATAATATTGATAATAAATTATGCATAAACAGGTTAATATAAGGCATTGCACTGTGGTGTGGGTGATAAGTGTTTTCTAATAAGAACGTTTTCCTAGGCGGTCAACGTATCCTACGGGGATCGGCTTAACTCGACCGAAATACAGTTATCTAACCTTTCCCGGAAGCCGGACAAGTTGGTGCACATGATTCCTGTACAACCGGCAGCAACGCCACTGGGCTTTATCGCCGCCTGTGTCACTTCCGGCCTGGCAACCATCTTGGCAGTTTCCCTGGCTTGTTCGCTAATGGTCAACCGGCAGTGGCGCTACTCTATCGGGCAGCTCCATATGCCATACTGCCGCAAAATCACGGTATTCTTCGGTTACGGGAATAAGGCCGAGGGCGTGGCGGATTTCCTGGACGCCAGGTATCATCCTCTGCGAGTTGCACTGAATGCGGTGGTACTGGTGGTCATGTGGTTCTGTTTGGTAATGTTGTGCTACTTCATGGCGATGATGCCTGTACTGCTGTCCGAGTTGCTTTTGACCCAGCTGATCATCAGTGTGTTCGGCCCAGAAAGCGAATTTCCGTACCGTATCCTTGTCGCTTGCTTTCTATGCGTCCATTCGACTGGCAGAATTTGGGGATTATGGACACAAAAAGCATATTTTTCGTGCATTAATGACGACATCAGGTGAAGTATGCGGTAGTGAAAAAAATATTGTTATAATTTTTTGTCAGTTATCTTAAGTCGCTAACTAATCACTATTAGGAAATACATAATCACATTTACTGAAGGAAGGTTTTAAAGACCGTGCCAGATCAGTTAGGTTAATGAGCCTATGTTACAGCGAGGTCTACGGTTGGAAGATTTTCCGCGCCGAACGCATGAAGGAGCCGAAATTCCCTCCACTACCGTCGTCGTTCCAGAAGAAGTCCCGCGGTCCATATTTGCATAGCGGACCGAATATCATCAAGCAGATGCAGGTGGGAGCAGCTTCTTTCCTTTTTATCATCGTTACAATGAAGGCGTGGCCAATATGCGCTAAGTTCCTCCATGTGGGCCATTGGAAAAGCGTATCAAATTTGGAAGATTGGGCTAATTACTTTATTGTTACGGAGAGACCAACTGCCGATTGCTGTGGGTGTGATTGTGAACTCCCAACAGTAAGAAAAAGCAAGAGCATTGCAGTTTTGTGAATTATGTATTACGATAAAAGTTAAAAGTATGAAAATTAAAAAGATTTCAAACCAGAAAATTCCTTTAGCTACCCTAGAAATTAAAGGAAGCTGCGCTGTAAAATAAATTACTATAAAATACGTAAAGGTTTACACCAAACTCAGAAAAACCTAAAGAAGAAAAATTCTATATTACATAACGCACTCTATAAACGAAAGGAAATCTGGAAACTTTCAGACCCGTAAAAGAATTCGTAGATCTTTACAAGTAAAGGAAAACAGCAGCCAAAAAGATGCGATTAACGGTTAATTTGATGTTTTAGAGATATAAACCGGGAGCCGCTATGCTGTCGTACTGGGCATGCCAAGTATCCGAGCAATTCGTTTCCGAGAATGATACGAGCTCCATTTCTTCAGCGAGGACTTTGTTGGCTACCGCTTACACAGTTGGATGGCCGTTGGTCTGGAGCGGAACATTACTGCTCCTTAGTGGTTTACCTTGCGCTCTCGTGTGCACTTGCGGTGGATTGATTGCTATCATGATACTGGATGCGAACCTCTTTGAAGGCTGGAAAAAGACTTTTAACCCGACTGTCAGCCGATCAAATAGGAATGCGGAACAAGATGCGGAAGAAGCAGGGTATAGTATACATTTCGCATTGGTTTTTTTGCCAGATATTTTTAAATTTGTGAATTTACGAGTATACAATTTTAGTACTACTCTGTACTCTAGGATAACATGACCAAAACGATACTGTTTTTACTTGTAGTCGAACTGCTGACCTAGTGCTTTAAGGGATCTTTTAGCTGTGTAGGTTGAAACGAGATTTAAGGTTTCCAAAAAACAGCATAATTTCACATGTACCAGATGCAGAAATCCGTATGTTAGGCGTTAGGATCGCTGCGTACGTACGTAAGAAATCATAATAACCGCAAGTAAAGTTAAACATTCGTAGGTTGAACACTGCTTGACCAGTTTCTGAATGAAACTGCACAGTAATTTTGCGCTCATGGCAAACTGGCAGAACAGTAAGCATAGAAAGCTTCTCATGATTTTCGATCAATAACGTGAAATTTCGGTGTGACTCCTCAATATAAAATAACTTCAACATAATGAAATTTACATGAGATGATGAGAATAACATGATTCGTTTGTCTGCTTATAATTTCAGAGATGACGCACATCCACAGCCGACGAATACATTCAATATGACGAAGTTCTATGCGTTCTGTGGGGGCGTCTTTCCAGAAGCCATGAAATGGACGGTGACCCAGCTAAAGGATCTGAACCAGGAGCGTTCAACCATGTCGGAAGAAGCATATTTCTCGGTGATGGATAGCATATTTCTTGGAGCACTAGCGATCAGCCGCGAATTGCACTTTTGCGTGTGTGCATCGTGGGGCGAATGCGTGCTGTACCCGCTAATTGCCCTTAGTCCCTACTTGTGGTGCTCGTATCTGCCGACAACGCTGGTGGAAGTTTTCTTGCCGGAACACCTCCAACTGCCCGGCTTGCTGTTGCTGCTAACCGGCATCTTGTTGTGGGCATATCGTTTACTGGTGCAGGCGATCCGAGCGCCGCACTCTTGCCGCAATTGCATGCCAGCCGAAAGCCAGGACCTTGAGACAGAGGAGACAAATTGAAAGGGCGACCTTTGGAGTTTGAGCTATTCGTGGCACCGTCAGCAGCCGACGCGAGAGCATTTACTCCATTCTGAAAAAGGATTACATGCGTGTCAGCGGCTACGATTTTCAAGTCGAAGTTCTTGCTATTTTAATTGAAATTGCACCCCAACGAGATTTTTATCTATTGCTTTTAACTCTTATGAGCAGTGCAGCTGGTTTGAGTGACCGCTTTCTGTTTGGCGATTGTTTTTGTTTCAATAGTAACTCTGTCGTTCATAGGAGTACCTATGGAGGACGGAACTGGCCGGAAATGGCAATTCTATCTGATCTAAATCAACTCTTTTTCCGAGAATGTTATTTTCGTCCTAATATTTTGTTAATTCATGTGCAATAGCCGTGCTTGTTTAAGATTGTTTAATTGTGCTTCGAACTGCGTTATTTATTATTATCCTCGAGTTATTTGCTTCGGTATCCTTGAATTAGCTTGCCTATCGATTGTTAATTCAGAATGTTATTAGTTTTCAAGTTTTCCGAATATGTGCGGATCGAATGTACAGTAATTTTCCGAAATTAAAAACACAGTTTTAATCTCTGGTTTGCGCTTGGCATATCAACAAAGCCTTTGTGGCTGATTTTTACAAAGAAGCTATTTTTAAGACGTAAATCGAAAAGGCTGCGGTTCAAAAAATTGTTTACAGCTTTCTTGTACGGAGGTATTTCCCACTTCCAGAAATGGATAACGGTATATTGCATTTTTATGACGACTGTTTGTTGACGTAACTTGTAAGCCGCCAACGTAAATCCAGTGCCGGTTAGCCGCATCGCCTACGATCACGTTGGTCTCATAATATGATAGAAGGATAAGTAATTTCTAAATGAGATTTGATGATTTAATTTGCGACCACACATGCATTACATGCAGTCTGGAATTTACTGCAATCTGCATCCTGGATCGGAAAACGTTAAAAAAGACTTTGTCAATGTGCAAGCAATGTACTGGTCTAACAGCGGTAGTAGGACTGAGAGTCTGAGATGGATAAGGTGTGTGAACTACAGCCGTTGATCTTTGTAGCTACAGATCGAGCGCCATTTTTGCTCCACACCAACATCGAATCACGGAGAGCTTGTGCGACCCCCGATGCGGCTTTACTATGCGGTGGGGCATCGCGCGGCTCGCTATTTTGTCCATGGTATACGACCACACGTCAGCGAAAGTCAACTGTAATATTCAAAAAGAAAATCGGCATATTATTTGTATGTACAAGATCCGTCTGGTGTCTGCATGGTTGGCCGGAAACCGGGTTGCCTATGTAAGGCGCTTCACACCCGCCTTGCGCTGTCTGTCATTACAATATGCCAACAAAAAAGATTCTTTCTGTTGGGCGGCGTTTTCTGCACGGCGAGTAACCTCACCCTGGATTTTTACAATAAAACTTCAAACTCCCCCTGTACACACTGGTTGGTGTTGTTTAGGTGAGATCTCGCATGTACAAATGACTTCCTCTTTGATAAGTAACACACGCTCGGCATCCCCGGCTGAATTAGCGCCGGTACGGGATCGAATGTTACTTCGCAGCGTCTTTTGCCTTTCTAAGAGTTCGGAATTCGAGCTGCATGATTAAATATTTTTTCGGCTTTTTCGTGGAAATGTGCACTGTGTTTTCTGCTCCGTTTTTATTTCAGATGTTTGAAGCGCTAACAGCAATCGAAGTTTATCATGTAGTCCTGCTACGCTTCACTCGCGCAGTTCCGCGGTAAACTAGTGCGCTTTCTTATTAAATTAATTTATTTTGCGTCCTGATTGCGCTATTTTACTTTCCGCCCCGATTGTGGAGGCGCAAAGTGATTTCGTAAATTAAATGGAAGCCTCTGTTGCAGGTACGATAAGACAACCTTCCATAAGAAAATATTTCATTGTCATTTTGGATAACGATACTAACAACTTTGCGTCGAGCGGACAAAAACTGTGCCAAGAAAATGTTACAGGGTTCGGCCAAATGCGACACTCATTTAAACTGCTTTTCAGTTTTTCTTCACAAGTATTTCTTGCAAGTCCACGATCCTTATTGTGCTGCTAATTTTCGGAGACACCTACAGATCACTACAGCGGCGGGCAATGTATGTCTAATATAGTGTTCTGTACATACAGTAGTACAAACTACTAACTCCTGCATCGCTATAAAACTGCTTGGCAGAAATGTGAAACCTTTGATACCGCAGTGTTCGAAATTACGCTTTCTAATGCCGGGGCTGATGATGAGCGTGCAACATTGCAAGGTGCAAAATACAACCCGTTACGCTGGTTCGATATGTCCGTCGGCTTTAGCAGTTACGGATCAACTGTTGATTGTCGATTAGATCATGGAACCTACTATAACATCATGGAACCTACTCTTTCTCGATGGATGCACCGGAAGGCGGAAACCACGAAAAATTGTTGCAATAAGCTTCCTTCTCCTGACTGCACAATCACAAAATACATATACGCAATCGATCGCAAATTACCTTGGCCGTCAGTATTACGGTTAAGTTATGTATATCATACATACTGTGTAATCCGCAACCTACTCTGTAATTAGACAGTACTGTACAATGTGACCGGCAACGGCAACAGCAGCAAAACTTCCCATCAGTCGACTAGTTTTAGATCGATGGCGTTGGCGTTGTTTCGATAGATTAGCGCAGCTGTATGATATACAAGTAATGCGGGAACCTACTCCTGATTAGATCCTTCCGTTTTCATCTAATTTATCTTTTTATACTACGCTAATGTTTATTATTTGAATCGTCTAAAACTGTCACAATCATGGTGAAGTTCACCAGGACCATCCAAGATCTCCTTGGCCGAGATCTGGACTTGGCATATCAGGAAACCCTGGTCGAGTCCTCCTTTGTCATCTTCGTTGCTTACTACATTTCCTTGAGTTTCGGCTTTCGTGTCTTCCCAGAATCACAGAGCGGTCGCAAGGATCTCACTATAAGCAGTATCACGCCTTTGGATACAACAACGTCACAGCAGTCTGGCTTTGTGAGTAATTTCTTTATAAAGTAACTGTATACAGTAGTACAGTATATCTAATTCGATTTCTGGGCTCATTTACGATTGAGCAGTGTTTGCGTTTCTGTCAAGTATGGTTTTCGAAAAACAACATTTTCGTGGTAAAATTAAGTTTGGCACGCCACACAAAAATTTTGAGAATATTAATCAGCTTACTATTATAAAATTACAGTACTGCACATAGAGTGCATGTTAAATTTAACGCACCGGTTTTTGTTATTTGGTTCATTTGAGATTTTGCTAAGAAAATCCGGATTTGTCGATTAAATTTTTTCAAAGTAGAATTATTTTCTTCAAAATTAATGAGGCAAGATTTGTAGCGGGGATCACGCACTCTAGCTCAAGTGTCCGATTAAATCGATAAGCGATAGAAGAGGGCAGGATGTTTAAAGGGCATGCCGATTTAACCACATCGCCATCTTTGATTAGGTTCAGCGCCAAGTTTTTTAAGAATTTCTTCGGTAAAAAGCGGGCTGTTTAACACCGCACCGTACCGTGAATTTATGTTCTCTGTCCTCTGATACTTTGCTTTCCCAGACGCTGAGTGAATCCAACCGCTATCGCTATATTTCGTCCGGAATGCCAATGTGTCCCGCTTCCCAGAAACCATTCATCGCGACAAGCGCGGCTTTCATACAACCAAAATCCGCACCACTGGACCACGCTGCCGCTTCCATTATCGTCGGCATAGCGACTATTTTGACAGTTTCCCTAGCCGGATCGCTGTAGGTCAACCGGCACTGGCGCTACTCCATTAACCAGCAACATCTACCGGACTGCCGCGCGATCACAAAATTCTTCGGCTACTGGAATTACGCTACGGGTGCGCTGGATTTTATGAGAGTCTCGTCTGATCCTGTGCAAACGGCGCTGGACGCGCTATTGGGGATTATGTGGATAAGTTCGGTTATGGCAAGCCTGCTCCTCGCGGTAGCGCCCCTCGTCATGGCCGAATTGCTTTTGCCGTTGATCATTCGTGTAGTCGGGCATGAAAACGAGTTTCGTTATCACGTCCTTGTTGCTTGCTTTCTGTGCGTTTATTCGACAGGAAGAATTTTGGGATTGTGGACGTCAAAGACTTATTTCTCCTACATTGCTAACGGGATCCAGTAAGTGCTACTCAACACGGAAGGCTGTATATAAATATACGGTTTTCGGTTCAATCAAAGTTACAGATTTTCTACCGTCAAAAATGCTCAAGGCTCGGGGCAAATGTTTTTATTGTTAATGGAAAACGTTATAATGGAAGTGGATTTTTTAATATTTATTTTAACATAATTTAATAATAATATAATAATTTAATATTTAATTTTTTGATATTTATTTTAATTTTTAAATTATTTTTCTTTCATGGTCGAATTTCGGTGACAGTGTGACAGCTGCGCCTACTTAAGTTACGTCACTACCAAAATATTATTTTTTAATATTATTTTTTAATTCATTTTTCTTTCATGGTCGAATTTCTGTGACAGTGTGACAGCCCCGCCTACTTAAGTTACGTCACTACCAAAGTATTAATTTTTAAATCTTAATTTTAATGATTTTCCTTTCATGGTCGAATTTCGGTGACAGTGTGACAGCCCCGCCTACTTAAGTTACGTCACTACCAAAATATTATTTTTTAATATTATTTTTTAATTCATTTTTCTTTCATGGTCGAATTTCTGTGACAGTGTGACAGCCCCGCCTACTTAAGTTACGTCACTACCAAAGTATTAATTTTTAAATCTTAATTTTAATGATTTTCCTTTCATGGTCGAATTTCGGTGACAGTGTGACAGCCCCGCCTACGTAAGTTACGTCACTACCAAAATGTTATTTTTTAATATTATTTTTTAATTTATTTTTCTTTCATGTCCAAATCTTAATTTTAATGATTTTCCTTTCGTGGTCGAATTTCGGTGACAGTGTGACAGCCCCGCCTATTTATGTTACGTCATAATCAAAGTTTAAGTACAGTAATGAAATAGAAATTAATATTCATGTGGGCTCTCCTTTAAGAGAACACCTGGACTAATAAGTAGTTACTAGTAACTCGCAAGTCACTTACAAATCTTATAGTATTGGGTGTAGTAAGTACAACACAGATAATTGCAATCAGTACTAATAATTACTGATAAAATAATTGCATTAGGACGTCTTTACAACATGAATTGTAATGTCTGCATGAATTTCAAGACTTCAACCAGTAATCAGCATTCTTCATTTTGCGAAAACTGAAAAGCCACATATCTTTTGCAACACGTGTTTATCACACGATTTCTGCTCGACATTATATACAGAGTACAATCGATGATCTTTGCCGTAGGATGAATCTTGGGCCACATCTACGTGTGGGAAGACAGTAAAGATCTACAAACGTTTTGATACACTTGACCTTCTAATAAATAAAAAGTGCCTACTATAGTTTTTTCAAACTGAAGTAAGTATTACAGTACTACTCGTAGTCCCGTACATACTACATGTAGGTAACAGTAGGTACCAATTTTTCTCAAGAGTACAAGAGAAGTAGAA